TTATACTTATTAAATAGAGCATTAAATGGCGTATTTAATCAAACAAAAAGTTTTTCCTGAAATCGATTTTTAGCTGAGAAAATAGGTGATTTTCATTTTACATGCGTTTGTCCCTATCTTTTTGTCGACTACTGTATAAGCCGACACCTCATTTGTTGTGCCAGCAAATGGAAAAAATAGGTAAACAGAGGGAACATGGACTCTTAATAACCTGATACCCCATCAAGAGACAGGATCGAGACAAAGGATCTATGCCTGACAGTGGATAAGCTCTTTTACAAGCTTTCAAAAAGACCCCCATCCCCATCAAAAGGACCTAAAATAATCAAAAAAAAAACAAAACCTGAAATCATCAGCAACAGATTCCAATATTTTTACAAATAACAGATTGTTTCATCTTTCGAGCTGGTGAAGGTGTTTTTAAGCAATTTTTGTTGTCATCTGAAGAAGTGGAAGACAAGAATCCTTTCCATTGTTGTTTCAATGGAGAAATGAATGATTTATCAATTGGAGGGCGTTGGAATAAAAATTTGTTTGTTGATGAAGAAATTGTTGTTGTTGTTGAAACATTTTGATGAAATAATTCTTCATCAATTTTTAAATTTGTTCACTAAAAAAATTGTTTTTAGAATAAAATGAAACATATTCGTCTTTGGACTCTGTCCACAAAATATTTCTCAAAACGTGAAAACAAAAGGTTATTGAATAAAAAAGAGACACAAAAAAATCAATAACCTTTCTCACTAATTAAAAGCAAGAAGGCAAACGAACGTCTCTCATATTTTTCCATTATCCCTCTTCAATTATTGACTTTTTTCTCTGACCATTAATTAGACAACAAAATCGAGTACTGGTCAGAGAAGTCAATAGTGAGGAAAACTAATATTTGGCTTCTCTAACCACTTCATGATTTTGCTTGTCTAAGCATCGGTCAGAGACAAAAATCAATAATTGAAGAGAGAGAATGCAAAAACAAGAGAAGATGGACAGTTAGTGCACTATTCTCATTTCCTTAAAGGAATAGTGGACAGTTGACCGTCTTGACTAAGTTCAGATCGAAGTCGAAACTGTTGCTTCGAACTCTTCTTCAAAATTGGAAGTATTAATAAACTAAATTTAAGAAATTTTAGAAAAATTTAAAAGCCTTTAAAAAATGCTTGTTATTTCAAAATAAAAATGTCAATAAATTTATTTTATAAAAAAATAGAGCATAAAGAAATTTAAATAAGAGGTAGGTAAACCTCAGAGTCCAACCATTTCAGTCTCGAGGCTCTAAATTTGAGATTACTTTTTTAATTCTTATATCAATCGAAAGCTCTGAATGCCTCGCTTTTATTCCTAACAGAACTGACCATTTTTAAAATTTTTAAAAAAAGTTGTGGTACAAAATAAGGCCTCTTGAGTGAAATGGCAGGATCCTGTACAGTGTAATAAAAATTAAAAAAAAAATAATATTAAGGGGATAGGAAGTTGAATTGGAATTACAACAATCAAGTCTAAAATATTAGAAAAACCCCGAAAAAAGGAAAAATTCAACTTCTAATCAAGTAAAAAACAAATAAAATAATTAAAATTAATTTAAATATACCTATTTACATAAACTGAAAAATTTTTAAAAATTTTTCCTCCTTCTTTAAACAGCAATTTCTTGTACAATTATTCTTCTTCTTTCAGTTTCCATCCCTTTATTACTAATTTCATTCAAATTTAAATTTTCTTCTTCTCTTCTTTCTTCTTCTCCTTCTCCATGTTCACACAAAAGTTGTTGACTTCTTTTAATTTGTTTTTGTTCATTTTCTAATTTTATTTCACACTTTTTTCTTAAATATTGTCTTCTCCAATGACTCCAAAAACATGCTAATATAGCCAAAATTAAAGAACCAATTAATACAATTAAAAGAAACGACAAAAATCTTGCAAATGGAGCTGTTGAATTAAATAAATTATTTAAATTTTTGTTTGTTGTTGAATGACTGGTAGATGGAATATTGTTGTTATTAAATGATGAATAAAGCTAAAAAAATTTAAAAAAAAATAAAAAAAAAATTTTTTAATTTAAAAAATTAAGAAAATCAACGTTAAAATATTAAAGAAAAAAATATTTGACCCCAAGAGGATTCGAACCTACAACAAAAAGTAGTGTAGCCTAGCACACTACCGCTACGACATCAAACTATCATTAGTTCTAATCTAAATTAAAACTATTAGCAGTGAATAAAAACTTTTAAAGACTCCAACAAATTGTCAGCAACGAATTTCAAAATTCCATTCTAAAATTTTTTCTAAAATTAAAAAAAAAACCTTTAATTCCTCTTCATCATCATAATCAATAATTTTTCCTTTCCATTCTCCACATAATGTTTCAATTAAATTTAAATATTTTTTTGATATTTTTTCTTCTGTAATTTTTGGAGAAAAACATTTACAAGAAGTATTAGATGTTTGTTCAAATACTGGGCTCATTTGGTGACATTCTAGTTGGTTACAGAAAGCGTCGGGTTGCTAAAAACATAAAATAATTTATTATTAGATTATTAATTTTTAAAAATTTTATTAAGGAAAGTGTCCCCGCTAATGCCTAACCAGCTAACCACCAAACGTGCTTTTTTAAATTATGACGACAAAGTCCGAAAATTCTTACGCAAATTAAAAAAATTATACAAACAAAGTAAATAATTCCCTTTTATAAGAAAAAATACCAAAGTAACTGCGGATAAAAAAACTAACGGAATTTACCGGCATAATTAAAAAATGTAATAGAAATTTTCTGCTCTGATTTTTTCCTTAAAATTCTATTTCTAGTTTCTTAAACTAAAATTATTTTTTAAAAAATTTAAAAATTATATTTACATTAAAACAACAACTGCATTTTTCATTTATCACCAGTGGACGATGTTGTTGTTTAATATTAATTTGTCCAGTACCAGCAGCAACATTATGTCTAAAACACCTCGACAAAAATTGAACACACTTCAGTATTCCAATCATTTTTCTTTTTAAAAAATTAAAAAAATTTTTTTAATTTCAAAAAACCTGCAAACACAAATTGTTGGCGCCTTTTCCTTTGTCATTTTTAAATATTTTTCTGATCTACTACAAAAAGCATGAGTCCAATCGTCTTCACAGGCACATTGAGGTATTTTAAAAATATTTGTAGACAAATTAGAAGAAGGAAAATTGTCTTTTGTTGAATAAAAAGTGTCACTGTTGCCTTCTAAAATTAAAAAATTTAAATTTTTTAAAGAGACATTTGATCCCATATTAAATTTTTTAATTAAAAAACCTTTAAATGTGCATTTTGATGCATTTATCCAAACAATAAAATTAAATAAAAGAAAATATTTGTAAAGTTGAGAAAATGACGATGTTTTGCTTAATTTAAAAAGTTAAATTATTTTGAAGGAGACATTTGATCCCATTTAATAAAAATCAAAATTTAATTTAAAAATATTGGAATAAAAATAATTTTCAAATTATTCATTCCCATTTCGATTAAAAAATATAAAAAATTTTACCTTCCTCTCCTCCACCTGTTCCAATAATAAAAATATTTATTTTGTTGTTTATTTTTAACATTTCTCATCATTATTAAATATTTGTAATAATTTGTAGTTGTTAATGTTGATTGTCATTTTTTGGAAGCAAAAAATATATCCTAAAAAAGAAAAAAAAATTATTTAAATTAAATAAAAAATGTTTGTTGAATTTTTTAAAAATCTCTAGGGAAAAGTTCCTCCAAAAAAATTATTCCAAAAATTTTTTTTCTTGGAAAATGCAATTTTGGGAGAATATTCTAAGTTTCTTTTATTTACAAAAATTTTTTTTCTATTTATAAAATCACCAAAAAATTTTAAAAATAAAAATAATCCTATAATAAAATTTCTTATTATTTTTCTTTTGTTCGCCGCGTGTGATCTTTCTTTAAAATGATTCAATTCTTTTATTAAATTTATTTAAATAGGTAATTTTAGCGCAACGAATTATTCTTCTTTTTTAAATTCATAAAAGAATTAAAAATTGGAAATTTTTTGAATTAAATAAAAAAATTTTAAAAATTTTTTGGAAATTAGATAAAATATAATTTCGAGAGGGATTGGTCGAGAGGGATTAGGTTTAATTGAGGTTTTGACTGTAAAATAAAATTTAAAAAAAGAAAAAGAAAATTAATTATAAGAAAAATTAAATTATTCAAAGCAAGAAAAACTAGCAATTAACTAGAAGAAAAATATATTCGTAGATAAATTTGCATTAATTTTTTCTTAAAAGTTTTATAACATTTTTAAATAAATACTTGGCGCATTAAATGCTAATTTCTCTCTCAACTTTTTAAATATTCAAAAAAAAAAGAATTAAATGGAGAACATAAATAAATAAAATAATTAAAAATAGAGGAGTGAAAAGCCTTTTAAAAATAAATAAATGAGACAAGCATTAAACAGGAAGGAGACGGAAAAATAATTTTAAAAAAAAGTTGGAGAGGCAGGAAAAAAAGAACAATAAAAAAAAAGAAAATAAAAATAAAATAAAAAAAAGTTTTGAAAAATCTTATTTAAATTTTTTTAGAAAATTTCTGAAAATTTTTTTGTGAAAAATTTTTTTTTAATTTAGAAAAAGCCCCCAATTTTTTTTAAATTTAATTTTTATTCCCAAATTATTAAACGGGGGAAATAACCAAAAAATCCCATTTTAGTTTTATAAAAATACTTTTATTTTTCTTTTCTTTTTTTTTTGGTTCTCAAAAATGCCTGCTGTGGGTTTTAAAAAATATTATAATAATAGACTTTTTTTGATAGAAAATGTTTTGACACCAAAAAATAAGTGTTTAAAAAGTCTTTTGTTCGTTAAAAATAAAAAAAAAATAATTTTTTAAAATTAATAAGAGTGCAAAAAATCTCCTCCCGAGCACAAATATTTTTATAAAAATTTTTACATTTTAACGCGCTCGCAAAATTATCGAAAATTTTTTTAAAATGTTTTAAACTTAATTTTACATAAATTAAAAGAAACAAACCTTTCATTGTCAGTTATTGTCAGACATCTCGCTCATCGAAATCGATCCTCCACCAACCTCACACATTAACTTTAAAAATTTGTTTTTTAATTAAAAAAATTACTAAAATAAAAAATACTTTGATAACCAAACATCATCAGATTCTCTTCAAAATTAATCCAGAATCAAAAAAGCAAATAGTAGTTAACCCATCTAGCCGCAATCTTCATTTCCTCTTCAGCATCATCCTTCAATTTGAACAAATTTTCCAACTAATTAAAAATGATAAGAAAATAACTATTTTTTGAAATTACAAATTAAAAAAAAATTTTTGGTAAAAATATAACCACAATATTATCAAAAAATAATTTTTTAAACAAAAAAATTTTATTTAACATATTTAATTAAAATATTGAGACACAAAAAACTAATTTAAAAAAAAAGCTCAAAAAAGTGATATTTTTAAATTATTTATTTTTCCTTCTAAAAAATCCTCTTCTTTTAAACAATTTTTAATTTATGGCACTTCAATTTCAACTCCATCAATATCCACAGAATTAAATTGAAATATTCTTGGACGTTGTCTATGCCTTAAAAATACTTCTCTCAATTCTTTACCCACACAATCTGGTTGAGCTGTTAAAAGGCCTAAATGAATATTTGGTTGTTTTCCAGTTACTACAACATCCACTAAAGGTCCTTGACAACGAAAAGGCTTTCCATCCTTAAAAAAATTTTTAGAAAATTTTTTAATTTTTTTTTGAAATTTTGAACCTTAAAAATTTAAAATTTCAAGATACTTCACTATTTTTTGACCTAAATTTTTTGTCCGTTTCTTTCCCAACAGTCAAAAAAGCTCGTTTTTATCTACTAAAACAATTTTAGACAATCATCTACTAAAACATTTTTAGAACGATATTTAAAAAAACTAATTTTAGATGACCAAGAATATAATCTTTAAAAAATTTTTTCCTTTCCATACTGGTACGAAAACAAAATTTAATTTTTTCCCCAATATATTTTTCGCCTACTAAATTAAATTAAACTTTATTCGATAGATGGATTGCTTACTTACTTTTTACCAAAAAATTGGAAAAGGTTTTTTTTTTTTTGAAAAAATAACGGACATGAGAACTACAAAATCTTGGGGGAGCACAAAGAGGAGAATAACAAAATCAAGTCAACCGGGGTCTTTAATTTTTTTCCAAGGGCCAATTCATAAAAAAATAAAGAATTAAAAAAAACAAACTCGTTGAGAAATAAATTGTTCAACAACATTTACATCCCCAATTTGACACAATTCGATCGAAAATTCCCCAGGTTGTCGTCGACCACTTGAAGAAGATAATAAAAAAATATTTGAAGGCCAAGGCATCCAACGTCTACTTCTATAGACTAGTTTTCCTTCGTAAACGTATAAAACACCTGGGGGAAGTCTCTAAAAATTTTTAAAAATTAAAAAAAATTTTAAAATTTTTTTACTTTAAAAAAAATTTTTTTTGCTTTATCTGTGTGGTCCCCCCACTTTAATTTTTATTGAAGATGACTGTAAAAAAATTTATTTGTTTTTTATATTTGCAAAAAAAATAGAAGCAATTTAAAAATAATTTAGAATAAAAGGAAAATTGGGAGAAAATTGGTTATCCACCTAAAACACAAAAAATTTTTTCCCAAAACAAAATTATTTTTAAGATTGGAAAGTTCTATTTTCAAAAAGTTTTTTTCATTCAAAAAATTTAACCTGAACAGTTAATTTAGGTATTAATCCTCCTTCACCATTTTCTTCTTCATTTTTTGTTGTTCCGCCACCTCCTCCTCCCCCACTACTACTTCCACTTTCTTGTACACAAAGATTATCCGGTTTTGATTGTTTTTGTTGTTGTTGACTGTTGGTATTTTCATTATTACTACTACAAGGAAGTGCATCAAGTAAAAGGCCTCTAATATGCCAAAAATGACGAACAGAATCATCTGGTGGTCCAGGATCTAGACATTTAAAAAGGCAACCCATTCAAAAACCAAAAATTGTTTTGAAGAAAGACTTGTGTAGCTAATAAGGGAATATAAATTGATAAAAATCAAATCTTGAAAAAAATTCTGAAAATTATCATTAAAAATTATTAAAAAACGTACACTAGATTGTAAAAGTGAGACAAGATAGCAAATCCTGGATTCAGTAGTGGCCCAAAAATCTACAATATTCCGCCAGTGCCACCTGAACCAAGGCAGGGCCCAAAAACCGGGTATCTTAATAAATCTGGGCTCGAGGTTCTGGCCATGAAAACCCGGCCCGAGTCAGTTTGAAAAAATCCGGACACCGGGCCCAAAAATAAGAAAATTCGAGCTTTAGTATTTACTGACCAACTCACCTTTATCTAAAAAAATTAAAAGTAGCCTCGGAAATGGAAAAGAAAAAGATAATAGCTAATCTAAAAGCAATTCCAAAGTTTCCGGAATAAATAAAAGAAAAAAGTTAAAGGAAGAAGAAAAAGATGAGCCAATATATACAAATAAAAAATGGAAATGAGGGAGGGAGTGAAGGGATTTGGACAAAAAAATGAGAGGTGGAAAAGGGTAGTAGAAATTTAGAAGTAAAAACGAGAAAAAAATGAAACGAAAACGGCGATGAAGTAAATAAACGAGTCCGATGGGAGAAGGATTTTTTGGAAGAAAAAAATGGAGGAAAATAAAAGAAGAAATTAGGGGAGAAATTGAAATTTTAAAATTAAAATTAAAAAAAAAATTCTAGTGACAAGAATAAAATAAGAGTGGGCAAAAATAGATGAGAGAATATCATAATTAAAGCCCGAACCGAGTCGAGATCTCAAACAAAAATTTTGAGTATCGAGATTTTTTCGAGAAAAGTTAAAGGAAGATGAAAAGTCCGGCTCTAGTCACTCTAGTCGAGAAATAATTGAAAAATTGCCAAAATTATTTTGAAAAAAAATATTTCAATATTTCCGATATCTCTCAAATAAAGTCCAAAAAAATTCATTTTACTTAAAGTAAATAAAAAATATAGGAAATCGCTTGTGCTAACAATAAATAAAATTTATTTTGCGGTAAAAAAAGAAAGAAAAATAAATAAAATAGGAAGGGCAAAGCAATTGTGCCTAGCGGGGCCAAGGAAGGGTAAAACTCTTCGGGACATGTGGGAAAAGTGTTCATCCCATTTTTTTATATTTTTTTATTTAGTTCCCGCTTTTCTCAGTGACGCTTCTTTTCTTTAAAAACTTTCTATTTTTTTTCTTTTCTTAAAAAAACATTTTCATTTTTTTTCTTTCCAATTTACACACGTAAATTGCCTTAGAATATATTTACTATATTACTATTGTCAAAGTTTATATTTGTTTTTCATAATTGAAGGAAGAAAGGAAAAAATGTTTTAGAAAATGAGAGACTTCAACCACTTTAAAACAAATAAAAATAAAGGAGATATACATTCTAAGTAACGATAAAAATTAATAAAATACCCAGAAGACCAAAACTTTAGCAAGATTAATTAGAGATTGAACCGAAGATATCGAACAAAAATTAAAGTTATCGATAACTGAGATTTTTCGAGATATCTCTGTGGATTCTTGTATGCCAAAATTCAGTTTTTCGAGAACTAAAATTTTTGTAATATCGATTTCGATTCTCGCATACGGCCTCCCCAGTCAGGTTCCAAAATTGACAGTGTTTTTGGGTGAAGGAAGAATTAACTTAAGTGATTATGAGTTCTTTTAATGTCGTCTGGTCCCTAAAATCAACAAGTGTTTGCCTTAGTTAGAGAATTAACCCTCTTGATTTAAGATTGCTTAGGATCGCGCAATGCTTACTTAAAATTTTTAATTCCTATCCTCTTGATTGCTCTTAATATTCTGGTCTTTTTAAAAAAGAATTAGTTGATATAAATATGAGTTAACTAATACGATTAAATTTCTTATAGAGAAAGAAGAAAAATAACAAAAAATGATATCATTTTTTAATTTTTTTCTGCATCATTTCTCAAGAAAAATGCAAAAAAAAATAATTTACTGTTATAAAAAATGTTAAAAAATTATGTTAAAAACAAAAGAAAAAATTCTTCGCTTCACTAATCTCTTACCCCTTAAAAAATTTTTTTACTTCTCTTTTAAAGTTTTAGAGCAACAATTTTTAAAAGAAAAAAAAACGTGTGGCAAAAAATAAAGGAAATCTTTGACAAAAATGTGTTGTTGTTATTTAGTCACTCAAAAATTCTGCATGTGTGTATATTTATTTGTATTGCTTTTCTCTCAATAATAATATAGCTCTCGATTGACTATATACTTCTTCTTATTTCTAGCTTAGAAAAAACTGTTCTCGGGACTTACCTTTATTTTTATTTTACATATATTTTTTTATTCAACCTCTCTCTTCAATAACGTCTTTATTTCCCTATTTCACCTTTATTGTGGCCACACTTTTTCTCATTTAATCATATTTTGCCAATTCCATTTTTTGTCGATAAGGAAAACCCCACGTTTTGTCAGTGAGGTTCTGCTGGTAAAACGTGAGTTTTTAGCCTCATTGGCAAAATAGAATTTGGCAGAATATGGGAAGCTCTTTACCTTTCTCAAAAAATTTATTCAAAATACCAACTTAACAAAACAACATTCAGCAAAATTTTATCCCATTTTGTAAAAATTTCTTCCTAGTGGCATTTGGTCCGTTTAACATTATGTCAAGCTAACCTAAACAACTCCCCAACTATTTTTCTTCTTTCTCTCTTTCACCTTTCTTTCTACCTCTCTCTACCTTTTCTCGACTGTCAATAAGAATCTGCTTTTCAATCGACCTATGCAAAAGCCCAAAAAGAAATAAAAAGGAAGTGAACTGAAGCTAAGGACATAGAAAAACTACAAATAACGGAAATGTAAAAAAGGCGCCCAAGGGGACACTCAATAAATTTATATTTTTTTAAATATTCCTTCTACTTTTTGATTTCTTCTTTAATAATTTTTAAAAAGAAGTAGAGAAAGGCAATTGAAAATATATTTTTTTTAAAAAGTTCAAGTATCAGTTAAAAAAATTTTTTAGAGGATTTTTAAAAATTATTATTTAATTTTGAATATTTTCCCGAAAAGAAAAAAAATCTACACCCCTCCCCCCTTCCCCTTTAAATGTAACTTTATATTAACATAATTTTCTATTTAATTCATCTTCCATTTTATATACCCAGGTCCTTCTAGAATATTTTTTGTAAACTAATCCCCATCCTTTCCCTTCCCTATGATTGTAAAAGAATAATAATTGCCAGGAAATAAGTTAAAAAATATAAAGTAATTTTGGTTATTGTTTATGTTGAAATTATTATATTTTTAAATAAAAAAAGTGAAAAATTTTTATGTAAAAGTTATCAGGGGTTTTTTGAATTTTTTAAACCCCTTTTAGGCTACAGTCTGACCTCATTATTTTTGATTTAGTATATTTGGTTATTGTTTATGTTAAAAAATTGAACCTTAAAATGAAAGGAATATGGGGGTGTAACCTTATAATGAGAGGGGGTCTTAAACAGAAGGGCCCAACTTTGAGATTATGAAAAAACGAGGTCTGGCTGTACTAAATAAAAAAAATAATTTAAAATAAACCCACAAAATATCCAATTATTCCCCATTTTTTAAATAAGCATAATTTGTTCATCATCAATAAAAATAATATTTTCTCCAGATAATTGGTCATAAGCTGCTTTAAATTCATCTTTTGTAAATGGTTGATTTTCTGCCAATTTTTGAATATATTTTTCAATTTCTTCCAAATTTGCCAATTCATTTGCTGAAATATTTAAATCATCAAAAGCTTTTCTTAAAAATCCTTTCAATTTTTTATAACGATCAACAGAAATAACAGCTGGGATTTTTGGACGTTTTGTTGGTTGTTGCTCTGTTGTCGTCTTATTTCCATCTTCATTATTTTCTTCATCTTCTTCCTCTTCGTCTTCTTCTTCAAAAACTGTTAATTTTCTTTAAAATAAAAGTTAAAAAATTTTCTGTTTGAAAATTAAAAAAACCTTTTGGCATATCGACTTGCTCGAGTACTTGTCTCTTTTGTAGTTGTTGATTCCTGCTGAAAAAAAGGAAGAAAATTTTCCCAAAATTTTTTACAATTACCTCATCATTCCCTTCAATTTCTTCATCAATTTCAACTTCATTTGGACTTTTTGAATTATTTCGAATATTTGATTGTTGTCTCTTTTGTTTATGTTCTTCATATTCTAAACGCTCTTTTGATTTTTCCTAAAAAATTTCTAACAATAAGTTTAAAAATGTTTTCCTTAAACAAACCTTAAAACAAGCAAAATATAGCAATTCATAAGCCTTTTTAGCATCTTTTAATTCAATTATTTTTGCCAAACGTGATTTTGCTATAGCCGTTGAAAGTCGAATTAATGTTTCTAATTGACGTGCAGTTACTGGCATTGTCTGCAAAATTTAAAAAAAAATTTAAAAAAAGAATTTTCTTTTACTCTTTCCATGTCAGTCCTTCCCATATCTGCAGAACGCAATTCTGTATAACGCTCAGAAATAAATGTTGATGCTTCTTCACTCAATACTGGTTTTAATTCTTTTGCCATATAAATATATTTACGAATAAAATGAGTGCTGAGAATTTTTTCTCTGAAAGAAAAAAAATTTTTTTAATTAAAAATCCCCCCAGAATTTTTTCTCTGAAAGAAAAAAATTTTTAGGTCTTAAATCCAATAATTTCCCCCAAACCTTTCCTCCATTGCAGTCCATTCACGATTTTTTTCATAAATTTCTTTTGAATTTTCAGAGGATCCATCAGTATTGAATGTTGTACGATTTTCTAAAGTTGTTCCCATTGGTTGTACAGCACCATCTGACTCTCCTTGTGCTCGATAACGATGTAGCTTTAATACGCTTTCAGCAAGCATTCGGTCACGCTCAACATCATGCTTAAAAATAAATTGTAAAATAATAAAGGGCCAAGTTAGAGATTTCCTGGCCCTGTACTCGAATATAGGGTTTAATGACTAGTCTTGGAGTTTATGAAAAAAGCCTTACCTCATCCAACATAACAAAGATCAAGTCAAATCTAGAAAGAAGAGAATCTTGCATTCCAATATTTTCCATAGGATTTTTATAAAGATTGTAACGTCCAAAAACAGGGTTAGCTGCTGCCAAAACTGAGCACCTAGCATTTAATTTTGCTTGAATTCCAGCCTTAGAAATTGAAATTCTTCCTTGTTCCATAACTTCGTGAATTGTTGTTCTGTCAATATCAGTCATCTACAAAATGGAATAAAATGTCATCTTCATCAAAAATTTTCAAGAAAAAACCTTATCAAATTCATCGATACAAACAATTCCTCTATCAGCTAACACCATTGCACCAGCTTCCAATTTTCTCTCACCAGTGTCAGGATCGTGAAGTACAGCAGCTGTTAAACCAACACCTGACGAACCTCTTCCAGTTGTTGCAACAACTCTTGGAGCGGCATGAATTACATATCTTTTACATAAAATCATTATGAATAAATTTAATCTAAAAAACCTCAAAATTTGACTTTTAGCAACAGAAGGATCACCAATAAGTAAAATATTTATATCCCCTCGAAGCCTTGTTCCATTCTCAAGAATTTTTTCACATCCACCAAGTAAAAGGCACAAAACAGCTTTTTTAACTTCGTCGTGTCCATAAATTGAAGGAGCTAATGAACGTGCCAATAATTCAAAAATGTCTTTATGTCGACTCATTTTACGAATTTGTTTAATATCTTCAGGTTCGAAATTAAGTAATAAATCTTTGCTCATAAGTTGGACATTGTTTGCAATTAAGACAGATCTTTAAATTTATAAAATTTTAAAATTAAAAAACTTGAGCCAATAAAATAAAAACCTAAAATTTCCAGTAGACATCCCCGCCTGTTTATTTGGCAAAACACGGAATAGGCCAATAACTTGAATACGATCACCAGGCTTGCAACGATCTGCCAAGTCCTCATCGGCTTTAAAAAATAAATATAAATTATTAAAAACCATTCAAAAAACCAATAATATCAATATTTCTTGGAAGACTTCCAGGCGGAGCAGATTCTGGTAATTCCTTTAAAATTAAATTCAATTTAAATTTTTGTTAAAAATAAAAACTAAAAATACCTGCATAGAAAATATTTGATGGTCTTTATAAACACATTTTCCAAATTCTGTTTCCAACGGGTTTTTATTTTCATCCTAAAAATTTTTATTTTTAAAAAAATTAAATTAAAAAATCATACTTCTTTAGGGTAAGCATTACTAGTTGGAATAGCTTCATATGAAGTAAAATCTGTATATTTTTTCTCCATAATTTTCTTTGTTGCAGGACAAAAATGAGAACTTTTAACAATTTTTGGGCGAACCAAAGAACCTTTAAAAAATAAATTCGACTTTATAAATATTCAAAAAAAAACGTACATCTGGTCACTATTCCTTCACAACAAACCAAATTTCCCAAGAAACTTGATTTCAAAGTTCGAGGATTTAAATGACGATCAGCAAAAGACCCTTCAAAGCCAATTCGAAAATCTTTTTCTTTTGCATAATCCGGATCGAGTTTTGAAACAATTTCTTTAAGTGCATGTTCAAAAGCTATTATTTCGTCTACAAATGAACTCAAAAGTCTGAAAATTAATTAAAAAATATTTTAAAAAATAATTTAAATTTACAAATTAGCTCTTTCCTTCATTTTAAGTCTGACATCGTTTATATCAACAATTAAGCGTGATGTTTCGTCTCTTATCATATCTTCAATTCTATTAATATAGACACGTTCTTCACCCTAAAAATATATTAAAAATTAGGGCAAGACCTCCAACCTTGTCTAAATCTAGTCGACCCAGACACTCGCAACTGAGACAAACCCGGAGTTTTCATTCAGAACCCTAAGGGACTCCAAAATTTTCGAAAACACAGACTCCGAACTTTCGACACTGAATGGTCAGGGTCCAGCCATAATAAAAATTAATTAAATAATATAAAAACCAACGCTGTCATCCAAAAAATTTAAATATTCTTGTATTATTTCACGCATTCGATTCTCGTCAGCTTTGTCAACCATTCCAAAAGCATTCATTTTAGTAGTTATTGCTGCGGCCATTGTTTTTTAATTTAAAAACTTTTTTAATCTAAAAAATAAAAATTTTAAAAGAAAACCAAACACGAATTTAGGTGAAAATCTCGAAAAGCGTCGAAAAAATTTTTTTAAGGAAATTAAAAAGAAAATTGCCCGCTTAATTATTTTATTAAGTTTCGAAGCGAAATGGAAAAAATTACTGTAAGCAAAAGACTTTTATATAGAAGGGAGGAGAAAAGAAATATAACTGGTTAGAGATTTTTAATGGTTAAAGTAAAATTTTAGTTTTTATCATTTTTGTTTGCTGCGTGTTTTCTTTCAGGATTTTTATCATTTATTAACATTTTTCTATCATTTTTTAATTTTTATTTTTTCAGTCTGTCAAGTAAGTTTTAAATAATCTAAAAATATGGGTATTTCTCAAGACAATTGGCATAAACGACGCAAAACTGGAGGGAAGCGTAATCCAATTCATAAGAAGCGTAAACACGAATTGGGACGTCCTAGTGCTAATACAAAGGTTTTATTTTGGTGAATAATACTTTTATTTAATTAAAAAAACAGATTGGACCTAAACGTATTCATCTTGTTCGCTGCCGTGGAGGAAACATAAAACATCGTGCTTTGCGTCTTGATACGGGAAACTTTGCTTGGGCATCTGAAGGTTAACAAGATTTATTTTTCTTGTTATTGAACCTTTTACGTTTCGAAAATCGATGGGGGATTTGGATGGTTCCTTTGCTCCATTTAATATAATCTCAACAGACGTTCCCATCTCTTCGAGTAAACTAGAGGAAATTGGGTCTATTTTCCACTTTCGCTTCACAAATTACTCGAAAATAATTTGAGAAATTATGCAAACGTTTTGTTAATTTATAAACACTTCATTTCACCTCTTTTCTCAACAACTCCTTTTTCCTTGTTTTCACAACTTTAACCGTCTATCGACCTTTTAAATTTATTTTTTTAGGTTGCACTAGAAAGACTCGTATAATCGACACTGTCTACAACGCTTCAAATAACGAATTGGTTCGAACCAAAACTTTGGTTAAAGGTTCAATTATTACCATCGATGCTGTGCCTTTTCGTCAATGGTATGAGGCTCATTATGCTTTGCCTTTGGCACGCAAAAAGGGTCAAAAATTGACGGAGGAGGAAGAACAAAGAATTAGTGGGCATAAAAGATCGAAGAAGACTTTGAAGAAATATTCGGATCGTCAGAAGACTGCTGCTGTTGAACCTCATGTTTTGGAACAATTTCAAGCTGGACGTCTTTTGGGTTTTATTTTAATTTGATTTTTTAATTTGACATTAAATTTGACTCTTTTCAGCTCGTATAAGTTCTCGCCCTGGGCAAAGTGGACGTTGTGATGGTTATATTTTGGAAGGAAAAGAATTGGAGTTTTATATGAAGAAGGTATATTTTTTAAAATATTTTTATTTAAAAATTAAAAAAAAAATTTTTTCAGATCCGTGCAAAGAAAACCAAATAAATTTAAAAATGGAAAAAAGGTTTTGTTGTCTTTGTTGTTATTTTGATTGTTTAATGTGTTAAAAATGAAAGTAAAAAGTTAAAATTGGTTTTTGGAATTTTTTAGGAAAATTTTGGAGGGGAAATATTTTTGCTGTTGTCCTTGTCCCAGGTTTAAAAAAATATTAAAATATATTTTAATTTCCGTTGCCGTTAAAGTCCTTTTAACGTCTGAAAATGACATATAGACACTTTAATAGTGTAATAAGTTTTTTTTATAATTTGGCACACCCCGATTTTTTTGTCCTTATTATTCCTCATTTCTCCATATCTTTCTCTATTTCCGTTTTTTTCTTCTTCCAATATAATTTTCTATTTTATTCTTCTTATAATCTTCCAATTTCTTCAATTCTCCAATCCCCTTCTATCCTCTTCTATTTATTCATCTTCTCAGAATTTTTCAATTCCTTCTTCAACTCCTTTTTCTCTTCCGATTCTCTTCCACCCCTCCTTCTCCACTTCCACCCTCTTATTTCATTTATCTTCTTATAAGCTTCCAATTCCTTCTTTAACTACCTTTTTACACCCTTTAATCTCCTTCCATTCTTAACTCCCCTTAAATATCTTTCTTCTCGTCATTCAGATATTCTTACAAGTTTCCCCAAACTTTTTCTTCATGAACCTAACTTTTTTTTCTTGTTTAACCAACTTAAGAATGAAAAGTAGTAATTTTATAATTATTTAATATATAAATAATTTATTCAAAAAAGGAGCATATGGCAAAAAAGGGGAGAAAAGACACTTGAATTTATGTAAAATAATAGAAAAAGTGGCATTATTTTTAATTGAGTATTTGAATAAAAAAAGACAAACAAAACCGGTGTTACCACATAAGAAAGCTTTTTTTATTTTAATTTTTAATTTTATTCAATTTCTTTTTTATTCTTAAAGGTATAACCAATTTAACCGGGAAAAAGTTGGCTATTTTATATTTATAAAATAATTGCAATTATTTTTTTTCACAAAAAAATTTTTTTCTAAGAAAATCCTAGTAAACTTTGGTCAATCCCTTCAATCCCCTTCTCTCTTTTTTTCCTTTAATTTAATTTAGAAAAAAATGTGAAAATAAAATTAATATTAAATTTGACGTTTTTTTGACATTTTTAGTATATAAATTCTATTTTAGTAGAAATTGCGCTAAATTAGATTATATTTATATTTTTTTGTCACGTGCTTTTTTAAATGAAAGAAAAATTTTAAAAGTGGATGCAAAAATTTTATTAGAAAAATGCGCGAAAAAAGTCCTTGGTATACCCCAACAATTTTTTATCGAAAATTTTTGCTGAAAAAAATTTTTCCGTCCAAACTTTTTTGTCCTTTAAGCCCTTGACCTACTCAAAAAATTCTTTAAATTTTCTTAAAAAAGATTTTTCCATAAAAATGACATCAATTCTGTCAACAGTTATTCGAATGTCTTTAATTATGGCTTTCGCCATTTTTGGGAATCTTTTTTTAATTTTTGTGATTCATAAGGGGAACAAAATTTCGAGGTCCAAAATTTCACCCGTTCAGGTAAATAAATTTTTAATCAAAGAAATTAAATTTTTACTCAATTTTCAGCTTCTAATTCTTCACACTTGCTTTGCCGATCTTTTGTTTGCTTTGGTAAAATTAAAAAAATTATCAAAAGATTAAAAAAAATTTTTAAGCTTTCACTTGGCTCAGAAATTGGCATTCTTTTGACTTTTCCTCATTTTTATGCTTCTGATTTGGTTTGCCGTCTAGTTCGATATCTTCAAGTACTTCCCCTTTATGCTAGCCCTTTTTTAATGGTTGCTATTAGTATTGACAGATATCAGGTATTTTTTAAATTTACGAAAAAATTTCAAAAAAATTTTTCAAGGCAATTTGTCGTCCATTAGTTCATTATACCAGCGATCGTTTTCGACGCCCCAATTATTTTGGGTTGACAGCTTGGCTTTTTGCTTCGATTTGCTCTGTTCCTCAACTCTTTATCTGGCAAAAGATGTCAATTGGAAAAATAAGTAACAACACTACAACAAGCATTGTTGAATGGAATTTTGCTGAAAATGATAGGTATTAAATTTATTAAAAATTTTTTAGAAAATTTTTGGAGGGTGGGGCATTTTTAAAAAATTTTTCGAAATTTTTAAAACTTTTTGGAGGGATTTTTTTATTTTTAATGCAAAATTATTTTTATAGGAAGGAACAATGCCGCTCAATTTATGGTATTTAATTTAAATTTTTTTCAAATAATTTTATTTAAAAAAATTTTTTTTATGAATGGACCCGGATATTTGGAAGCAAGCATATGTTGTTTGGTTTAGGTAAAATAATTATTTTTATTAAAAAATTTAGAAAATTATTTTAATTTCTAGTGTCATTGCTTGGTTACTCCCTTCTTTAATTTCAGCATTTTTTTATTTTAAAATATGCACAACTGTTTGGAAATTACCTTTTTGGCAAATTCAACACGACGATAATGACAATAATTTAAAACCACAAAAAGTTTCAAATTCAATTGAAGCCAGGTTTTTTTTGAAAATTTTACGATTAAAATTAATCTTTCTTTTAAAGTTGTCGATTGACGCGGGAATATGTTGAGGTCCTTAGAAAAAGTTCTACAACCTTTCAAAATCAAGTGACTGAATTTGACAAGAAGAGGATTAAAACGGTTATTTTTTAATTTTTTTGAATTTTAAAAAAATTTTCTAAAAATTTTTTTTAGGTCAGACTAACCCTAATTATCGTCATGTGCAACTTTTTTCTTTGGTAAACCTTTTTAAAACAATTTAAAATAAAAAAATAATTTTAGGCTTCCTTTCTGTGTTATTAATGTACTTCAAGCATTTGCTCATAAATGGGCTTGGGGAAGTTTGTTTAATTTTTATTTTTAAATAAAATAATTTTTTTCAAAGGTGGACAAACAATAATTACACAAATTGCAATTTTGGGGAATTTAAATGCTTGTGTAAATCCTTGGATTTATATTTTGTTTAATAGGAAAATTACAAAGAGAGCATTGGGGACGATTTTTTGCAGAAATGGTTTGACTAATTAAATTTTATTTAAAAAATTTTTTTAATTTAAAGAATCTGTGGAAATTTCATCACAAAAAGCTCCTTCACGTCACAGTTATGGCCCTACAAGTTTTTTGATTAAACAGAAGGTTGAGTCTGAGAGTCAGACTTGAAGATGCTTGCGAGCAGGGTTGTCGATTCGGAACAGAACCGAGGACTTTTCTATTCGTGTAAGGATATCCAAAGATTTTACAAGAATCGACAACCCTAACTTGTGAGATGATATTTTTGTGACGATCTTCATTTTTATTAAATTTACAGTTTTTATTTTAAATTCTACTTGTATTTATATAATTTAATTGCCATAAATTGAATTTTAACAGAAAAATAAATTTTATTGATTTTTAGAATTAGTTATAATTTTAGCTTTCAAAAAATCGATATATCGATTAGTATTGATTTTATCGATTAGTATCGATTTTTTGAGAATTTAAAATTTTGAAAAAATAAATTATCGATTAGTATTGATTTTATCGATTAGTATCGATTTTTTGAAAATTGCAAATTTTTAAAAAATAAATTATCGATTAGTATTGATTTTATCGATTAGTATCGATTTTTTGAAAATTTGAAATTTTTAAAAAATAAATTATCGATTAGTATTGATTTTATCGATTAGTATCGATTTTTTGAAAATTTAGAATTTTTGAAAAATAAATTATCGATTAGTATTGATTTTATCGATTGATATCGATTTTTTGAGAATTCAAAATTTTTGAAAAATCCTTAAAATCTCTATTTTGCCTTTTTCTCTAACTACACTATTTCTTTTTTAATTTCTCTAACTTTGGATAAAGTGTCATTTAATTTTCCATAAATATCAACAAGTAAAATATTTAAATATTTATTTTTGCACAAAACATAAATTTACAAACTTTATCTAATTAAATGTGCATAATGATTAATTTACAACGTGCAAAAACGCCAAAACTACAAACGCCAAACAACGCCAAAAATTTGCGTTTTTACACGTTATAAAATGAGTTTTGCGCACAGTTAAGTTTTCTCACAAATGTGCGCAAAGTTTTTATAAAGGCGTAAAACGCAATAATTGGCGTTTGTTGTGTTTGCGTTTTTTTGCGTTGTTTTTTAATTTTTTTTAAACTTTTTTAAAGATTCATAATTTAATATAAGGCTCAATAATAATAATAATAATAATAATGTAATTTTAATGGAAATATATTTAGAAATTCAAGCAGATTTGGAACAAAATAAAAAGTGTGTAATACTCTTCAGAATTCCTTAAAAAATTTTGTTTCTGGAATCAAAAAATTCTCCAGCTAATTCTGAAGAGGATTACACAAGTAAAAACAAAGAAAAATTGTCTCTCTATATATAACAATTTTTAGAAAATATACATATAATTTTAAAGTCAACATTAAAAGGCAGTCTAAAAATTATTTTTATTAAACCTTTATTTTCTTTTAAGTTTAAAACAAAACCCAGTTAAAAAATATAAAATAAAGGTTTCTAATTATACTTATATATCACATCTTTTATTATTTTCAGGAATTTTTGGTGATCAACTATTAGAAATCAATTTTGACATAAATATCTAAAAAATGAGTTGTTGATCACCAAAAAAAATTTTTTTGTAAGAAAAATATAATCGAATCATATATAAAAAATAAAATTAATTAACCTTTGTATAATATATGTCAACAAGTTGGAGGAGAAGGTGGTTGGGATATTATTAATAATTGATCTTTTTGTTGTTGTAAGTCATTATTAGTACTTGGAGTAAAACTACCACCGTCACTTAAACTTAATCCAGAATCTGATGTTGAATTTAATTGTTGTTCTGATTCTTTATTATTTTCTTCTTTTTTATCCCTCTTTTCCTTGAAATCTTCACTTTTATTTCCTTCTTCTTCTTCATTTTCTTCAAAATCTTCATCATTCTTTTTATTTGATTTTATTCCAGCTATAAATGCTGCCATTTCTTCAGAAGAAAGTGATTGAATTCCATCAAGACTTGTTATTGAACGAGTTGAGGAAAGTGGCTAAAAATTAGGTAATAATAAATAAAACAAAAGAAAACCGAATCGACATCCTGATCAAAAACAGAACTTCCTCGAATTTGTAATCTAGCTTCATTTTCTGCCTTCTAAAAATATTTTTTTTTTAATTTATAAAAAATTCAGAAAAAACCTTTGATTCAATTTGTGCCAATTGTGATCTAAGTTCAGCAACTGTTTGTAAAGCTTCTGTATATTTTAATCTTTGCATAATATTTTTTTCTTTCAATTCGCTTTGTAATTCAAGCAATTTACGTTCACAGTCACGTAATTCTTGACGTAATTCTGCTTCTGTCTGAAAAATTTTAGAATTTTTTTTAGAAATTTTTTTAAAAACCTGAACACAATTCTCCTTTTCTTCACGTAATCGCTTAATTTCATCGTCTTGTCGTTTCAGTTGATTAGTGCAAACATGATTTTGTGTCTCCATTTCCATCAACTAATAAAAAAAATTAATTAAAAATTTTTAGTTAAATTTTTTTTTGGTTTTTTCCAGATTATAAGAGATAATAAATTAAAAAATTTTGGTTATTGAATCGATATTTTATGAGATGTCAATCTTGTTTCAGTTCTCCCCTCCTAGTCCGGGTTCTAGTATAAACTGGAGAAAAATCAAAAATAATAAAAAAAACCTTTTGTCTCATTTCTTTCAATTCAGCCAAAGTATCAGCTTCTTTTATACGTAAACCAATAAAATTATCTTCCAATTCTCGTTGATTCCAACCTTCCAAAGTTTCACCATTATTTACTTCATTTAAATTATTTCCTCCTCCTCCTCCAACAACAGCAGCCCCAATTATTGTTGCTATTTTTGCTAATCTTGTTTTTGTATTTTTTCTTTGTTGATTATTTTGTTGTTGTTGTTGGTCTGTTGGTGGAGTATTTGTTGAATGGCAAGGCTCCTGTGGGGGTGGTGGGATAACCTCTAATTCTTCATCCACGGAGTGGGATGAAAGAGGTGGAGAATGTGCTGATTCTCTGAAAAAATTCCAAAATTTTTTAAAAATTTCAGAAAATTTCAAAAAAACCTTGTTTGATTAAAATGTTGAATACCACGTAGATTCATATAAGCCTGCCATTGTTGTTCAAATTCAGCAAGTTTTTGACGCATTTCTTTCAAAGAAAGAGATGATTCTGCTTCTCTCATTTTTACACGGATTAATTCCTTTAAATAATTTTTTTAAAAAATTTAACAAAATTAAAAAAAACCTCTTGTATTGCAGCAACTCCTCCTTCTGGTGGGCATTCTTTAAAACGTTTATTTGCTGATTCTAATTCCTTAAAATTGAAAAAAAAATTTTTAAAGAAATAAATTAAAATAAACCATACATTTATTCGTTGTTTTTGTTCCCGAACTGTGCTTTCTAAATCTGCCTAAAATTTAAAAAAAAATTATATTTAAAAAAATAAATTATTTAAAGAAACCTTTTTAGAATGGGTCTCAATTAATTCTTGTTGTAATTGATGTATATGTTCAATCATTGAAATATCATCTACTTGAACTTCTTGATCTCTCTTTTAATTTTATTTTTAATTAAATAATTATACAAATATAGGTCTGAGGGTGTTTGTTGACCTTGATCGGATTCTATTTAATATTCCAAAAACTAAAGGCCGAGGAAAATTCCCAAGAAGATCAAAAATACTCTATCTGAATCGAACAGTAACGAGGGATCAGATCGGTTCACGTAAGATCCTCCAGTTCAGTCTTTAGTCTAAAATAGGCGTACAAAATACCCAAGATCTCACCCTAAACCCGGCCACTCTCTACCATAAAAAATATTTATTTTATACAGCTAAAAATTTACCAAGTTGAGACGTTTTTGCATATGCAATTCTCTTATCTAAAAGTTAAAAAAAGAATTTTAAAAAAATTTAAAAAATTCCCTACCGATTGATGTGCATCTTCCAGCCGTCTATGAGCATCATAATTTATATCCCTCAAAATATTTAATTCATGAGAAATATTTAAACAAGTGTCTGCTTGTTGTGCCAAATCAACTTGTCCACGTACTAAACGATCTGCTAAAGCTGAACTTTCACTTTCCAAATAATCTATTCGTTGACGAAGTAATCGGTTTTCTGTTCGTAGACGCTGAAAAAGGTAAAATTATTTTTTATTAAGAAAATTTTCGAAAAATTTTTTGAAAATTTTTCTTGACCTTTTTAGACCAATAAAAACGACGTCCCAAATTTCTATAACGAAGTACCATTTTTTAGAGAAAAATAAAAATAATATTTTAAAGATAGAAAAAATAGATTAAAAAATAAAAATTTTTTGAAGAATAAAAATAACAAAAAAATAAATTTGTATGTTTTTTAAAAAAGATTTTTATCTCTAAAATAAGAAAAATATTGTATTAAAAAACACGATAAGATGATTTTTTATTCGGTTGGTCATACTAGAGGGGAGGGGGGGGGTTGTTAATTTTAAGGAAGACAGTCTAAGAAGCAATATTCACCCAAACTTAATACTCTCAATTTTATAAACCCCACGTTTTCAAAATACATTTCTTTAGCAATCCAGGAGCTATGTAAATTCGAGGTTTGAAAGAAATATTTTGTTAAAATTTAAAATAGAAACGAATCAATAAAAAAGAAAATGCATTAAAAAATAATCACGGAAATAATAATAATAATTATTGTAGAGGAGTCCTTTTACGGGAAAATAATAATAATGTTTTTACAAGCCTTTATTTACAGCCGTAAAAGAGAGCGAAAGCTTTTAAAAACAGAAAATAAAGTCACTCCGCGTACATGTCCGATAAAAAAATGAAAATATTGGAGGAGGGTATTATTAAAAATACCCAAAATTTAATTGAAAATTGAGAAGATTTTTTTTCTAAGTTTGGAGGTATCTAACAAAAAATTTTTTTCAATTAAAAAAAGGTTTTGCGCAATTTATTAGTTATAAATAAAAATTAATTTTTTAATTGAATTAGTTGGAGTAGAAGAAGAAAAAAGAGAAAAAATTAAAAAAAGGTTTGTTTTGTGTTGTAAGTTTTAGGGGGTTTTGAAGAAGAAAATTGTAAAGAATGGAATGACGTGAAAAAAATATATATAAAAATTAAAAAGAAAAAATAGAAGTTTAAAAAAATTGATTTTGAACGGAAAATAAATTAGAAAAAATTTTTTATTAATTAATTTAGAAATAAAATTTACCCTGAGTTCAATTGCTTCCTCCTGATCTTTTGTTCGTTTAGACAAATATTCCTAATGAAAAAATTTTAAAATTTTATTTTAAAATTTCCCACACAAACCTTTTCCAATTTTTTCATTTTTTTCGCATTTAGATGAATTCTTGAAGCTATAGTAAAAAGTAATTCATGATCATTTTCATAACGGGAACGAACTTCTCTTTGAAAATATTTTAACATTCCCTAAGAAAAAAATTTTTTAAATTCTTTTTTAACCTTAAAATAAAGACCTCACTTAAGGACCTCACTTAAGGTCCAAATTTATTTAAATATTTACCTCCATATCCAGTTGTAACGAATCAATTCTAGATTGTTGTAAAATTGAAAGAGCAATTCTAAATATTGTATCTATTCCATCAACCAAAAACCAATCCATTATACGATTTGCCAAATCCAATGGAAGTGTTGTAATAAAAACAGTCAAAAACCACGAAGAAGCATACATTGAAGTATCAAATCCCATATTATTACTAAAAAATTTAAAAAAATTTCTAAAAAAATATAAAAATTTTAAACATACAAATGCATGTAAAGATCCGGAATTTGTTCTTGAACCATCATTTCCAACTGAAACATACACAAACCTAATTCTGTCATTGTTGGTTTATACAATTCTCGAAGCTTAAAAAATTTTTTTAATTAAAAAATAATTTTAATTTAAATAGAATACTCTATAATTTTCCATTAATCGAACAAAAACAGCAAAAGCTTCTTCTTCTGGCATTTGTAATAACAGTTGTCCAACAATAAAAGACGAACCTTGACAATAACCAACCTAAAAACAAATAGATAAATTAACAACAAAAGAAAAATTGCAGCAAGAATTTAAAAAAAAGGAATTTGATAGAAAAATTAAATTTTATGTAAATCCTCCTGATAAATAAAAGTGATCTGTGTCCCAAGTTATGTCCCTAAACAAAATTTATTTTAGTCTTTGTGGATTATTTTCTCACAAAATTTTTTTTATTAATTTTCCATCATTTTAACATTATTTTTAATCAAAGAATCAAACTTCTCTCTAATAAAAAAATTGAAACCTCTCTATCATGCAATGAATAAGCCTTCATAACATTAAATAAAGATTGCTGTCCTTTTCCCTCATCTTTAAAAAAGTCCAATTTTGGGAATGTTCTAGGTATATCTCTTGAAATTGCTTTTTCATATGGTGAAGATAAACGTAAATATTCTGAATAATTTTCATGTAATAATTTAACATTAGCACCAGACAATAATTGCCAAGCTATAGTTCTAAAATGTTGAGGTATTCCACGACGAGCTAATTCTTTAACACAACTTGGACGTCTTTTCCATTCTAATTCCCAACTCTTTACGAGATTTCCCCAAATCTGTAAAATGAAAAATATGAAGAAAAAATTTTTGCCAGCAAGTCTTGTTCTCGAAAATTTTTTTCTCAATTTTTAAGATTTTCTGAGGCTATTATTCCCCAAAAATAATAAAATTAAAAAAATAAATTACCGTCCAAAGGTCAAAATCCTCATCATCTTCAACTGTTGGTTGAAGAGAATTACTTCGTGGAGGTAACAATTCTTCATAGCGATTATTTCCATTGGGTAAAGGAGAGGAAGAACGTCCAGCTTGAGAACTTGAAGAAATTTTGGATGTTACACTACGAATATCTGCTTCGTTTGTTCTACAAAGAAAAATTTTTATGAAAAAATAATTTAAAAAATTTTTTGGCCGCAAAAAATTTTTTGATAAAAAAATCCCCAACCTATTTAATTCTTCCATTTTATTAAGTACAGATTTAATTTCTGGGTCATCTGGTGTATCCAAACTTGTCGATTCATCATCTAATACATTATCAGAAGAAAATTGAGACTCTGAGGAAAATAAACTATTTGAAGTTGCACTATTTTTAATTGTTGTTGTTGTTGGTAATCCTGAAAATTTGAAAAAAAAAAATATTTTTTTAAAGAATATTTTCTTATTTTTAATCCTAAAATTTCTTAAAATAATGTTTTCTATTTAAAGAATTTTTCGATCAATTGTTGTTTGTTATAAACAAATATATATATACTAAATAAACACCCATAAATACGTGTGCGTAAGTGAGTGTTTAGTGTGTTTTTGTTTGCGTGGAACCTTTCACCGCCCAAAAACCTTTATACAAAAATTAATCTCTTACCTAAAATAATCGAAACATTTATTTTTACCTATATATCTTTTGGAGGTGAATTAAGGAATTCCTCAAATCCTATAAACATGCTGTTTTATTTAAATACGAGGTATACATTTTTGTTATAGGTATGTATATATATTTTTTGTCCAATTATTTTTAAGTACTTTTTTTATTTTTATTTTGTCAGCAAGAAACTAAAAAATATTTTTTCTCTCATTTTTTATATATTAATCCTCCCCTAAAGCATTTTTAGTTGGAAACAAATAAAAACAAACACAGAAAAAAACAAATCTAATAATCATTATTTAGGTATTAAAAAAATTTTTTAAAAGATAATCCAAAGATTAATTTAATCAAAAAAAATTTTTTGATTAAATAAAGGTGTGGGGGAGAAATTTAAACATAAGAACCAACCATTAATTTGTGAATTTCTACCCTTAAGTTCAATAACCATTTTGATGCATTAATTAATTAATAAAATTAAAAGTAAAATAAATAAGAAATACTAAATATAATTAAGTTACTAACAAAAAAGTAAAAATCTGAATTTAAAAATTGTTAAAAATTATAATAAAAATTTTTTAGAAGCGTCTGTGTCGGATAGAATCGAAAAATTAAAGAAAAAATGATTAAAAATTTTTAGAGGTGCAAAATATAATTTTTTAAAGGTGCATGCCCGTGTGTGGGCTTGTAGAAGGTGAAAAAGAAACAAAAATACACTTTTATTGTTTGAAAAATGGTTACAACAAGGTTAAAAATATTAAGAAAAAGCTGAAAATAAAGAGAAAAGAAAGAGCGGAAGAAGGAACGAGCACGTACCGATTTTTATTATTTTTATAGGTCATCTTTCACCTATAATATTATGTAATTAATCAAAAAAAATATTTTTATTGGATTTTAGATTAAAAAAATTTTAAAAAAACATAAACAGAAAAAAATTAATTTTTAAATATTTTAAACGATGGATGATTCACTTATTTATTGACAGTTAAGAGAAAAAAAAAAAGAAAAAAATCATAATATTTGTTTTAACACGCTTTAAATAATCAACAAACAATCTCAAAACGCATCTTTCATGTTTAACGCCTGCTTTTTTTTCACAATTCAATAAATTATTTTATTGCTTATTTTGTAATTAATGCTTGTTATTTTATTTATAATCGCGTCTGTTGCTTCTGCATGTTTTTTTCGATTTTTTTCAACGCCTGTTTTTTGCAAGTTTTTTTAGCATTTTTCTCTAAGTTTTTGCAGTTTTCTTTAGACAAAGATAGATAAAATAAACAAGTTTTGTCAGTTAAATCATTGTAATAATCCAAAGAAAATAATAAAAGAAAAATAGAAAAGAAGCTTTAAAAACAATCATTATGTAAAAGAATAAGAAAATGATTATTTTAAATTTGAAAATAAATCTAAAATAAAAATTATTCGCATAATTGATTTTAAACAACAAGGACGCAACTTTTAATTGATTAATTAAACCAATCAAAATAAATAAGTTTGTTCGACTAATAAAATGATAAAAAAATTATTTTAGAGAGATTATAGAGACATAAAATGATCAGAAAGATTTAAATAAAAATAGCAGCGTGTTTATTCAAGAATGGTCAATAAATATAAACCAAAAATATTTAAAAAAAAATTAAAAAACTCTTTGTTTAAATTTTTAAAATAAAATAAAGATTTAATAGTTATGTACAGAAAATGAATTTAATTTTGCAACTAATACTTAATTTAATTAAAAAAATTAACTAAAGAATAAAATTAATTTTTAATTTTACTAAACATAAATTGAGTTTAAATATGTGCAAAAATAAAAATTTTTTTGAAGGAAACAGAAGAAAGAATGAAAATTGAAAGAAGAATGAGAGAAACAATTTTTCAAAAGTGCAGGTAAAATGAAAATACGAAGACGAGAAAACTGCCACTTGATATATAAAAATATAGTTGAGGTGAACCGTTTTACAAAGGTATTTAGAGAAGAGACGAAAATAAAAAAAATTAAACGAAGAAATTAACCATAACCCTCCTCCCACCCCAAAAAATAAATTTACGAAAATTGCAAAAATAAAACGAAGAAAAATTCGGCAAGAAGAAAATGACGAAAAAACTATTATTCATTTAATGAATTCTGTTATTTGGTAGTCCACCGTTTGTAAAAGGCGGGAAAGAAAAGGTTACAAACATGTTTTAAGTATTAAAGAATGTGTATATTTGCGTTTTTAAACGTAAAAAATACAAAAAAAGAGTATTGCTTTTAAGGTTGGATTATAGTAACTAAAGTCAGAATAAAAATACGAAAGATCAGAAAAACAAAAAATTAAAACAGGCACCAAAAATACAAGGAAGAAAAATTAAAAAACAAGAAATTAAAGAGCGAGAAACCACAAAAATATAATCAGAATTAAAAACATAAAAATCAAGAAACTAGAAAATTAAAAATACTAGAAAATTAGAATACAAAGCTTAAGAAACACAAAAATTAAAGTCCAAAATAATCGAAAAAGGTTAATCCATATTTTAAAAATTATTCAAAGAAAAAAATCTTATTTTTTTCGGTTGTCATGGAAATATTTTTAAAAATACGTGGATTACATTAAAGGAAAAATAAACAAATACCGTATTTTTTGTATTAGAGCCCCATGGGGCTCTATTTTTCAACTATCCTCCAAAGTGGGGCTATATTACAGCGTGGGGCTCTAATAGAGCGTGGGGCTCTATTTTTCAACCTATTCTTGAAAATAAGTAATAGGATTTTCAATTATACGGTTAACTATATTTATCCAATCAATTAAAGTTTAATCACAAAAGCAAATTTCAACATTGAGATATTTCCAAATATGATAGTCACGCGTGTACACTAAGGCGCGGTTAAGTGCATCTGAGTTAGATTTAAGGCCGAATTGGAATTTTAATTTGTGGAAGGTTCGAATCCTATCGAGCCTTTGAAGGTTCGATTCTATTTTTCTTCAGTCCGTACGTTTCAATCTCTCGTGAATATATTCCGGTTCAGTCCCATGAAAGGATATAGATGTGATTAAGAAGGTATTTCCATGTTGACTCCGGGCTCCGGGTGGAAAATCAATGGATAATATTATTTCGTTGATTCGTGCAGATTAAAGGGATATCGAGTGATAAGAGGAGTGAGAAGGATATCAAGGTATTAAGCGGGATTTGGGCAGATTATAGTTTTTTGGGCAGATAGAGTAACTCGAAAATGCTCAAACTCGACTTACTCTACTTTATTTCACAGACGAGTCAATTTATAAAATCGGGATTTGCATCTGGATCTGATGCACATAACAATCCCGATCTCGGCCTCGGGATTGGCCGTGATCGGGATCAGGATTTGAAAAACCCGGCTTACTCCCGCCCGATCCCGACCAAGATCCCGATCCCGCTGAACTCTAATCAATCTATGCCTCCAGTGACAGAACCTAACTGGAATGAACTGCTTTGATTTGACTGGAAATGATAGAAAAGGCTGTACAGTATTAAAAATAAATTTATTAACTTAGGTATGTGAAAATTTCATAAAGTGGGGCTTTATTACAGCGTGGGGCTCTAATACAGCGTGGGGCTCTATTTTTCAACTATCCTCCAAAGTGGGGCTTTATTACAGCGTGGGGCTCTAATACAGCGTGGGGCTCTAATACAAAAAATACGGTATATTTATTTATATTTAAAATAGCTAACCAGAAATATAATCTTTTTTCCCTTAATTTTTATTTTTCCCTTCTCCTTCCCTTCGTTCACCCACCTCTCTACAAAAAGCATCCAACCACCACCAAAAATATGTATCACTTGAAATTGACACCAGAAATATTATATTAGTCAGAAGAGAAAATTTTCGGTTGTTTGTTGTTGCTTGTTTTTAGTAGAAAAAAACCGGTATTTTTTATTTTTGCTTCTTTTTAATATAAGCTTTTTAATTTTTTTCCTTCTTATTTATTTTTTCTTCTTCTTCTTGATGTTCAAAATAAAAATTTATTTTTTGAAAGCACAAAAAACTTGAAGGCACTTGAATAAATTATAATAAAAATTAAAAACCTGTTAAATTAAATAATTAAAAAATATGTGTGGCTAATAATTAAATTAATTTTTAATAAAAAAGTATTATTCAATAAATAAAAAATATATAATTGATCAAAAAATTAATTAATCATCTTTTTTCACTTTTTTGTCTAATAGTTTTACGAGAGAAAAAAATTAAATAATATATAAATAAAATTTATAATAAATGTAGTGACCGGAAAAGCCTAAATTTATATTTCTATTTATGTTCAAATAATAGAAAAAAATTTTTGAAAATTTTTAAAAATAAAATCTAGGCTTATTTACTAAATATCTTGTATATTTTGGGCATATTTTTTAATTTTTTTACAAAATTAAAATAAAAAATTTCCCATTAAAAAAATTTAAAAAATGTTGGTCTAATACAGGGCTCCGATTCCTACTTTTTTAAAAGTATTCTACTTTTAAATCGACCTCCATACTTACGAAATTGAATTTATACTTTTTTGAAAGTATATACTTTTTTTTGATTGAAAATGAAATTGGGAAAGGGATTGGGCAAAAAAGTGATTTTTTTGGCCTACGGCCTTTGAAATTCTCAAAATTTTCGCCTGTGGCGCTGAAAAAGGGAAGAAATCTGGCTTAAGGACCTCCAAAATTCTCAAAATTTTCGCCTGTGGCGCTGAAAAAGGGAAGAAATCTGGCTTAAGGACCTCCAAAATTCTCAAAATTTTCGCCTGTGGCGCAAAAAATAGTTTTTTTGGCGCCTTCGGCGCCACAAAAGGTGCATTAAAATTGACAAAATGCTCAGTTGAAACAAGATATTATTAGAAAAGATTCATTTAGGAGAGAAATATAAAAGATTTGAGGACGAATAAATATTTTCTAATTTAATTTTGAGACTACTTTTTATTTACAAATTTTCTCCCTATATACTTTTTAATCAAGATTTTGATACTTTTGAGTGGCATTTTGTCGATCGGAGCCCTGGAGTCTAATATATAATTTAAATTTTGTTGTCTGGTTATTAATTATTTATTGCATAATTTATTAAGTAAAGTCTTCAAAAATTCAACTGCTGAATTAAACTGTGTCCACCAATAAGCTTCACTTCCTTGCATTCTACTAGCATAAAAACTGTCAATAAATTGAAGATTGGAAAGGAGAGCATGAGGATTTGCCTAAAATTGAAGAGATTGAAAGTTTCGATAAAATTTAAATTAAAACCTTTATAATAACAAAAACAAGAATAGGCAAAATATCGTCAGCAGATGAAGTTACACGTCCAGCAGAGAGAACAATCAAATTTTCTATAGTCTCACAACAACGAGAAATACAATTCTTTAAAGAATAATAAAATAAATATTCAAATAAAATTTAAAAAAACCATTTTGTCACGCGGTGATTTATATGCATTTATAATATTTAATTCAGCCTGTGCAGAAGACCAAGGACATTCGGCATGAAGACACTTTAAAAATTAATTGAAAAATATTTTTAAATTTTCAAAAAAACCTTGGGTATAGCAAGATCTGGATGATCAACAGAAAGTAAAGAAGAAAGCTGACGAATTGATTTTGAGAGGACTCTTCAAAAAATTAAAAAAATTTAAAAATTATTGGCTCTGTTCTAATTTGAGTTCAATGAACCTTTATGAATTAACTTTTTTTGTCCCTAAAAATCACAAACATCCAAAGACTTCGAAATTTTGTTTGGACACATAAAGCTTCATTGGACTTATAATCTAGACCAGAGTTAATTTATTAAAAAAAATCGTGTCACATACTCATCACGATAATAATCAGCATCAGAATTTGGAAATAAAGCATAAACATAAATTTGTGCCATTAAAGAACGTTCCATGCATTTTCTTGCATAATCTAAATTTTCTACTGTTGCAAAATGCCAAATCGGATCGGTTAAAAGTTGATCACAAAGAATTCGAAGAGTTGAAGAAACTAGTTCTACTTTCTCATCCTAAATTAATATTAGTTGTTTTAATTTGAAAAATTAACAAAAAAATTAATATTAGCTAAAAGAACGTAAAGGTAGAGAATAGCGGAATAAAGGCATAAAAACACCTAATAAATTCTGTGGTGTAGTGGAGTTTATATGATAAACAACAGAGATCGAACAGCAAGGTTCGAACCCAGCCAGAGATTTTTAAAATATTTTTAAGAAAAAAGCATTATTAAAATTTCCGAACAAAAATAAAAATTAAAATTTTTAAAAGTAAAATTTAAAAAATACCTGAACATGTAAATTTTGAAAATTTTGGACAAATTGTCTCAAATCTTCCTTTTGTAAATGGAATCTAACTAACATTTCAACTAAACATTCTGATGTTAATTCTAAATTTCTAACAAAACGATTATTCATTTTTTCTAAACAATATTTAAATTGTAATAATGTAGATTGTGATTGTTGTAAATATAATGTATAACATAATCTTTGACGTTGTTCTCTTTTTAATTTTTTTAATAATAAAAATATTCCTTTATTATCAAATATTGATAAACACCGCAAAACTTCACGTATTTGTGCTGCTTGTTTACGATCTCGACTATTGATAGAATCAGCTAAAAATAAATGAAGCATTTGTTGAAGTGCTAAAACTTCTGCATCTGCTATTTTTCTAAAATAATAAGAAAACTTTTTTGAAGTAAAAATGTGTTTTGCCGTAAAGGAATCTAAATATAAAGGTGGTGGAAAAATAGTGAAGAAAAAAGTAGAGATCGGCAAGGGATTCATTTTATAGCACCCCGTTTAAACTTCTCATAGTCCTTACAAAAGCAACACACAATCCCAGAGAAGAGTTTCTTCCCTCACACTAGATATACAACCAAAGATGGGTAGGGTTACCGGAAACCCGGATTAAAAATAATTAGATTTACTTTGTAGAAGAATCTCCAACATCATTACCATTCATTGCTTCTTTTTGTTGATGTTGTTTATCATTATTATTGGATGCTTCTTTATAATTTATCAAATCTAAACTTTTTGGAAGTGTTGTAGTGTTACTTAAAACTAATCTCAATTTTCTTTTAGCATCCAAAAAAGCTCGACATGTTGTTATATTGTTTTGATCAAAATATGGAAGTTTATCTTCTTCCTCATCAATATTATTGATATTGTTTGGGATCTAAAAATATTTTTTTAATTTTTAAAAAATTATCGTGACCTCATTAGATGAAGAAGCACCAACATTATCTGCTGTTGAACTTAAAACTAAATTAGTCAGAGCATTAACTGGATTTAAAACAGCAATAGGTGCAGTAACAATATTAGAAGAAGATGCCAAATTTGAAGAAAAATTTGTCAAATTATTTAATTGTTTTGATGAATTTAAAGAAGAAATTTGTTGTTGTAATTTATTTATTGGTAAAACATTATTTTGTTGTTGCTGAACAGCAAAATTATTTTGCTGAAGAAATGAATTTTGTGGTTGTTGAATTGATGATATTGAAGATGAAGATGCATCTACAGCATTTCTTAATTCTATCATCGCTGCTTCATTATCAGAAGCAACCACATCTGTTGACCAATTGTCGCTTACCAAAGAAATTGTTTCATCACCTTTTGAAGAGAACAAAAATTTTCACAAAATTTTCAAAAAAAATTTCTTATAAAAATTCCCCCCATCCCCTCCCCTATTCATAACCAAAATATTTTCCAAATGTATCAGCTTACGATTTCTAGTGCTGTCAATTTGTGGAAGAACAAATTTTCCAAATTTTTCTTCTAAACCTTCAGAATTTTGTTTTCTTACAGTTACAGGTAAATATGGTAAAGTTCGTCTATTATTATTTGCTTCTTGTTGAGGTAAAGTATTTGAAAATGTTGGGATTGTTGAAGAAGAATTTTCAATTACTGAAGGATCTTTAACAAATTTTGTTTTATTAAAAAAACCTTAAAAACCATTATTCTGCTCCGCATGATTAGAAAAAGGAGTTTCTCTGCCAGAAAGTTTACTTCCACTTAAGCTAGGTGATCCACGTCGAGAAACGTTTGCACTAATTGGGACAACGTCAGAAAAATTGTCTGGCAAAACAGCAACATCTTCTTCTGCTTCCTAAAAAAGAAGGGAATTTTTTAGAAAAAAATTTTTAACACAGGAAAATGCTCTATTTTAATAAGAAGCCTAAGGCAGAAAAAAATTTTCAAAAAATTATAAAAAACCTCAGCATTTCCATTTGAAGAACTCGAAGAAGTATCATCAACTCCCTCCACTTCCCCCACCTCTTGGTCATCTTCTTCTTCCTCCTCTTCATCATCGTCACTTATAACATCTGTATTTGTTCTATCAGAAACTACAATTTTTTTAATTTCAAAAAATTTTCACAAAAAAACAAACCAACGCTATCCGTTGCAGCCAAAAATCTTGTTTTCTTTTGTCCATTACACTTTTTTGATTCTAATCGAAAATTTAATTTCAAAACTTCTTCTTCCGTGTCCGGAAATTTGGGGAGTGGACACTTGGGGATTGGACATTTGGGGAGTGGATAAATGGGGAATGAGCGGACAATTGGGGAGTGGACATTTGGGGAGTAGCCTAACGATAAAAATACAATAGAATATTAAATAGTTTTTCTTGCTTTTGTATTTAAAAAAATAAATTCGAAATCTTTCGAATGGCTATTATATGTTTTTTCGAAATTTTGACTCTAAAATCCCACCATTGGTATTTGACCATTTCGAGTCATATATCTTGACTCAAACTTGTTTAATCAAGCTAATTTTAGTGTCATTCGACTCAGATCGAAAGCTCTTTCGAATGAGCTATTACTTGCATATTCGAATTTTTTACCACAAAATCGAGCTTACCTCCTCCCTCTTATGGTTTTTCAATTTTTCAACCTATAACTCGGTTCAGAATCATTTACTGAAATAGGGAGTTTGATTTTTTCTGAAATTGGAGATTGAATTTTTTTTCGAAAATTGGAGTTCGACTCAGCTTGCCGAGACGAATCGAATGACATATTCCACGTCTCAAACTTTTATCTCCTGTGAACTTATACATAAACATTTTTTTAAATACAAAAGCAAGAAAAACTATTTAATATTCTATTGTATTATTATCGTTATGCTACTCCCCAAATGTCCACTCCCCGATTGTCCGCTCACTCCCCATTTATCTACTCCCCTAATGTCCACTCCCCAAGTGTCCACTCTCCAAATCTCCGGGAGCCTCTTCTTCAGACGTTGTTCCTATTGGTTCATAACTATCAGGAATTTCAAAGAGTAATACATCCTAAAAATTTTTTTGTCAAAAATTTTTTAGAATAGAATGTTAGGTCGAAAAAAGTTCATTTAGAGTGAACAGCCTAAGAACCATAAATAAAAATTTCTATTTATTTTACCCGATTTAAATTTTCATTTGTCGTCGAATTAACACCATTTTGGTTCTGTTGTTTTTGTTGCTGATTATTATTTGTAATTAAATTACAATTATTATTATTCTCATTTTCATTAACCAACACATTAACAGACAAAGAATTTGTTAAATTTTGTTGATCGGAATTTCTAAAATTTGAAACTGATGTTGTTTGAATTAATTTTTGATGTCCTTTAGAAGCAACATTTTGAACTGAAAAAATTTCGAAAAATTATAAAAAAATCCAAACCTTTATCAGCCAAATTTCTTAATCGTGTAGACGAGGAAATTGGTTGCTGCTGTTGTTGTGATTGTTCCTTTTCAGGTAATCCCATATAAAATTTAATTTTTTCATTAAATTGTTCAGGCAATCTTTTTAATAATAATTTTAAATTTTTTAACAATGCTGCATCATTAATTTCCTCCAAAGCTGGAGATTTCAAATAATATTGCTAAAAAATTTAAAAAGAATAAGGTCAAAAAATAAAAAAAATCCAAACCAAAATATTAATTTCATTAAGAGAAGCAACAAATGTTGTACGTCTAAAAACTTCATTTCCTTTAGAATCTGCAATTTGTGTAGGGAAAATTGTTTCGATTGAAGCTGATCCTGTTTGTAAAACTGTGTCCATAACTTTGGTCATTGAATTCTTCAAAAACTTTTGTTAGAAACTACAAAAACACACAAACCTTGTCTAAATGAGAAAGAATTTCATTAAAATAAGAAGGAAAACGTTGCTCATATGGAAGTATTGCCAATGATTGTAAAAGTTGTCCGACTTGCATTAAATTGAAACGAGCAATATAACTGAAAAAAGTAGGCAAAACTTTCAGAGGGAAAATAATGAAGAGAAAATCAAAATTAGACAGTTATGTGCAAACAGGGATGTCACAGGTTATCCGAAACCATATACATGGACTATCTCTCCCCGAAGACACTTTTTTGACCCCTACGACCTTCCAAACATTCTAGAAAGAACCAAATTCAAAAACAAACAAATATCAAACCTTATCGGAGTGTCAGATATAATTCCAAGAGGTTCAGGATGTATAACAGCCGAACAAATAAAATAAGTAAAAATAAGGTCTGTACAAATTAAAGCAGCCTCATCATTGCTAACTAATTTTCTTTCAATCATTGCTGTATGCATTTGATCAACTAACCAAATTATACTTTTTGGGAATATTGGCATTGCATTTAATATTGCTGGAAAATTAAAAATTTTAATAAAGGAAAAACAAAAATTGGACAAAAAGTCTTATTTTAAAAGGTTGACTGAACTGAGTCAATTTTTGTCAAATCAACGTCGAAAAACAAACTAGATATTCTAAATAGAAATAAGCAAAAACAAACCATTAATAAACGTTTCAACAACCCAAACCAATTTGTCAACGATGATTCGTCTATGTTGGGCTAATTTGTCTTTATAAGATTTTGAATTTTCGTCTGGACCAAAACGTAAACGTCTTTCATGTGCAGGTATTCGAATTGGTGATTTTGATGGGTCAATATCCAAAAATAATTCTAAAACAAAAAAAAATATTGAAAAAAATTCTCTTAAAAAATACCGTCTTGACTCAAAAGAAACATTATTGGCTCATGAAGGGCAGCAGTAAGAAAAATCTTTAAAAAAATTTTCCCAATAAAATTTCGATTTAAAAAACCTTTGTGGATAAAAGAGATTCACTAAAATATTTATACATTCTAGAAAATACAGAATTTCCTTTTCTGAGTATTTTTCGTGGATCTGGATTTTGTACAATTTGTAAATTAATTAAATGCCCAAGTAATTCTAACATATTCTTTTCATCTTCTGGGAAAAAGCAAGAACCATAAATTACATTAAATACACAAGAACATAATTCATCCATTGTATACTGAATTGAAAAAGAAATATAAAAATATTTAAAATCAGAGAAAAGAAGAAATGAAAATAAGTGCTGCCATGGGTTACACAAAATCCAATATCACAATCCCGGATTTTACCGACAGAAATAACAGGAAAGGTTGGTAATAACCTGTACCCTCTTATTGGGAAATATCGAATCAAGCATTAAAAGTACACAAAAAACTCACATTATTTGCTGTAATCTTTTCTGTAGCATTTAAAAACATAGAGACAGCTCTAGGAGCATAAGCCAAAACTTTGTAAATTTGAACAATTTCAGCAGCATATTGATTCAAAATTTTGTAAGCTTCAACAAAATTTGATGAATATAAATTATTAAAAAGTTGACAACAATTTTCTGGAGAGACATTAATATCAGAATTAATTAATTGATTTAGAATTTCCTTTAAATTGGAAGAATTTTAAATTACTCCAAAAAATGTAATGTTCTAATAGAAGCCCTGGGGGATTATTTGTCAATAGATCTATTATTTGTCAATAGAGCTTTTATTGGAGATGGGATGCCATTAGAAACCCTCAGCTGTCTAATTTTTGAAAGGGTCTCTTCAAATGGACTTTTAACGAGCCTGGGCTTCTGTTGGAGATTGGGTCTATTAGAACATTTACTATATTTCTAAAAAAACCTGTTGATGTCTATAAATCCATATTTGTTTACAAATATTATTATATTCTTTAATTACCTTTTTAAAAAATTTTTTAAGAATCAAAAATAAAATTTTAAAAAATACTTTTCTATTTAAATCTTCTAATGTAGACTTTTCATGTTTAATAAGAAGAGATTCCAATCGAAGCTTTTCACATAAAAATGATAAACCAGCAAAATTAACTAATTCGGTAGAAGCCATAATACACTAAAACCTGAAAAATAAACAAAAAAATTGAAAAAAAATAAAAGTACAAACGACGAACAATGAAAAAAAACTGAAAAAATCTGGTTGTGGAGAGAGAGTAAACTAAATATAGGAGAGTGTTAGACAATAAAGACAAAGCAACGAAAAAACAGAATGCCAAATTCTTCGCGTAAAAATTATTTTTTATTTAATAAATAAATAGAGGTTTGATTTAGGAAATGTTGGAAAAAATTGTAGAAAATTTCAAAAAAAAATTTTATCAAAATTAAAAAAATAAAAATTTAAAATATTTTCGAACTTAAAAATAACAAATGCCAGGCAAGCTCGAACCCCCGACCCCAGTTTACAACATACTAAACTCTTAACCACTGCACCACAACAACACATAACCATATCAATTTTAATTCACTAGATACATGCTTGTTTTTATGTTTTTATTTATCCATCTGTTCGTTTGCTTCACACAACTGTTTTAGCTTTTGGCTAAATTACCAAATTTCTCTCACTCTCATTCATTCAAAACCAATTCCTTAAATTTCACGCCCCCTCATTTCATATGTTCCTTTTCCAAATTTATTGTCAATAAAAATTTAAAACAAAAATATGGCCCAAGTTCGTCCAACTACCTTTGTAAGTCTTGATTTTTTGTTGTTGGTGGTGGAGGGGGGGGGATCACAGGTCATTCACTTTAATTATTCATTCATTTAGCTATCGTTGCAAGGCTTCCCAGATGGACAAGGCTACCTGGCGCGTACCAGGACCGTTCCAGATCTCACCGTACACGTTCGTCAATCTGATCGCTACAAGCCGCAATGGTACAGAAACGATCAAGTCAGTCAGATTATTTTACAAAAAAATTTAAAAGACAAAAAAATATATTTTAAAGTTCCCCCACCGTGGCAATGCTTATTTTTATTTTTCTCCACAATATTATTACAATTTACATCCTCACCGATATGCTACACCCTGTAGAGACTTGACACCTTTTAAATACGACACCCATTGGGCTGATTATAAAGGGGCTTGGTAAATGAATATTTTCCGATAAAAAATTTTTTTCAAAATTTTTAGGTTTGATTATCTTGAATGGTTCCATTATAAGCGTTGGTGAGGAAAGAAAATATCTTTTAAAAACTCATATAATTAATTTTTAAAGGTATAATCCTTTTTATGATATGTCTGCTTACCATGCTAATTTGATAGACAATTATGGTTAAAAAATGGAGAGGAGAAAAATTGACAAAAAATGAATTCTCGAATATATTTAGACATTTGTTTTTAATTAAAAAGTATAAAAAATCTTAAAATTAATTTTTAAAATCAGTTGTCTATAAGGAAGGGGTCGGTTTGAGAAAAAAAATCGGGTCAGGGTTTCAAATATTTTTCGTGTCGGGTTTTGAGTCGAAAACAAATACGAGTTTTGGGTAATCCGACCCATCCCTTGTGTCTATTTTTAGGGGAAATACTCTTTTTCTCCCCTGTTTTTTGGTTGGATTTTTTACGTAATATTTATTTACTAAAACATTTATTGAATCACCTGTTTTTTTCTTTCTCAAGGCTTTAGATCCTTCCCCCTCAAAATTCCCCATTCTCTTCAAGTTTAACTTAAATCACTTTTGTCTGCAAAAATCTCTCCATCTCCTCCTCATGCTTCTCTACGCTTATGAACCATGGAGAGATTTTACAACAGCTTTGTGCCGTACCAAAAGTTCTTCGAGTTTTTGGCCTACAACACAAAAAGTTAAAAATTATTTTTTGTTTTAAAAAATTCTTTCAGGTTCCCCGTTCTGAATCGGTACAAGATGTAACAGGCAATTATAGACCCTATGACCGACATCGGCCTCTGTGGCTATCTGAAAAGTATGAACGACCTCTTAGATACAGAAATCCAGCACCTTATAAATTCGAAAGGAACAAACAAATGGTACTATGACTTGATAAAAACACAAACAAAAATCCAAAAAAAAATTTTTTAAGGCAGAACATTATTGGCGCGATCAGTACTATTTTACTTCTCCATTGTATAATCGTACGAGTATACCACACCGTCCATTTCAAAGGTAACTAAAAATATTTTTTAACACCTCCCAATTTTTTAAAATTTTCTTAGTGAATATGGCTCCCATATCTATACATATTGGGCTCGTTATAATGGATATGGGTAATTAAATTTAGAAAAAATTTAAACAATTTTTAAAATTATTTTAGATATGATAGAAATCACCCAGCATTTTATCGACGCTATTTTAATCCATTTGATGATTATTTTGGCTAAATTATAAATATAAATCCGCAATTCTTTCATTTAAAATATTCACAATTTATTTAAAATACTCAAAATTTTTGAGTATTTTTTAATTAAAAATACACCCTCTCCCTCCCCTCCCCCTCGCACATTTATTTAATCCCTAAAATCTCCCTAATCCTTTCCTATCCTCTTCGATTTCCGCTTTAAATTTTTTTGTTAAAAATTTTCAAGAGAATAGAACTGAGGAGAAATAAAAATAAATAAAAGTGCTAGCGTAAATAAAGTTTAAAAAACAGTTGTTTGTAAATTTAGGATGATGCAAAACATATGTTCAAATAAAAAAATATTGAGTAAATTGGATCAAGAAATATATTTAAAAAAAAATTTCTAACGGATTTGTAAACAATAAAAGACTAAAAATTTATAAATAAAATAATTTGTCGATTATTTTTAAGAACTCCCCACAGCCTTTTATTTCCACTAATTTAAAATTATTTTTAAAAATGTGTGCCGCTTATGCAGTAATGCATGGTGGACCTGTACTTAGGCCAGACCAAATGGAGAAAAATATTCGGCAACGATTACCTGAGGTCTTCACTCTCATAACTTTAATTTAATTCATTTAAACTCATTAGTTGCCTCGCCGTATTGTCCCCGTCTCTTCAACAGACGATTTATCATTAAAATTGGTAAACGCAAAACCTGTCTGGTCTTTGTTAAATTCTGCAAATTGGCATTCTTACTGGCCCTATCGATATTTATCTGATCCTTATTCTGTTTGAATTTTAATTAGAAAATTAAAAAAAATATTTTTAAATTAGCATGAAATGTATTGGCATGACCCTTACAGTCTACACTCTCCCCTACACAAACGGCAACTTTTTGGGAAGAATAAACCGAATGTGTAAATATTAATATTTATTTTTTTAAATTATTTTTAAATTTTTTAGTGATTATATAGCAAATAATCATTACTGGAAGTAATTTTTCTTAAACTATTTTTAAAATAAAAAATTAATATTTTAGTTATCCCTATCCTTATTGGGCTCGTTATCGTGGTTATATGTAAGCAATTAAATTTAATTTTATTAATTAATTTAAAGTTATGACTACGCAAATCCTTCATTTTATTCGAAGGAGTACGACTTGAATTATTTTGAAATTTGAAAGACAGAATTATTTAATTCAAAAAAATATTAAAAAACAATTAAATTTTAGTTGTAATTTTAACAAATAAATTTTTAAACTTGAAAAAATAATTTTTTTCATACATCTTTGAGAAGTTTTCTTCGAGGAGCGCTCCATACTTTATAGGAATAATCGTCTTTATAAGGTTCATATATTCGTCTATAATTATCTGGCTGATCAGAAATATATCTAAATGAGTTATATGTATGTATAAAATAAAACAAATTAAAAACTTAAATCAGAATAATAATATATCAGAAATCAGAATAAATCAAAAATCGGAATGTCAGAAATCAGAGTGTCAGCAATCACAAATAAATCAGAAATCGGAATAAAAAATACAGAACCTATAGTAAAATCAGAATATAAAATACAAAACTTACAAGCAATCACAATAAGCCTTAGACCAATACGTATATGGAACTTTTTTGTAATCTCTAAAATATTTTATTTATTGAAAAAAAATTAAAATTCTCCTACAATCGTTCATAACGTTCATATAAAGGTAAGGGTCTGTATTTTCCAGAAAATTGAAAATAATTGTCAGAATAAGAGATATCATCCAATCTAGATTGTCTAAATGTTCTGTAGGGAAAACTGCGAAGTTTATAGTTTGCTGTTGTATTTTCAATTGGAGAAGTGAAGCCAACAGTGAATGAGTTGGATAAATCAGCCTAAATTTTGAATAATTTATTAATTTTATTTTAAATCACCAAGGTTCTTGGACGAAGCTGCACAGGCTTAACACGAATTATCGGAGCAGACGGGGAGCTTCCCAAAGCATACGCGCTCATTTCTAGTTAATAAAGCTTAAGCTGAGGAGAGATTATTGCTTTGTTTAAGCATTGAAAAAGCTTCCAATCAACCGGATATATTTATTTTAGAAAGCATTTGTTTTACACTAAATTTATTTTTCTCTGTTATACAACCTTTTATTTTCTTATTTTTATTTTTATTAATTTTTAGTGTAATATTTTTTATTTTTAGTAAATAAAAATATTTTTTGAAGTGAAAATAAATTAATAAGAAATATTAAAAATCCAACAAAAAATGGCTTTTTCACCAACTCTAACCCGTTCGTATTCTGTCACGAAAATGAGCGAACTTGAACGTCGACCAGCTCCCTCGGTCTTCTAAATTCTTAATAAATCATCAAAATAATTTTAAAATTTTTCAGTTAGCCCGCTCATCCTCCCTCTATGATGTCAACAAATATGAGCGTTCTCTTGAACGTTTTACCCCCGCACGTTCATTTTTAGTTCACAATGATTCAACTCCTTTATGGTCCCACACTTTCTATAGAGACATTGGAGAACAACCTCGTTATTATAGACCTTCCTATTTGATGGACAATCATTGGTGGGATAAATATTATTATTTCTCTCCTCTCTATAAAGGCACACAGCCATATAAACGACATTATGCTAGGTAGCCTTAAAATTCTTTTAAAAAATTTTAAAAAAATTTTAAGCCATCACATAACGTTCCCATGCACTTGGAACACACCACACGTTTATTGGGGACGTTCTAAAGGCTATTGGTAAATATTCACGTTTAGAAAAAATTTCAAAAAAATTTTCCTTTTAGGTATGATTCAGACGATGATTACTCTCCTCTCTATCGTCGCTTATATGACCCTCATACCGGAGATTCTCCCTATCTTCAACGCTTCTGGAAACGTTACAATTCACATTTGTTATACAACGATGTTTATTAGAAAGAGGATAAAATCAAATTAAAAAAAAATTTTATGTCAGTTTTTCAAAAATAAAAATTTTTTTCTTAATGGATTTTTGCTTGTTTACAGCTTATTAAAAGCTGCCAAATATTTTTAAAAATTATCTTTCATATTTTTAATATTTTTTTAAATTTTGTTGTCTAATAAAAACATTCATTCTCTCTCTCACTCTCTCTAATTTTTTATAAGCTTTACAACAACCCACGCAATCTCTCCCTACTTTCAGCTTTATCTCAAGTTTTATTTATTTTTCTGATTTTCTAAAAAAACTTTTCTTCTCTCCAACAAACAAATGGTGGTGAAACACAAAACTTTTTTTCTGTTCTTCTCTATTCTTTCGTCTTTTTATTTTTACTTTTAAAAAACACAAACATTAATATACCTAATAATTACCCTCCAGCCCAGACTAAATTTTAATTGTTCTTTCCTTAAAAATAATTTAGGTAATTTAGAAATTAACATGAGCAACTTCCCTATAGTCCGCTCAAATTCTTATATTTTATATCCCCGCGCAAGGGACATGCATTCGGGAGAAGCTATGGTTCCTACATTGAGTAGGTTGGTGATTTTGTATTTTCTTAAGCCTTATAAAAATTCTCTTTTCTAAGAGTTTCATCAGTCCCAAATCTGCACAATATGCATGTTTCTGATGCATTCAGGCCGGGAACTCTATACAAATACAGACGTGATTGGAACCCGGTAAGGGTGTATTTTTGGGGTTTAATTTCACTCAAGAACAAGTGTTCAAATAAGCTAAAAACGGCTGTTTTTGACTAAAAATTGATCCAGAAAAAAATAAAAAGCTTGAAATAACTCCAACACAGGCCAACAAAACTTGTCTTCCTAAGGATTTAATAGCTTTTTTAATTTTCAATATTTTTAGCTAAACAATTGGTGTATTTATTTATTTATTTATCTATTTTTCTTTTTTATTTAGAAATAATAATAAAACGAGATCTCTCCTTAACTATTTAAAGAGAAACGAAGCTTAGGGATTTTCCAAAAAATTTTAAAATTTTCACAAAATTACAAAAAATTCTCATTTTCAGTTAGAAGCAAGTATAACTGACACAAGTCACCATTCACCTCTTTTCTGGGTTGATAGACGCTTTTCAGGTATTCTTGATGTTTATTTTAAAAATTTTCAAAAAAAATTCACAGCTCGTCGCTACATGAACACCGACCCAATTCCTGATTCCTTAGGCCTAGACTATCCCAATTTTTGGTCCCGCTACAAATTCTACTCTGACTATCTTGAACCAAAGGTGCTTTAAACTATCCAAAAAATCAAAAAAAAAAATTTAAGTACTGGCGCCGGCACCGAGACCCAAACTATGACCGTCCATTATGGAATTCTTGGAAACCCTACATTTTGGACGGGAAAAACCAAAAACAGGCTATTGACATGTATCGACAAGGATTAGTTTCCTTTGCATATTTGGACAAAAATTGGATTACTCCATGGGCACTTGGACGGAAAGAAAAAGATTGGAATGAAGTTTACCCTCCAGCTGGTAAATATGGAGCTAGACGTTATATGTACTCTTGGGCCTAATTAGAAGAGGAAAGAGAGAGGAAATTGAGAATTTAGTAGAAAAGTGTTAAAAAGTGCCGCGTAATTTTTTTATTTTACTTTTGTAAAATTTAATTTTCTTTTTCCCTATTAAAAAACATTTTCAAATTTTGAAAAAAAAATTATTGTGGAAATGTTGACTATTTCAAATAAAAATCCCCTCCAGATCCTCCCCTAGTTGCTTGTTCCATTTTCATCTTTAATTGTGAGAATTGGAGAGATTACTAGGTGAATAACGAAGTGAAATTGTTGAAGAGATTCTTTGAGTTCTAAATTCTCGAGAATTTCTATTACTAATTAATTGTTGTTGTTGGGAATTGTCTGTTTGAAATTCTTCTCTTCCTCCTCTTCCTTCAGAACTTGTAGTTCCTCCACAAATTTGTCCAGTCCCGACAGTTCCAATTTCCATCATTTCTAATTTTTTCCTCAATCTTCCGCCAAGTGGAAGTGCTCGCAGAAAAGATTCTCGAAAAGCACTATTCATCCAGGCATATAAAAGAGGATTTGCTGCAGGCACTACCATCGAGAGTAAATGGGAAAGTAGAAAAAGGAAGGAGAAATAAGGCTAAAGTTTTGGAAATTTTAAAAATTAATTAATTTCCACCTTCAGCCAGGCATCCATTCTAAGATCCCTTAACAAGTTGAGGATATTAAAAGGAAGCCAGCAACATCCAAAAACCAGAACCTTTGAAAATAATTTTTTTCAAACTAAATATTAATTTAATTAACCATTCTAACAAGCATTCTAAGCAATCTCTGTTTTCTATTCATTTGTGCCTCACTTATAGGCCTTAAAAGTTGGGCACGTCTGGATTCAATAAACCTCCAAATAAGACGATAACTTCTTCCAATGATTGCAAATGGAAGGACAAACTTTTAAAATTTTTCTCAATTTTTATTCAAAATCTACTTGTAATATAGCAGTAATAACCCCATAAACACTCCTCAAATCCTCCAAATCAACCCAATCTTCAACACAAAGGGAGAAATGGCAAGGCCATTGAACTTTAAAAATGAATTTTAATAGATTAAGGTGGGTGGATGCACACCTTGAGCAATTCTCATATGAACAGCATAAGGCAAAGCGAGGAGAATGGACACACACCAAATGAGAACAATTACAGCTATACAAACCTATAAATTTTTAATTTGAGAGGAATTTTGAATAAGAGATAAGTTCAACTCCAAAATTTATAGCCTTCGCTTAAAACTAGAGGAGGCTACAACCAGCTATATTTTAGAGAAATTAGCTACATAGTACTTAAAGCAAACTACAAATTTAAATGTAGGGTATAAATTGAGCGTGTAGGCTATACTGCCCTCTTTTTTCAAACAAAAAATTCCAACTTGTTTGGAAGTATGCATTTGTGTAGCACTCCTATTTGGTGGTGCCAAACAGATAACCCAATATCTATCTAATGCAATAGCTGTCAACGAAAGTGAAGAGATAAAGATTGATGCCCCTTGAAACAAAGGCAAAGAATAACAAAGCCAACCACCCCAAATCCAGTGTCCAATGTAGGTATATGAAGGGGTTAGCCATATTGAGCTGAAGCAAACCAAAAGATCAGAAACTGCCAAGTTTGCAATGAATACTTAAATTAAAGAATTCATCTAATATAGAATGCCCTCTGATTTAATGCCCTCCCCTCTCTAATAGGAAGCCTTTTCGGAAGGTGATATCGGTGAGACTCAACTGTCAACTTCACAGACTCTCTTCTTTTCTTCCGGTATTTCAGTCCCAGACTGAAAAAAGACTTTTCCAGTCCCAGACTCTTTTGTCCGTTTCCGGTTTTCAATGAACAAATTAATATTAAGTAAACTTTTTTCTAACCGTTTGTGACAGTCTGCATCTTCTAAAATTATTTTTTAATTTTTTAGATTAATTAATTTATTTATTCTCTACCTTACAATTAACAACAACCCAAACAACCAGCAAATTCCCAACAGTTCCGACAACAAAAATGCTTGGGTAAGCAATCATAAATAAAACTTTTGTCAATAAAAGATCTGTCAAAACCTTTAAAAAATTTTTTTTATTTTTAGAGGTCTGTCACCAATACCTTTTTGCCTGTACAGCTAACAACAGCGCCTGGAATTTGTGGTGGGAGATGTAGAAGATGGGCATTGCTAATGTTGGGGAGCATGTAGGTGGGTTAATTAAATTACTATAATTTAATAAAAAATCAGGCATGCTCATGATTACAGATTTTCGATATCCGCATCCAGATAGAATTTTTTGGCTATGTCCGTATCCGTTTTATCCGGGAACTTCTTTGACCATATCCGCCCGCGATATCGATTCTCAAAAATTTTCAAGAAGGTGTCAGTTTTTCAGTGTCAGTCTTTCAGAGGCGCAGGTATTCGGATATCTGCGGATATATCGAATCCGTGAGCATGCTTGGGAAAAAAGGTTCGACAAAGGGTTAATTTAAGTTAATTTTATTAAAAATATTCGAGAAAACATAAAAGGTTTTACTGCGCTTCCCAGCCTTTTTTTATTTTCATGGCTATTTTTTGTTATTTCCGCCGAGTATTTGCGTGTGAATAGTTGAGTAGGTGGTTGGACGAGAAAAATGAGAAAAGGGAAATTTTTTACGTTTATGGCCGCTAATCAAATATTTTTTTTCCTTTTTTTGCTTTTCCTCATTCCTCACATTTTTCTTCATCTCGTTTTTCCCAGTCAAAGGAAATGCCAAAAAAGAAAAAAAATAAGGAAAAGTATGAACGGATATGTATATGTGTTTTTAATGAATTTTTTAAAGGAGCTAAAATAAGATTTATATGTATTTATTTGGTATAGGAGGAAAGGGGAAAAGGATGTTTGCAGTACAAAAGTAGACTATAGGTGACAGATGTAGTAGTGTGAGGAGGGGGATGGGTCATCAAATGAATGGTCGTAAATACTCTAATTAGAGCCCTGGGCTTCTATTTTTAAATTGGTCACGTTGAGCGGATTTCTTATTTTTCGAGGGGCTGACTTGAGATGCGGGCTTCTAATAAAGCCGGGATTTAATTAATGCATTTAGGGTAATATAAAGCTTAAAAAGTTAGTAAGGATTATTTATTCAGAGCGATTTTTTTATTAAAATGGATAGAAAATTTAATTGTTTAAATTTTTTAAATTAAAGAAAAATTCATTTTTAACTCATTTTTTGCCAAATCCATTCGTAATTTTAATAAATTCATTTTTGGAATTTTTATTAAAAAATTAATTCTCTATCCAATTTTAAATCTTTATTGGCTCACTCTTTGAGGCTATTAGTTAAGAAAGAAATGTCGTCATAATCCAAAACTCATTAAAAATGTAAAAAGCTTTAAATAGGGAAAAAACAATATAATTTATGCTAACGTTTTTTGTTTTTATTTATTTTTGCATATTTTTTTATTTTATTTTTGGCACTCTAAATATTTTTTAAAGAGGGGGAGTTTTTTTCAAATGGGATATTTTTAAACATAATTTTTTACTGTTTTATATTTTCTTTATTTTACTACAAAAATAATGTCAATTAGATTAATAATTCTAGTAGTGCAAAAATAATAATTTTTCTGTATTTTCTCTGAATTTTCTGGACTTTTGTACATCCTTCGTCTGTCTTCTTGTTCAAAAATAATAGGAAGAACTATACCAACTGTAAAACAATTTTGGAAAAAAATTTTGTTTTTAGGTTTACCGTCTGTAATAGTAAGGCCAATCATAATCATAGCTAAAAATAATTAAAGAATTTTATTTTTAAAAATTAATAATTAACAGATAGCTTTTGTAACGGCTCCAATAATTGTAGGGATAATACCAGTAATAAGGGTTTGAGATGTAGTCACTAAAAAATGTTTTTGTACTTTTGTTTTAATTTTAGTTTTTCATAAGGGGTGTGCCGTTTCGGCTTTCACCTTTTTGGAGTTTCGGCTTTCGCCGAATTTTCGGGGTTTTTATTTCGCCCTATAGTCTTACGTTTTTTAAAATCTTTTTCGGCACATCCCTGTCATTATTCTCACCTGTAGTAATAACGACGATACGGAAATAGACTTCGATAGTAGAGAGGAGTATAAGTTGAGTAATAAGAATAACGATCATACCAATAATAATCAGACTGTTGATTAAATTTGTAAAAAAATTTTTTTAAGTTTACAAACCTGCCAATAGTCACGGTAACGATAAGGGTACTTTAATTTAAATTTTGGAGGAATTTTTTAAATTTTGAGAGGAATTTATTAAACGACATACCCAATAACGCCAACTATAGTAAGGATAATAATATGAAACTGGGGTGTAACTAGAAAAATTTTAATGATATTATTAATAATAGGCATGTAGGAGTGATTGTACCTTGTAAGTGATGGCACAGAATAAGTTCGAGTTAAACTATAAGGACCAACACTGGGCAAGTCTAGTGCTGAATATGTTCGGACAAGTGCCATTTTTTGTTAAATAATTAATTTTTTATGGACTTTAAAAATGAGAATTTAGGGGATTTTTTGATTTTTTGTTGACTATTAAACTGAGAAAGCCGTTCGAAAAGTAAAATTAAATATTTGACTTGTTTACAGAACCATATGGCGGGGGAATGTTTATAGATTTTATTTAAGTAAGTCAACACTTTTTTGGAGCCAATTGTTTTTGTTTTTTGTTTAGAGAGTAAAAAAGCTTTTCTCTTTTTGATATCTTCATACAAATTCCGTTAACAAGAGTTCAAGATTTAAAAAATTTAAGAAAAAGAAGCGAATAATTTTATTATTCTGGCACAGGTTTTTGGGGGAAAAATGGCAATAATTTTATACTTTGGGTGTGTTAATAAATGAATAAAAACAAAATTAACAAAAATAACAATTTCTAAATCAGTAAAATACAAAATTAATTTTCATATACACCCAAAGTAATTTTTAAGTAAGGGACAAGGCAGTGTGATTTTTTTATCTAACAAAAATTATTATTTTAATTCTTCTATTTTTTTCTGTTTCTACGTGGGATTAAACGCCGGTACCCATTCAGCTTTGTAATCCCTTATTTCTGGTTTATGTGAATCGGGGTTAGAAAGATTCTTGTCCCAAAGGTAGAGAAGGCGCCAGTCTTTGTGCCGTTGGAACCAGCTAGTTGATGAAATCCAATTACGATTTAATTGTGTAAAGGAGATGGTCTAAAATTAAAAGGAAAAATATTTTTTGGCTAGAAAAAAATTAATAACCCCATTGCGGTATAGGGCCAATCCTTTGTGCAGTCCATCCTCCATACCTGTGCCAAACGGGGGAAGACTTTTAAAGGCCCTTCAATAATAGATACTGTCGAGAAGCCAGCTCCGATAGCGATAACTGCCCAAATATGAATCATAGTAAGGATCGTACCACCTTGAAATTTTTTTGAATTTTTATTTATTTTTAAAAATTTTAAAAACCTTCTTGAGTAGTAGGGCAAACTGTAATCTCTGAAAAAATTTGTTTTAGTTCTAATTTTAAAAATTATTAAACATGCTTACAAGTAGCTTCTGTAGCGGCTATAGTAGCTGTATGGATAGTATCCATAATAGCTAAAATTTAAGAAAATTAATCGAAGTATTTCAAAACGTAAAGATACCCATAAGGGTAGTAGTAACGACTATAAGGGTATGAATAATAGCTTCGATAGGTGTAGGGCCAAGAATAGTTGTAGTAAGAATCCGTCTATAATTGAAATATTTTTGTGTTAATTAAATCAAATAAAAAAATTTGCAAGTAAAGCTAACTTACTAGATAACGATAAGGATACTAAAATTTAATTGTAAAGGTTTTAAAAAATTTTTAACAAAAAATTTACCCAATATCTCGAACTGTAGTAGGGATAGTAGTAATAAGATGAAAATGAAGGCCTGTACCTAAAGCGACAAAAAAGGATTAGGGGAAATATTAAATGAAACATACAAATCAGGCACTGAATACGTGCGAGTTAAACCTATAGGAGCGCAACTCGAAAGAGCTAAAGCTGAGCGAGTTCGGACAAGTGCATAGTCTGACATTTTTTGTCTAAAACTTTGTTTTTAAATTAAAATTCCTGATTTAATTTTAGTCTTCCAGAAAATTTTTTAAAATTTGACAAAAATATTTTTAGTAAAAATGTTCAAAGGTCAGAATAAAATTTTTTAAACAATGAAAGAGAAATCATTCGTTTAATTTTGTGATGATTAGGCACACAAATTTAACGCCATTTGACTTTAATTTTTTTTAAATGCTTTTGATTTTCTTTTACTTTTGTCTTTACTTATCTCATATTTCACATTCTCATTTAACATTTCCATGTGTTCTGTAAAATAAGGGGGAGAGAAAAGAGTGAATGAATGAATGAATTCGTGGGGGCGGAAATTACCAGTTGCGATTTTCATTTTAGTTCTCCGAAAAGAAATAAAATTTTGTGTTTAAAAGTTAGGGAGGATTTTATGTAAGGATAAACATAGTAAATAAAATGTTTAATTAGAGATATGAGTGAATAAGGAGATGTTCTTCTTGTCTAGTCTCCTTTTAAAATTTCAGATATTTTTAGTTAACTTAGAGAATGCATGACAACAGTTGCTTCTTTTAAAAATGATAGGGGAAGAAGAGCTTTATTGAATTTATTATTAAACTAAAGATTTTTTATAAATGAGAGTACATTGAATCGATCAAATGAAAATTGTGATTGTGATTTTATTCTCTTAAGATAATGTAAAAGCTGAAAATTTTAAAAATTTTATTCACAGAAAATTCCGGAAAGCTTTTATTTTTTAATTAAATGATTTGTTCTTTTTCCTCTCTTCATATAGTAAACTTTCTCCTCACCCATTCGCATTTAGAGATACCAACGCTCCGGGTCAAGTACCCATTGATATGGCTGATAGAGACCGTCAGAAGGACATTTAGCATGAAGGCGTTGATCAACAAGTACTAGACATTTTGGGCATTTTTGCTGAAAGTTGCTTTAATTTTGTTTATTATCGCTAGCTTTTACCAAATTCTTAGTTAAATTCGGTGCCACTTTGGCCTGTACATAAGCCGAAGAACGTGCTAGCCGGAGTTGATAATCCCCATGTCGACAAATTTGTGCTGAAAAATTTGAGCAACGAGATTCCATTTAGGCAATTAATTAGAAAATTAAATTTTAAATTTTTTTCGTCAGTTTTAAGTAGAAGTTGAAGAGAGAATTTTAAAAGCAAGAAAAATTACTTTGGACAAATGGGGGAAATTTATAGGGAAAAGAAGCGAGATATAAACAAAAGCAAGGGAAACAACAACAATAACAACTGCTTTGATCACTCTCTTTTTCACATTTCATTTAAAATTTAAGTCTTGTAATGAAGAGAATATTAGATCAAAAATAAAATGTAGATCAAGTATAAATATGTATATAGGTGAAATGTGCCGAAATTGATTTTAAAAAGAAAAAGGCGAAAGTTAATAAAATTCTAAAGTTAATTTTTTAAAGTTAAACCTGAGGCAGTAAAAATACTTGAAACCCCAATAATAATTATTTTTTAAAAATAGTTTTATAAAAATAAAAAAATACAATTTGAGTGAGTGACCATTGTTAGGCAAAAATTTTTAAAAAATTTCAATTAAAAAATCAAAAGAAATGTGCTCTTTGCATTTTATCATTCAATCTCTCTTCATCTTCACCATTACTTGAATTACTATAATTATCATTATCTTGTGCTGGAGGTGTAGGTAATAATCGGCGATGAGTACGGGGAGATCCAGAATATTGGGCGGTCACTAGAAAAATTTAAAAGTACGAGAAAATTGTCGAAGGTTTACCAGATTTTCTAGGCCTTGTCTGTATTCCAGCCAAAATTTCTTTGCTTGTTTTTAAGCTGCTACTTCTACGCGCATTTACCCCCGACGTCGAGGAATCACGTAGTCGATGAGCTGCTGGGGAAATTAATATTTGTCGATCATTTTCACTGAAAGGGTTGTCAGGATCGCGTGGTGAAATTCCTTTAGACTTGAAAATTTTGGGAAAATTTTTAAAAAATTCTTTAGATGTCAAGAACCTTCATGTATCCAATTAATTGTCCAGGAACTTCAAAAAGCACTTCTTTAGCTAGTTTAGCCTTAGCCTGTGCTAATTCTAATTCAGTCATAGTCCGGTGAGGAGGCAGAAATTTGCGGATTTGAACGAACTTAAATAAAAGGGGAAAATAACTTTTTGAATTTTTTGAAAAATTTTTCGAATTTTGAAAATTTTTGTTTTTTCTTAAATTTTTTTTAAATTTTTTTGAAATTTTTTGTGTTTTTTAAATTTATTCACTTGAACAATGTCCCTTTTTGCATATTTTTTGTGTGAACATAAAAGTCTATTGTCAGAGTCCAAAACTTTCATCTCATCAAAAGTATCATAACCAACACCAACTACAATTATTGATAAAGGCAATGAGGAGGCCTAGAAACGATTATTTTAATTAAAAAAAATTTTTTTTTGATTACTTTAATAATTTCCTCCTTAGTTTGTTCAAAATCAGTAATAGCTCCATCTGTAATTATTAATAGCACACAATATTTGCAGCCATTTTCAGGCAGTGATGCTGCTCTTCTTGCTGCTAAGCGAATTGTAGGGGTAAAATCGGTTGGGCCACTATTTAATTTTTAGAAAAAATTTTTGGAAATTATTTTGAGGGTGTAAAACCTTAATTCCACTTTGGATTGGGCAATACTGTAAGCTTCAAGAACGCCGTCCACGCTTTAAATAGAATTTTAATCTTTTTGTTGAATTTTAAATTCGTTTACCCCTTGCAACGAGGGTCATTTGTTTCCAAATTCTTAAAAAATAAATTTAATTTTTGGAATAATTTTTGGGGGTTTTTTTAAACTTTTTTTTTAAATTTAATATTTATTTTTTAATATTTTTTTAATTAAGAAAATTTTTTTACCAAAGGGAAATTGTAGTGAACTTTATCATCCACTGAAGGTATTCTAGCGCCAAACCCGTATGCATTAAATAACTAAAAATTGAAATTTTTTCTCCTGCTAAAATTGCTTCTATTACTTTGCTTCTACTATAATGCTGGCAAATTTCTAAAATTGCGCCAATTGCCAATTCGTATTGATTCATACGATCGCGGCGATGGAGAGATGAGTGATCCTGCATAGGCAAATTTGATTTTGTAAAGTCCACCGACACTGTAAAATCTAGCTCGGTTCTAAAATCAAAACTTATTTTTGAAAGTTCTAGGGAATTGGTTAAACTCACCCTCCTCGAATAAAATCTAAGAAAGTATAATCATTCCATAAGTGTATTCTGTGAAATTGTACTTGTCCAGAATCTACATATTTTTTGTGTTTTTTAAGTTTCTTTTCGTTGATTAACTAGAAAATTTGGAATTCTTTGACTTTAGAAATTTGTTAGGATTAAAGGAGCTGTTTTGAAATTTCGACTTCTGAGTTTCGAATCAGCCCTGTTTAATATTTAAAAATATTACGGGTAATTCCTTGTCTAGTCCACAAAGCAGTCTATTCACTGTAGTCTGGCAAGCGCCAACCAAATCATGATTTCCGTCCTGATCCCAGTCGAAACACTCAATAAGGAAAGGTCTGTCTTTATCTCCATAACATAATTGTTGTGTTAGTATTTCAAAAGGTTTCCATTTTGGATTCAAATTTTGTTCGTGATACCTTGTTCTGAAGGCTAATTGAAGCCTTAAAAATATTTTATAGACTTCCAAAAAAATTTTTTTGAACAAACGTGTTGTCTAAATTAATTCGGCTAATCTTCAAAAAAGGGTCGCACTTTCCCAAAAAATCTTTTCTGTCCAAGTTGTGACCGCTAACAACAAAATAGACAGATTCTTGCCTTCCTTCACTTAATTCTTCAGCTACTACAGTTAATATTCCGGCAAATTCTCCTTCTTCCCTTTAAATTCTGAGATTTTTTAAATATTTAATTTTAAGGGGTTTTTTATTCGGGGACAGAAGGCGGAAGTTATATTTAATTTTAATCTTTGGTCCATTTACTTAATCTCTAGTTCATTTTAATTTTATTTAGATATTTTATTTTTTATAATTTTCTTATTTATGTTAGCTTTTTGAATACCAACATAATTTAATTCTTTAGAAAAAAATTTCTTTTTAAGAAAGCATTTAATTGAACCATTTAAAATTCTATTTAGGGAACATAATGAAGGGATTGAAAAAAATTTTTTTGAAATTTAATTTTTTATTTTTATTTTAAATTAATTTTTAATAATGGGGGGGGGCTTAAAATTAGAAAAAAAAATTTTTTTTATTTACAAAAAAAAAAATTACATCAAATTCTTTGAAAGCCTATTCATATTAGCACTAACAAGTTCGTGTAATAAGATTGAGCATTGTCCTATACGTTTAGGGTAAAGCCGGCCAGCGGGGTTCAAGCCTTCCTTGTTTTTATCAAAAACTTCAAAGTGAAGTCTCTGTTGTTCTTCAAAAAAATAGGTTAAACATATTTTTGTACTCCATTCTGGACAGTCTGTATTTCCAACAACTTCGGTTTGTCCAAGAAATTCCCATTGTCGATTAGGAGCACTGGAAGAATCACACACACTAACTCGACAATAAGGGTCGATACATTCATCTGGGTCCAAATCTCGGAGTTCTCTTTAAAAATAATTTTTTCCTTGGTCAAATTTATGCTAGAAACTTTGCTGTAATAGTTAGCATAACCCTCGAACAAAGTTCTTGTCGCCTAATTCCATCAGCAGGTCCAGGCGAATCAGCCCAATCCCCGCCTCTTAAAGGGGATGAATTCATTCCAGGAATGCCTGCAGTTGTTTCATAAAGTTGTTCAAAATTCTCCATTGTTTTAATTCTGTAAAGAGGAGGACGTCCAGAAAATGATTTTGAGCGATTAAAGGATGAAACTGATAAGGAAGATTTTAATTGTTTTGTGGTTGGTTTTGGGGGTATTTTTCGACGAACGGACATTGAAAATTAATTTTTTTAGTTGAATTTTAACAGAGAAAAATTTTTTGGGAGAGAGAAATGATTTTATAAACGGGATAAACTTTTTTATTTTATAAAAAGGAAGGGAAAATGGGATAAAAAAAATCTTGGAACGTGATCCTTTTATTTTTTTGCTTTTTTTCTTATTGTTTAGAGCTTTTGCGCAAATTAAATAGAGCTTTAAAATGTTTAGTTAATAGAGGAAAATAAAATGAGAGGGAAACATAAAAACCTGGAAGGTGGATGTTGTTGTTGTAAATTAATTGTAAAATCCCTGGAAAGGTTTAGGAAAAAATTGGGAACGTTGAGAAAAAATTGGAAAGGAAAAGGTTCAGGAAAAGTTGGGAAGGGTCAGAAAATAGGAGAGGTTAAGAAAGGTTTAGGTGGAAAATAAAAGAATTTTTTGTGCCAAACAATTGTTAGAATAATAAAAATTTTATTGTTATAAGCGGCACACATACTAGAAGCAATACAAATATATTTTATGCTTGTGTGTGGAGAGAAAAGTGCGGTAAGGTGAAACAAAGGTGAAAGGTAAAATTACACACATCCATTCAATAGCAATAATAAGTGGTAAATAGAGGAGGGGGGATTTTTATTTTTTATCCATTTTTTTCGGTGTTTGTTTACATATTTAGCTTAAATATTCAAAATTAAAATTATATTATCCGTGAGAATGTTTAAGGTTTTGTTCGGACATTAGGGATGAGCTGTCGTCCGCTTCCGCCTTAAGCTTTCATTTTTTTAAATGCGGCAAAGCCCTTCTCTGGTGAACACGGTAACCAGCATGTTTTACAATTAAGCCATTAATAAGAAGAAGCATTTAAGAGAGTCAACATTTTAATTAAATATTTAACAGATTTTAATTATTTAAAAGAAACAGTTTTTTAAAGATAATTTTATAGCTTTATGAGAAAAATTGAGAAGGGAGAAAAATGTGTGTGTTTGTTGAGAGAGGAAAGGCTAATGGATATATAAAGGCATCCTTTCTGTTTTTTACGAAGGAATACCTAATGGAAAAAAAATAGATTTTATTTTTTTAATATGTAATTTGAATAAAGGGGAAGGGAGGAAGAGAATGAAGATGTACATAAAGCACGCATTTGCTTTTTTAAAGGGAAGAAGACACTTTTACTTGGATTGACAACCGAAGAAGATATAATAATAACGATGATGTCATTTTAAGGGGAAAATATGAGGAAAATATAAATTGAGACCTTTTATTAGGTTTTGGGAGGAATTGAAACATGTAAATAGGTTGGGGAATTGAAGAAAAAAAATTTTTATTTAATAATAGAAAAAAATATTATTAAAGTGTTGGTGAACTTAAAATTATATTATGGCAACTTAAATTTGTTTTTGCAACTTAAAAAATTTTTTTATTGAATTAGGGTTGGCCCTCCCCCCTCCCTAAAAAATAAATAAAAAATATATTAGGGATATTCTCCGACGATGATTCCGAACCACGATAGGTAATTTATTCCCCTACATCCCCGTTCCCCGGGAAAGTCTCCCCAAGAGGACCAACCCTATTTTAAATTTGTGTTTCAACAATTCTTTCTTAAAAATTTAAAAATTTTTTGAACATTTATTTTAATAATCTGTTCAAAGTTTCAAAAAAAGTTTTTTGGCACTCCTTGTTGGTTAATCTCCTCCCACCTTCAATTTTTTATCGTTACTCTTTCATCTAGGGGGAAATACTAATACAATTATTGGGGTAAAATAAAATAAAAAAGCTAAATTTGGGAATAAAACCCTCCAATATTTTTTTGCCAAAGAAATAATTAAATTGCTAAAAAATGCAAAGAAATTGGGAGGGAAAGAATTGGTCTTGTTATGTAGAAATTTCGTGAGATATGGGCAAAGAAAAAATGAAAAGAAAAGGCTAGTGAATTAAATAAAAAATATGTATAAAAAAGGGGAGAGGGAGGGGGATAATCCTTAGGGTGGAAAATTAAAGAAATATTAAATTAATTTTAAAAAGTTGCAGAAATTTTTTTAATAAAAAATTTTTTTTTCTTAAGTATAAGGTTGTTAAATAATATATTAATGGAAAGATTAAATTTTTAAAAAAAATTTTCTTTAATTTATAGTAGTTTTTTGTAATAAATAAAATAAATAATTAGAGATCTTCAATAAAACGCCTCGGGAAAATTCGGGATTTACCCGCCTATTTTTTAAGCATTGCTTTTCGAATTCGAATTTTAATATTGGGGTTTGTGGTCCTTGAAAAATTTCTTTAATTTATATTGTTTTTATTTATAAAACAATAAAATAAAATATAAATTATTTTTGGAGAATTAACTTTTCTTCTTCCCCATTTTTCATTATTTTTTAAACTCTTGGGAATTTAAAAGAAAACCGAGAAAGGAGTAAAAGAATTGAAAAAAAAATAAAAACAAAAGGAAAAAATACTTTAAAAAGAAGTAAATATTTATTTATTTAGAAAAAAACTAAGAGAAAATAAATTAACTTTAAAAAGAAAATCACGATATTTACATAAATAAAAAACAAAAAAAATAAATTAGCTAAAAGTTTTGTGCTTTTCCTTTTCCGTTTAATGAAGAAGAGAAGAAATGATTTAAATGTAAATTGACATTGGGGATATAAACAAATTGGATTTAACCTTCCTCTCAGATAAAGAAAAAGAATTCCTTAGAAAAATAAAAAGGAATTTTATGGCAAAATATAATCGAGGATGAATTTACAGTAAATTCTTTTGTTATTTTAATAATTTAAGGAATGAAATAAATCTTGTTAAATAAGGATATGTTAAATATAAAGATTGTAAGGAAGAAGGTGAAGATAAGGGAATTTAAGATTAATTAAAATGGAAGGTGAGAATGCAAGTAGGTCCTCGGTAGATCAGTTAGTAGAGCAACAGCATTTTACCTGGTGAACGAAAAAAAGCGCCTATGAATAATTGTCAAGAAGTGCCTGGGTCTGCTTGGAGCGTTACTTCACCTCACTTTTACTGCAATAAAATTTAAAAAAATTTTCTGAACAATTTATCAATTAAATAATAAAAAAATATTAAAAATTAATCCATATACATATAAGCTCTCTTTCCTCTTTTGTAGAAAAATAAATTTATTAATTGCCAAACTTGTGTTGTAAAATTAAGCCGGAAATGTTGGCGAGATTGCTAAAGGCAACGACTGTTTCCTCCTCAAAAAATATTAAAAATTTATTTTTAAAAATATCTATATTTATTTTTAAAGCATTTTTCTGTCTGAATTTATTTATTTTTCACTAAAAATTAATTTTTTTAATTCAAAAAATTAATTTAAAATTCCCAAAAAATTATTTTCCAGAAAAATGTCTTCTTCATATTGCTCCAACCTTTCCCAAAAAATATTAAAATTAATTAGTTTAATATTCCTTTTTATTGGAATTTTAATTGCTAGTTTTATTTCTTGGCTTCGTTTTGATGAAATTTTTGAATTAAAATTGAGACAAATTTTAATATTTTCTGACCCGTCAATGGCCCCTCCAGAATTAATTGATACAAAATTAATTTTTAGACAAACAGTTGGGAATTTAAAAAATATTTTTTTATAAATTTTTTTATTTTTTAAAAAGTATTTTGCCCTTTTTTGGATTTTTTTGATTTTTGGAATAATTCTTGTTTTGGCTGGGTTACTTGGAATTTTGTCCATTTGCACTAAAAATAAGCCTTTTAATGGGCTACTTTGTATGTTGTTAATATTGCTTATATTTGTACAAGTATCAGCTTTATTTTTAATTATGATATTTAAAGATAACGTTAGTTTTTTGTATTTTAAAAAATTCTTAATTTTGTGGGCTTTTATTAGATTTTTATTTAATTAAGTTTATTTTACTGGGTATGTGATTTAAATATAAGGAAGCGATGTTAGTGGCAGTTGTGGTGTAGACGGTAGTGATGGTGGCTCCATAAAATTTTCTGCTGGGGTTCGAACCCATCCGTGGGTAAACAATTCAATTTTTGTTTTTTAACTTGTTTTCCTTCGTTTTTTAATTCTTTTAATTTAAAAAAATTTTTAAATTTTAATTTTTGAATATTTTTTAGATTTATACTCTTCTATCTGGTTATCTTTCAACTTCTTTAAAATACAAGTAATCCTTTTTAAATTTATTTAAAGAAAGAGATTAATTTTTATTTTAGCTTGCAGGATGCTGTTGTGATACAGGAAAGGGTATTTTTTTCTAAAAAAAATTTTTTTGGTCCTAAAAATATTTTTAAAAATTATTAAATTTTAAGGTTACTAAAATTAATTTTTATTTTTTAAAGTTTTCTTGTTGTGGAGACGATGATATTACAGCAACATATAATTATAGATGTATTGAATTTGGACAAGTAAGGGTTATTTTTTTAATAGAAAAATTAATTTTTAAAGCCTTCATGTCACCAACTTTTGTTAAAATATTTTAATTTAATTTTCCTTTCAATCGGAATATTTTTAACAATATTAATCTTTATTGAATTGATGGCTATTATTATTTGTGTTATACTTTTATGTAAAAGAGGAGAACAACAATAATATGAGAAGAAAGGGGGAAATTTGATATTTTATAATATTTTTTAATCCGTTTTTGGCAATAATATTAAAACGAGAATGAAAAATGGGGGGAATGTGCGCCGTAGAAAAAAATATTTTTTGATTATTTTTTTGAGTTTTGGAGATTTTTGATTTATTTTTGGAAATTTTTTTTGGTTAAAAAATTTTTATTTTAATTTTAAAAATAAAATAATAATAAAATTCATCCAACAAAAATATTAGAGGGCACACTCTCCCTTTTTAGATAAGAATTGAAAATAAAAATTAAATTTTTTGTGTGTTCAGATGACAACATTTCCTGCATTTTTTTATTTACGTACATTTATTTTATTCTTTTTTTCGTTTGTTAAAAAAATTTCTTCCAATAAATTAATTTAATTTCTATTTTTTATCAGTACAATTATTTTAATTTTTGTCAGTTTTTGACTAAAATTTATATTTCTATTTATTACTCATACAAAAATATATTTTTAAAGCTTGCCGTTATTTGCAAAAATTCTCTAAAAATTATTTTTTTTAAGAAGATTCACTCTTTCTCGCTTTTTAAAATTTATTTTCCAAAAAAGCATTTTTGGAAGATGCAGAAAAATCAATGTTTTTTAATTTTTCTAGTTGGAAGAATTTTTATATTTGTATTTATTTTTATATTTTTCTTCTCGACTGGCAGAGCTTTAAAGCGAAAATATATGTGCTAGGGCATTGTTTTTACATAATATATATTTTTCCTTTATTTATGCTGAGGGAGAATGTGTATTCTTATTTTTTAATTCTTTCTAATGCGCTAGAAAGTCTTAAATTTCTAAATTTCCTTCTAGTTTCCTTAAATTCTTTTAAAAAATTTTAATTGTTCCTTTTTGTCTCGTTTTACCCTTTTCGACGTTCTGTCTCGTTTTACACCTTAACGACATTTTGTCTGTTTTACCCTTATTAACGTTCTGTCTTTTTTTTTGTAGACATTTTGTCGTATTTTATTCCTTTTGCATGTTTTGTCCAATCTCCACTTATCGGCATTTTGTCCACTCTCTTGATGACAATTTTAATTATTTTCTCTTTATGGGCATTTTGTATTTTTGATATTTCGTATATAATTAATTGAAAAGACGTCACATTTTGTCCCATGTTTTCTACACAATACAGAGAAAAAGAAATGTAAAATATAATGTTATGCAATGTTTAACGGAAATGTTAGACACATAATCAATACTAATTAGAGAAATATAACAGAATATTTCTATACAACTTTTATGTTTCTTTTACTTTTAGTTGAGTTTTGAGAATCAATTGCACTTGTATATATCAAATATCCTTTTGAATTAATATTTTTACTTTTTTTTCTTCATCATTTAGTTAAAAAAGAGTAATATAATCCGGATATATATCTATTTATTTGTTATGTAAGCAATCCCTTTTTTTAAAAAAAGAAAGAGTGTTTTGCGGCTTTTCCTTCTTATAACTTTTCTCCGCTCCTATTGATTGTTGTCCCAAGGGATATTTACTTCTCTACTAGTAATTTCTTTGAGAATATGTTTCTGTCTTCTTCTTTTTAAAAAAATTGAGTTTATTTATAAAGTTTTTAAGTTTTAATAATTTATTTCCTGAACTAAATTTTTTTCTTTTTTTTCAGTTAATTTTTTTATTTTATATGTTAAATAATTCTAAAAATAATAAAAATTTAAATAAAATGGAAGAAGTTGATGGATTTTGTTATGGTGGAGAAGTTATTGGACATGGAGCTTTTGCGGTGGTTTATAAAGGCAGACATAAAGAGGTTAGTTTTTTATTTATTTTTCTTCTAGGGAAATTGGGGTTGTACAAGAATTTGGGGGGTTTTCCGTTTTTTTCTGTTAAAGTTTCTGTATAGATTTAGTGAGGTAGTCCGTCTATGACTCTAACAATAATATGAATAAGCTGTTTGATAATCACTTTTTGGTAAAGTTCATGACCATTTAAAATGTTAGGAGATCAGTTGTTTCAATGGCTTAGTGGTAGTGTGTCTGGCTGGCATTGTCTATAGGTAGCCGGTTCGAACCCTTCCTTGGCTTATTTATTTTTAGCGATTTCTCCTTATAGTTTTTATTCATTTCTTTTCATATTTTTTTATTTTTGACCTTTATTGATTTTTTAAATTAAATTTTTTATCATTTTAGACAAACAAAGAAGTAGCAATAAAAGCAATTGCAAAGAAGAATTTGTCCAAAGCGAAGAATTTGCTCACAAAAGAAATAAAAATACTGCAAGAATTGAAAGGTCTTCAACATGAAAATTTGGTTTCACTTTTACGATGTGTGGAGACTCCAACACATGTTTATTTGGTTATGGAATATTGCAATCATGGAGATTTGGCTGAGTATTTATTTGGGAAACAAACAATAAATGAATTGACTATTCAACATTTTTTCTCTCAAATAGGTTTTTTTGAATATTTTTACTAGAATAGGTCTCTTATAATAGGTGCTCTTTATTTGAATTCCCCCTTTAACAAAAGGTCCCCGCAAAAATGTTAACAAGCCTCCCATAGAATTCCCCTTTGGGAGATGATTGAAAATAGAGTGCCCGGGCGTTCAATTCGGAGAAATAATTCTTTCAAATTTTTTAGCAAAGGCATTGGAAGCTTTAAACAAAAAAGCAATTGTTCATAGAGACCTGAAGCCTCAAAATATTTTGTTATGCAATCCTCGACATCCAAACAAACCACAACCTACTCAATTAATTGTTAAATTGGCGGATTTTGGTTTTGCTCGTTCTCTGCCTGAAGGTATTATGGCTGGAACTCTTTGTGGTTCTCCAATGTATATGGCGCCGGAAGTTATCATGTCACAACAGTATGGGGCTAAAGCTGATTTATGGTCTATTGGAACGATTATTTATCAATGTTTGACTGGAAAGGCTCCTTTTTTGGTTTGTTTTTTATAACTTTTAATTTAGGGTGATATGAAACTAACACAACAACCTTCGTTTGGGTCCTTTAAGTATTTAGACCTAATAAAAGTCTTTTTTTCTCGAAAAGATTCTTTTGGGAGTTTTGGGCCTACCTACATTTATCTTTACTAGTTACTGAAATAATATTCCAAGTCATTATTTAAATTCTGTTTCTTATCAGCATTTTAATTTAACTCAACATTCCATACTTTTAGGCACAAACACCTCAAGCATTAAAAAATTATTATGTGCGACACACTGATTTGAGACCAAATATTCCTGACTTTTGTTCTCCTCTTTTGGCTAATTTACTTTTGGGATTATTAAAAAGAAATCCTGTTGATCGAATGGAATTTGGTTTGTTTGAAATTTTTTGTTTTGAAAATTCTTTGATTTTCAGATGCATTCTTCACCCATCCATTTTTTGTCAAAGAAATTAATATGGATGCAGGAGGTTCTCCATCTCGACATATTTCTAGACAATTATCTTCTGAAATTAATTCCTCTCCTGTTCATCATCCTAAAACAACAGGCAAAATTGTAGTAGGCCAACAACAGCAGCAAGGAGGTGGATATTTTACTGGCATGAAGCAACGAATAATTCCTTCTACAGACAGACATTTGGTATTTTTATTTAACAATAATAGGGCTTGTAAATTTTTTAAAACCTTAACCTTGCTCGAATCAGGTTCTTAAGCGGGAATCGGAAATCACTCAACTCTTGGAGTCTCTAATCCGTAATTTTATTATTTTTAAAATTTTATAGCCTCAAACAACTACAACAACCACAAAGACTACTACTTTTCAGCCAAACACATCAATACGTAAACAAATTCCTCCTCCAAATAATCAAGACAGACAAGGATATTTACAAACAAAGACAAGTATTTTAATGTTTTTTTATTTAATTTATATTTTTTAGCTCAACTAAATGAGTCTGGTGAATTTACTTTTTTACCTCCATTACAAGAAACTCGCCAGTCTCATCAAAATCTTCAGCATTCTGGAGGCTCTTCTACGTGTTCTTCGGATAATCCTGTTAAACAAGTTCAAGTATTTATTTAATTTTTATTTTTAATTATGAGATCTCCTACCAAATCTCCTATCATTTAAATTAATTTTTAAAGGTAAGCGCAACAAATATACGTCCAAAAATTTCATCAAATGTTCGAGCTGTCCCTGTACCTAATCAAAGAAATGCTTTTGCAAAAATTGAGGAAAGGAAGAATGGCAAAAATATTAGCAACAACAACAATAACAATTTGTATAATAATAATCAAACAATAGCAGATCAACAACAATTAAAAAATATTAAAAATGAAAATGGTTTATTTAATAGAGGAGAAAAAATGGCAGAATTGAAGGAACAAAAAATTACAAGAATTCCTTCTGTTGAGAAAATTGAAATTCCACAAAGTTTGTTTTCGATAATTTTTTTCTGGGAATATTTTGTTTTTTGGGGGTTTTGAAGCTTGAGAGGTTCTGTTTCTTGTTTTTTTCTTTCCAATGGTTAGTTGTTCCAATAGGTTCGGTTTCCTCATTTTTTTCTATGAGCAAGTCCAAATCTCTTGAGACTGATTTGTCTTATTCGTGTATATTTTTATTTTTTCTAGCTCGTTTTATCGTTTACAATCAGCAACAACAGCAACAAACCCCAACAACGACACCAAAACCTTCAACAATAGAAACTTCAAAATTCCGACGAAATAATACAACTAATGAAATTTTACAAGACAACAACAACCAAATAGATACAACAATAAATTCCCCTTGTTCAATTCCAAAATCAGCAACAACAAATACTTTACCTTTAACAACAACTTTAAATAATCAACAACAAAATTTACAAAATAATAATTTAAAAAATTCAACCAAATCTCCAATTCCTCCACCAATTAAAGTTAAAGCATGCATGAAGGTTGTTAATGTTGGAAGAATGTCTGAAAGGTAAATAAAAATTTAAATAAGTAAAATTAGTGGAAGAGTTTTTTTTCTTATTGTTAGCCTATTTGAATAATTTTATTTTGATCGAAAGCTCTGAGTGTGAGTAGCATTATTTTTAATAGAAGTGATCTGATTATATAGTCACATAAAAAGTTAGTCTCATGAGTGTACATCTTCGCTTTTATTTGACTAACTTTTTATGAAATGGTCCGATTAGATTAATCCATTTTAGAAAAATAATCCGAATATTTTGAGCTTTCGATCTAAAAACTTTATTCTTTTAGTGAAGATGAAGAGGAGGAGGAAGAAGAAGAGGAAGATGATGAATATATTCGTGATCAAGTCCAATTACCTTTTACTACAACAGAGGAATTTATGGGTTTGTTTTAAATTTTAGATGATTTTCTATTTTTATTTTTTAGACGAATCAACAATGATTGATGATGATGAAGAAGAAGAAGATAATAAAATGGCCAATAAAATTAAACCTTCAACATCTTCATCATTTAATTTAAACAAAACAATCACTAAAAATCATCAAGAAGAGGAGGAGGAAGATGATACTTTAGAGCCTCCACCACCACCCGAATTAGAACAAGAAACAATTTTGGATGAATGTCATAATCAAACATTGGCAAAATTACGTTTTGTATTAGAATTGATTGAAACAATATGTTCTGTTGCTGAAAATAAATCTAATCCAATTGCTATTGCTATGGAAAGTAGTAAACATAGATCGGTAGAGGATTTTTTTCTTATTTTTTTCTAGAGGTTAGGGTATTTTTTAACTGCTAGATTTCCTTGACCTTTCTTCAGAAAAATCCTAGATCCAAAAAAACCCTACAAAACAATAACCTTCTCCTTTCTGAACTCAAATTCTTTTTTGGATGCATGATTTTTGGAGTTTATTTTAATAAACTCCAGGCTCCAAATAAGAACTATAACATATGACCAAGTTTTGACAAATTTAAACACAAATCAAGACTCATCTCAATCTCTTTAATTAAAAAATTTTTTATATTTAAGAGACAACCCTCTTCTGATGCATATCGTCGTGCTGAACAATTAGTTTTGTACATCCGTGCATTACATATACTTTCATCTGCTTTGGTTTTTTCACAAAAACAAAGTTTATATTTCTAATTTTTTAAAATTAATTTTTAAATAATTTTTTAGTAAATGCAGAAAAACTACATCCATCACCAGCAGTTCAAAATGTTTTGAATCAGTTGAATGAAAAATATCATCATGTATTTTTTTAAATTTTTTATTTAATTTTTATTTTTTAAAAGTGTTTGACAAGGTCTCAAATGCTTGCTTCACATGGTATTCCTGGACAAGATCCGCAGATGATGGTTGTGTCTGCTGAACGTTAGTTTTTTTTAAATTTATTTTAAATTTTGATCCGGGTCTGGGCCAAGGTTTTTCTTATCATTGACTTTGGCGTTTCTTCCAGCTTCCTCAATTTTTCTTGTTTCGAGGTTCTAAATTCGGGGCATAAGTCGGTGAATTCAAAAATTAATTCAGCTCCAAAACTTTTAACATTCTCGATATCCATTTAAAATCCTTTCTATAAAATCTCTGTTATTTCAAAGGTTTAATGTATCAACACGCAATTGAATTGTGTCAATCAGCTGCTTTGGATGAACTTTTTGGCAAACCACAGCTTTGTCCAAAACGTTACCAAATGGCTTATATGATGTTACATACTTTGTTATATACGGTTTTTTTTAATTTTCTGAAATTTGTAAAAAATTTCTCTAAAGGTTCAAGATGAACAGGACAAAGCAATTTTACAAAAATATAAAAATGCAGTAGAAAAACGTCTTCGAATATTAGAAAAGCAAGGTTTAGTTACTTCTGTAATTAATGATAAAACGATTTTGAGGGATTAAGTTTTTCTTATATAAATTCCCCGAAAACGGGTTTTCTATATTCTTTTCTTGCTCCCTTCTTTAATTATTTTGTAATCCCATATATTTAATAGACAAAAATAAAAGAGTTTTTAAGTCAAATCTTTAATTAAAAAATATTTTTAGTCCCCAGTAGAAAAATTCGAATTTGTTTATAAAAAGAAATCTTGGGCCTCTTAAAATTCCTTGGTACTTAATTCGGTCGAAAATTATTTTCTGTCTGTACTTTAATAAAAAAATTTGGGAAAATCAAAACACATAAACCAAGAGTTTAGGAAAAATCCCAGCTCGGACATACTTGGTCAGAATCTTTTAATTTAAGGAGAAATAAAGATTTGACTTAAAAAAGAATTTTTAAAACACTCCACGTCTACAAAAAATAATTTTTAAGTACACAACACTTTTATGTATATATTTTTTAATCAAAAAATTTTTTTCGGCTTTATCTTTAATTTTTTATACTTTATTTTTTTGGTGCTAATTGTATATAATTTAAATTTTTGGTATTAAAAAGGATAGTGTCTAACAGAATTATGCCAAAATTTTATGTCCTTTTTAACTGTATAGTATTAACTAAGACTTGTGCCATGTATTTTTGTTTGAATAAATTAGTTATATAAATTGGTATTTTGGATTTTTAAATGGGAAAGATTTCCCAATTTGGATTTGAAATTTCGCTTAAATTTGGCGTGAAACATAAGAACAAACTACTAAATGATGACCCCAAAATTAGAGAAATGAAAAAAAAGAAATAGTATAGTTAGAGAAAAAAATAAAAATGTCATTGAGGACAGTTGAGTACGAGCTTTGGAGGTTAATTTCAAAAAAATCGATACTAATCAATAAAATCAATAGTAATCGATAATTAATTTTTTATAAATTTTTAATTTTCAAAAAATCGATACTAATCGATAAAATCAATACTAATCGATAATTTATTTTTTTAAATTCTAAATTTTCAAAAAATCGATACTAATCGATAAAATCAATACTAATCGATAATTTATTTTTTTAAATTCTAAATTTTCAAAAAATCGATACTAATCGATAATTTATTTTTTAAAAATTCTAAATTTTCAAAAAATCGATACTAATCGATAAAATCAATACTAATCGATAATTTATTTTTTTAAATTCTAAATTTTCAAAAAATCGATACTAATCGATAAAATCAATACTAATCGATATATTGATTTTTTAAAAATTTTAAATTTTCAAAAAATCGATACTAATCGATAAAATCAATACTAATCGATATATTGATTTTTTAAAAATTTTAAATTTCAAATACTATACAAACAAAAACTGATTATTGACGAGTATTTATATTTATTCAAACATAAAATTTGTCTAAAAACAAGCAAAACTTGATACAGCCGAACATGGAGTCTTCATTTTATTTCTTTGATGTCTTATTATTTGTAAAACGGCTATCAGTTCGACTGTATTCGATTAAACAAGAAACTTTTTTAAAAAACTATGTTTTCGTCTCCTTCGTCCCCAAATCCAATTTTGATATTTGCGCCAACGCCTGCTTCTTTTGTAATTCCATTGCTTCTTTGTTGCTCAGCAATCGGATGTTGTGCTTGTCCTTGTAGGCATTCAATTCTTGTCCATGTTTGACCATCTGTTGTTCAAGCTCGTCCATACGTTCTTTGAACTGAAAAAATCGTTTAAATCGTTAAACAACCCAAATTCCAACCCCAAGAAGGTTAAAGTAAAACAAAAACCTTTTTCATCGTCTCGGCCAAAATGATGACCAATTCGGATGCTTTAAATTCAATTAAGGTGTCTCCAACTTGCCGGAAACATTTCCTGTCCGGTTCCAATGTTTGCATAGTCTTCAGAACTGTCCTAAAAGTTTTCTTAATTAACAAAATTGCAAAAAATTCAAAAAATATACGCGTGTTCCCGATGCTCAACTCGCAATTTTGCCAATTCATTCATTACATTTTGTTGTTGGTCTCTCAATTTTTGATAACCATCAATTATTTTTTGTTGTTCTTTTTCGCTAATTGGAGTTGACGATGAAGCAGCTTGTGTTGTTGTTGTTGTAGTCATTTTTTATTAAATTTATAGATTAAATTTAACTAAAATATTTATTGATTATAACAAATTAAATGAAAAAAGGTAACCAAAAACAAGGAAAAAATAAAAAAAACTGTCTAATTTGTTAAAGAGATGGAAACTCTCTCATTTTGCAACACTCTCTCATTTTAAACATCTCTAGTTCATGCACCATGCTTTAGCGAATAAAAGAATAATAAAAATATCAAAAATTTAAAATATATAACAGAGAAAAACAGGACAAAACGCCCAAAAGGGTTAAAAATGACAAATTGCCAACAAGGGAATGATAAAATGCCTATAAGGGGAAAATAAACAAGACGCCAATAAAGGGAAAACTAGACAAAATGCCTATATGGGAAAAGTAGACAAAATATCGATAAGGGGAACTTGTACAAAATATCGCTAAGGTGAAATATGGACAGAATATCGATAAGGGTAAAATTGGACAAAATGCCTAAAAAGGGAGAATCGACAAAGGAACAAAGATAAGAAGCGGACAAAATGTTTATTTGGGGAAAACTGGACAAAATGCCAAAGAAGATGGAAATAGAAATAAAAAATAAGATTGGACAAAACGATCCAATGTTACTAAAAATGCAATAAAATTTAAATATTTATTAAAGACAAATAAAATTTTAAAATAATAAATAAAAATTTAATTAAAATTTAAATCTCTTCTTTTTCCAATTTTAGATATTTGAAAGCATAAAAGCCACAATTAAAGGAAGAAAAACTAAAAAATAAAAAAATATTTTTTAAAAAGATTCTTCATTTACCTTTACTAAAATAAATTAAAGAAATTTTTCCAAAATTCCAAAAACTTGAATTACACAAATCTTCATTATCACATTCATAACATTTACAGGAATGTTTGTAAAAACTTGGACTCATTCCCCAAACATCTCTAACTCCTGCACAAGTTCCACAAGACTTCCAAACAACTTTAAAAATATGTTTTTAGATTAATTTTTTAAAGGAGTTCCTATTAGTGTTTGTACTGATTATTGGGCCATAACTTTTTTTGATTCCTACCGATTAGAATAATTAATATGTCAATCGAGAGCTCTGGATGTGAGGATTATTTTAGCCAAAAGGATCGATTTGATTAGAGCATCCTATTAAAAAATACAGCCAAATAAAGATCGAAAAACGAATGAAAAAAGTTATGGCCAAAAATATGACCTCGTTATTTAATTCTGAAACGGCCTTTAAAGGTAATGCACGTTTCAACCAAACTTTTTTCTCGTTTTCCAGTCTATTTTTAATTGAAATAATTTTCTCTAAAATTTAAAAACTCACAAGATCCATAAGTATCCGTATAACAAACAATATTTAAACATTTTCGCTTTTCATATTCCACAGTATCATTGCACCAAAGGGGTTCAATAGGTGGAGGACGATTTGTTTTATTTAAAGGATTTGAGCCTACCAAACATCTTAAAGATTGGGAATTTTGTTGTTTATTTTCTATTAATTGTTGTGTTGGTTTTGGAGTTGTTTTTTGTGTTGGTTTTGTTAAAGTTCCATTTAAAGTTCCATTTATTGCTTCATTTAATGTTGTTCCATTTAATCCTTCGTCTGTTCCGTTTGTTTTATTTGAAAATAGCATTGTTGTAGCTGTCGAATTTTCATTTTCAATAATCTCTAGCGTAGTATAATTTACTAAAAAATTAAATTTAAAAAGGGAGTACTTTTTGATTTTTGAAGTTAAAATAGAAAAAAATATCTTAGAACAAAAAAATTAAATTTCGACATTTCAAATTAATGGGTTGCAGTTCAAATCCAGGGTTTTTTCCTTAAAATCCTGATTTTATTGAAATGCCTGGATACCGGGCCCGGAAAATCCTGTACAGGTGTAGAACTCTAATAAAAAATAATAATCTTTACCCTCATCTTCGAAGTAGATCGTCGTTTCATTCTCAGATATATTAATTGTAGTAGCCGAGATAATTGAAATCCACAAGAGAATAAGCCACATTTCTACTAGAAAAAATTAATTAATTAAATTTAATTGGTTTTTAGATATTTTTTAATTAAATTAAAAATCTAAAAATAAATTTAAAAACAAAATACCATTTTAGAAATGATTATAATCTAGCCTTCTAATTTTTGCCATATAAAAACATCAAAAGCCTTTTTTGTATAGAAAAAACTAAAAAAAAATAAAAAAAGACTGAATGAATCATATTTAATTTTAACAAAATAAATTTTGAAAAGCAAATATTTAAAAATCCAAAGTTTAAGGGGCTATAATTCTGAAATTTGGGAGATTTCATTAAACACCTAATTTACTATTTATAAAGGACAATCTAGATTCACATACTAACATTCTTACAATATTATTTAGATCCCTAACTTTCTTCAAATCTTAAACTTCACAGAATCTGGTATCAATCGAAATCTCTAAATATGTACTAGATTATTCTTCCTAACAGAATCGATATGGTTCAACAAAACCTACAGACAATTATCGACGGATAGGTATAAAAAAACACGATTGTCCCCACTTAAAAATTTCTAACTTTAAAGAAAATGAACGGATCATAACCAGACTTTGGGGACAAATTCAGGACATTCAGACCTTTCGATTGATGTAGGATTTATTAGAAACATTCAAGATACCAGAAAGTTATGAATTTACAACTAAAACAGGCTGATCAGAAAAATTTTCTTTACTTTATGGTTAAGTTGGAAAATGCCCAGTTTTCAGTTATTAAAGGTTGCAGGTTCGAATCCCACTCATAGTCAAAAATAAATTAAACAATAAATTATTTAATTTTTATCAAAAAAATAATTTTTCAACTTTTTAAGAAAATAAAAAGCATACCAAAACTGTAATAAAGAAAGCATAATTGAAAAAATTGAATAAAATATATAATAGAATAATAATTTACATTAAGCATCTTCTAAAAAATTAATTTAAAAAACAAAGAAAAAATATAAAAATAAAAGTGTATTAAACATTTTAAAAATAGACAAAATCTGAAAGACTTTATAAAAAAAATAAAATTTATAAGAGAAAAAAAAATATAGGTAAATTCATTAAATTATAATAAACTTTAAATCATTTTAAGTGTCTCGAAAGTTGAGTCTTTCCTTGGTTACAATTTTTATTTAAGTTAATAATTTATTTTTTGTCTAAAAATAAAATTTTTGACTCAACTAACATTCAAAAAAAACAAAATTTAATTTAAATTCTCAACTAGAAATTGTTGAAACTTTTTTAATATTATTATTCGTCAATTGATTTGAACAATTATTTTCTCCAAATATTGTTGTTGTTGTTGATTGTTGTGGGGGTAGTATATTATTTAATGGAACAATTTGTTGATGTTGTTGCTGTAAAAAAAATTAAAAATTAATTTTTTAATGATTTTTTGCTAATTTTTTTCAGAAAAATTAATTTATTTAAATTTATTTTTATAAGAAAAAATACCTACCTTTGTTCCATTAGACGAATTAAATTTTTGTTTAGAAGGAGAAATTGTTGTTGTTGTTGCCTTTTTATTTTTTGTTGGTGTATTCCCATTTAATTGTTGGTGGTTTGTAATTGTTGAAAATAAATTCTGTTGTTGTTGTGAAGGAGGAAGAAGAGAAAGTTGTTGTTGTTGTTCTGAAGAAAAAGGAGGAATTCCACTACCACCACTACCACCAACACTTGCAATCATTCCCATAGCACACAACATTTGTTGCATTACACGAATCTAAAAAATAAAAAATATTTTTTAACAATATTTTTTAATTAAATTTTACCTGTTGAGGACTTAATTGTTGTTGCTGTTGTTGCTGTGCAAATAAAGTAAATTGTTGTTGCTGTTCAAATGTTTGTTGGGGAATTTGTTGTTGATTTCGTTGCCTATTTTGTTGTTGTTGATATTGTTGAAATTGTTGGAACATATTTTGCATATAACTTATTTGAGCATATTGTTGTTGCTGTTGTTGATGGGTAGTATTTGCAGCAACAAAAGCTTCAAATTGATTTTGAAAAGTACCAAGATTGTTTAAATGATTATTATTGTTGGAAAATATTTGTTGTTGATGTTGAACCGGAAACTGTTGTGATGGTGGTTGTGGTTGTTGTGTTGCAGATACTGCTTGAACTTGTTGTTGTTGTTCTTGTTGCTTTTTACTTGATTTAGAACGATTATATGTTCTTGTTTTTGTAGTTTTATTTTCAGAAATATTTTTGTTGTTAGTTTTTGTATTGCTGCTAATTGTTATTGCTGTTGTTGTTTCCGCTTTAGAGGTAGCACTAGGAAGGTTGACAACCGGAGGTATTTGTTGTTGAACAGATTGTGTCTGAAAATTTTTATTTATTTTTTAAATGGGGGAAAAATAATAAACTTTTAATAAAAAAATTATTTCCTTACTTCAATCAATATACGCGGACTTTTCCCTTCACCGGCAGGACTCTTTTGTTGTTGACCACCACCACCTCCAGCAGTTAAATTTGCTCTTATTTCATTTGTAGGATTTGTAATTGTTGTTTGTTCACAGTTATTATTAGTTCCCCCATCAATTTTAATAGATTTTTCTTGTTGTTTTTGTACCTTTTTAGGTCTAATATTAGGTGAGGATGAAGAAAGATTTCGTTGACGTTTTTTGACATTATTTGTCAAAGTTCCATTATTTGTTGGTGGTGGTGAAATTAAAGAAGTTACCGGACGTAGAGGAGAAACACCAGCAGTTGAAAGTCTTGCAATTGTTGTTTTAGTAGAATTTGGAGGTGATTGTGTTGATGAACGAATAATATTTTTTGATAAATTTATTTTTGTTGTTGTTTGATTTTGTTGTTGTTGATGTTGAGAAGAAGATTGATGAAGAGAAGAAGCTGAAATTGAGGATGATTGTGAAGAAGTAATACAAACAGAAGGAGGTGAAAGCAAAGATAATGAAGCTGCTGTTTTGTAAAAAATAATTTAATACAGAGTATATAAAATTATAAAAAAATAAAAATCAATCAAAGGACTCGAAAAAAAACTAAGCTAAAATATTCAAATAAAAACCCTCCAATTTTTCAATTACATAGGTTTTAATTTTAATTTATAATCAAGAAAAAAAGATAATAATCAACAAAAATGAGGAAAATGAGAATTAAAAAATATTAAAAAAAAGAAAAGTCCCAAAAAATATTTAATCCCTTTTTCTTAATTTTTTTTAAAATTTTCTTCATAATTTCTTCAAACTTATTTCCCTTCAAAAATTTTTTCAAACATTTTAGCTTTATAACTTTAATAAAAAATCCAATTTTATAAAAAATGTATATTGGCGTCATTCAATTTACTTTTTTTCAGACAAAATACAAAAAATATATACTTTTCAAAAATACTTTTATTTCCCACAAATTGTTTACTTTAAAAAAATTTGTAGTTAATTAATTTAAAATTAATTATTTTTGAATGATAAACAACACCAATGTCCTTAAAAATATTTTTTTCAAATTAAAGTTATAAAGCTGAGACTGAAACCGGTTTTTTAAATTATATAAACTTTGCTCATTCATTCTCTTTTTTTTTTATTTTTAATTTTGATTTTTTTCATCAATTTATTTTTCCCTCTCAATCATTTATTTTCTCCTCACCGGTTTTTTGAACGGCACCATCTCCTTCACCTCCAATATTGTTTTTTCCTTCATTTATCCCAACAGATTTTTCTTTTATTAATTTTTCTTCTTTTTCAATTTTTTCTTGTCCTTGTTTCGGAATTTCATTCAAATTATTTTGACATTTTATTGTTGTTGTTATAATTATTGGTGATACTTGTTGTTGAGGTAATTCCATTGGACCACTCTCCAAATCTAATTGTGGCATATCTTCATAAGCTGGTTGACGATTTTCATCTTCTTTTGGGGGTAATTGGGCTAATGTAAAATTTAATTGAAGAGGTGATTTTCTTGACCAACTAAATAATTGAACGACATCCTGAAAAAATAAAAATTTTTTATTAAATTATCCAAATAACCTCCAAACTAAAATCATCTTCCAAAACAAATTTCAATTTTGGATCAACAAAATAAACTCCATAAAAATTAGACATTGCCAATTTAGATTCTAGTAATCGTTTCAATTGTTCAATTTTAACTTTTGCAGAACAACGAAAATAACGACAAAAAGAATATTGTTTTTGTTGTCGTTCTATTGCTGTTGTTGCTGTTGTTCTCTCACAAATATTTTGAGGAGGAAGAGAGGAAGAACTGCTGCTGGGTATTTGTTGTTGTTGATCTATTAAAATAATTTGTTCTTCACCAAGAATTTGTTGATTATCCTCATTTTCTCCCTCCTTATGATTTTCTGTTGCAGCAATTTTTCCAGATAAAGACACTAAAGAATCATCCCCACTAGCAGCCAAAACTTTTGTTAAAGGAACATATTCAATTTGAAGTGAAATATTTTCGTTTGGAGAACATAATTGAGTTGATAATTGAAGCAACATTCGCCTTTGCTGAATTCGTCTTTCGGAAGGTAAAGCTGTAGTAGTAGATGAACCATTATTTGAATCACGTGAAGAACGATGTTGTCGGCGTGCTACCCGACGTAATTGACGCCAAAAAAGATCTGGGACTAATTTGTAGACCTTGAAAAAAAATTTTTTTAATAAAAAAAAAGCAGTCAAATACCAATTCCTGCAGTCTCAAATCCCTTTTGTAAATATGTTCATTACCCAGTTCAATTTTACATTTTGGACATTTTCTTGAATCTGGACCAGCAGAAGATAAATGTTGCAATAAACAAGAACGACAGACTTTGAAAAAAATTAATTTTTAATTAAAAAAAATTTTTATTATTACAAAAATGAAGGCATCCAGTAAGTGTAACAGCATCCGACAAATAATCTTGACAAAGAGAGCAGGTAATGTGTTCTTCTAATCCTAAAGCTTTAGCCTGTTCTCGGCTATTCATTTGTTGTTGTTGTAAATAAATATATAAAAACTGAAAAAATTATGTTTTAATAAATTAAAAAAAAATTTTTTAGCAATATAAAAAATAAAAAATTATTTCAAAAAACAATTTAGAAAAAAAGAAAAAATATAAGAAAATTTTTAAAAAAACAGATATGTATATAAAAATTTTAAAAAATTAAATAAATCCTATTTAAAATTTAAAAAATTAAGCCAACGATATACAGTAATATTTTAAAATTACTGTAAAATATAAAAATAAAATGTTTTTGGATATATTCAAAATTATTAAAAATAAACTCTGCACAGTATCAAGAAAAAAATTAAAAAAATAAAAGGAATTACGAGATGTAAGGACCAGCGGAGAGCGACGACCATCGATCGGTTTTTAGCTTATTTTTAAAAAAGAAAGGGGGAAATGGTGGAAAAAAAAGACAAAAAGGGGGAAGAAAGGGGGTGAAATATATAAAATTAAAAAATAAATAAAAGAAAATAACCCCCCTCCCTATAGACTGTTAAGAAGAAAAAAAGATCATCTTATGCAGCAGTAAAATGAAGGAAAAAGAATGTGCGGCTGATTGATGTGAATTTTGCCCAAAACTGAATGGGGCAATTTAAAGACAAATAATAATAATTTTTGAGTAGATAAAGAAAGAACAAAAAAATGGTATCTTGGGGTGAACAAAAAAAAATTTTTTTGAAGAAGAGGAGAAAAAAATAAAGAGGAAAAAGAGAAAGCAAAGTAGGGGAAGAGAGAATTTTACAGTTGTCGTTGTTATACTGTAAAATAAAATGAGAAAAAAGAGATAGTAATTTATAAATGATGGCAAAAAAATGGGGAAAATGTAAAGTGGAACAAAATTGGAAGGCAAATAAATAATAAGTAGAAAAATAAAGTATAGTTAATAAATATGTCACACGCCCACATACCTTCTGTTCCCCTTATTAAATAAAAAAAAAGAAAAAAAAATACAAAAAATTGATAAAATGGTCATAGCAGCTACCCAAGATATCAACATTAAAATATACAGTATACATCTGAATAATTACCCCCTCTAGCGAGAGATAAAACAAATACCCAAAATAATTATTTGAGCATATACGGTAGTATCCATTCAAGTAAAATAAAAAGAAAAGGAAAAATTAAATCTCCAGACACAAAAACAAATTTATATATTTTTAATGGTTAATTTCGATAAAATAAACAAAAGAGAAAGAGAAAATCAAGGCAATCAATCAAAAAATTATAGTATAATATTACGAAAGCCGGTAAAATAAAAAGAGAAAAAAAGATAAAAATTAAGAGAGATCGGCATACAAGATCGACCGATAACAACGATGAAAAGGGCAAAAGAAGAAAGGAAATAAAGCAAAAAAGTGTTGATGATTTGCTGCAGCTCAGCCTTGGAAACGTGTCACAAAGTTTGTGTGTCGGCAAGGAAATTATTGTAGCCTTTATTTAAAGTTCAAAAATTTGTATTTTTAATCTTCTTCCAAAAACCGTTACAATATTTTTCTTTCTTCCCCCCAAAAATACCGTTCTTACATTCAAATGACCGACCAGCTGATGACTATTTTTTAATCTACACATTCCTTTTTTAGTATTTTGTAAAAGAAAAAAAGAAGAGGGGAACAAAGAATAAGTAGAAAAAGCAGAAAAAAAATTTTTTGCCCAATGTAACCATTTTATAACCACAGCAGCAAAAATTTCGCATCTTTTTTTAGCTGCTAGTCACCGCTGCTTCAGCAGCATTTATTTATTTATTCTGTGCGCTGCACTACTACACTCGATTATCGATTGTCCGTCAAAAAGAAAGAAAATGACAGTGGGCAAATGAAAAATAAAAAAAAAAGTAAAGGGAAAGATACGATAATTTGTGTTGGGAAGTATGGGCACGATAGGAGAGAGGGGGCAAGCAATAAGAAAATATTATAGGAGCTAGAGAAAAATGGGGAAGGTTTTTAAGAATGACTGATTAGGGTGATATGTATTTGACAAGCTGTTTAATATTAAAAAAACAATCTGATAAGGAAAGTTTTTACGAGTTTTAGAAAAGCAAGAAAAAAGGAGAATGAAAATAAGCAAATAACTATCAAAATTCCTAGTTACCGTGAAAAAGGATTACTGTAATGGTTAAATATTTGTTAAATACTAGAAAATAGTGTAAAATTTGGTCCAAAAATTGTTTCGGATATAAAAATGAAATGTCAGATGGACTAAAAAATAGAGCCCTCAGGTAGAAAGCGGACCATAGCAGTTGTACTGGCAGTTGACGGTGTGATGAATATGCTCTGTGTGTGAATAGCAGCGGTGAGCAACGAGCACACACAACAAACACCACCACTACCCCAAGTGGATGGAGGAGACTGACTGACAGCAGGCAGGGGAATAAATAAATATATTTTTTAAAAAAGTATAAAGGGAGAAGGAGAGTATGAGGACGTGCTTCGGAGACTGACTGCTGTTGCCTTTGGTAGTTTTGCTGCTGCTGTTATACTGACTGAATTGGGCGAAAGAAGGATATTTGATGAATAAAGGGTTAGTAGTAGTCTGTGTGCTGTTTGTGTGCTCAAATTTTTTAAAAGAAGAAAAGGCAATGAAGGAAAAAATAAATTAACTAAAATGAGGGGATTGGCGAAGAGAGAGAAAAGAATTGTTGGGGCAAGACACTGTAGAGTGTGTGAGAGAGTATAAATAAAAGAGATACTCATTAAAAAGCAAAGAAAAAAGAGAAATTGCATTAAAAATGGTGAAAAATAATGGGCGGAACAACAATTCTCTTTTTAAAAAAGCTATCAAATTTTAGCCGCCTAAATAACTTAAAAAGGACGCGTGCGCTACCGTAAAATTGAGAGATACTGTAGCTACGAAGAGAAAAAATTGTTTTATAAATTCAGCCAGCCGAGAGGAGGGAAGGTTTCCTCTGTCTATCATCTCGTTTTTTAGCACGCATTTCCGTTTTTTTTTATTTTTTATTCTTCCTTTTTCAATGATGCATCACGTTTTGACATTTTTCTTTCTTTAATTGTTGTTACAAAAAGTTGATTAACTTATTAGAAAATAGAAAGAACAAATAAAAATAAATTGGAAATGGATTATTAAGCATTGAATTGATACAGATTTTTAAATTGATGACATTTAAAAATTAAAAATAATCTATTATAGAAAAACAAATATTGAAAGTAATGAAAAAAAATTTTAAATCTATTTTTTAAAAGTAAACGGAAAAGACGAAATGAGAATAACATCAAAGTCATGAAAATGCTAGATCTGATTTAGTGAAAGTTGTTAGAATAAAGATAATTATGAAAATAAATGCTTCAAACGTGAAAATTAGATCGAGAATCAATATACCTAAAAAAATCTTGATAACCGAAATTTTGTTTCTAGACCACATGTCGGTGTCCGACATGTGGTTGAAATAACAATTTTATTTTTCAAGTAGGTAATTTGGCATGAAAAATGAAAAAAAATTTGAAGAAATTTTAAAATTAAACGGAAAAGACAAAATAACTTAAAAATAAAACTTATTTTTGGGAGATTTTGGCATTTTTTAATCTTATATGTTGAAAAAATATTATGTTGAAAAATCATAAATTAAGCTTCAGATTAGAGATAGAATGCCAAAAAAATCAAAACATGTTTAAGTACAATCAAGCAATTAAAGAAAAAAAAGCAAAAAAATTAGTTAAAAATGACAAAAAAATTAGAAAAATAATTCTGGCCTAAAAATCTGAAATATTCAAAATAATAATTTATTTAGAACTTTAAGATAGGCCCAAATTGTAGAGAAAATTCAAAAAACTTTTTTTATTGCAAGACATAACAGTTAAATATATGATTCGATTATTTACAGGAAGAAAAGGGTGATCAAAAATATTCCAAAACACACAAGTCTGTAGTGTGGTTTTTTAATGATACAAGAGATTCAAAAATCCAAAAAAATCTTCCTGGTTACTTTTTGATTATGTAAATATTTGCCCAGCCAAAGGTTTCTAAATAAAAATTTTTAAAAAATTTTATGGCTTCTCATAAACAGAAAAAAATATATTTGGAATATTCTTAGTTTTAAAATTTTAAAAAAAATAAAGAGGAAAGATAAAATAATATTTAAGAAAAAACAACAAATATCTAAAAAAATGTGTTTAAAAACAAAAAAAATATTAAAAAATAAAGAAAATCAGAATGAGTTTCTAGAGAAAAAATTGTAGAAAAAATATTTTAACATGGGTAGACTAAAAAAAATACAAGTTGCTAAAAATTAAAAAAATTACGATAAAAAAACGAGTTTCGAAAATAATGAAAAAAAATATTAAAAAAATATTTAAATATTTTAAAATTGGGTCGATTAAAATTTGCAAAATAAATAAGACAGAATTTCTGAAAAATTTAAAGTTTTAACGCCTAAATTTCCCGCCTTCTAACGGTTAAAAACCGTCAAAAAATTATCAAAAATTCTTCAGAAAAGGACCTAATTTTTGGCAATTCTTCATTTAAAAAATATTAAAAGGAAATTAAAAATAAGAGAAAAGCTTCTTTTAAAATAAAAATAAACAAAAACGCCCCAGTTGTTCCTCCTTTTCATTTTCCCACATTTTTATTTATTCTATGCTTACTTACCCCGCATGCATTTTTTAAAAGAGCTTTTCCTTCCTTTTGCTTAATTATGTTGCCGAAAATTAAAAACAATTTATTAACGGATATTAATAAAAAAATAAAAATATTATCTATAAAATTGGATTATTTATCCCTTCTCTCTAGTTTGGAGATTAAAAAGAATTTGATTAATTTTTTTATTAAAAAGTTACAAAAATAATTTTTAAATGAATATTTATACAAACCATTAGTGTTAGAAAAATGGATTTTTTCGGTACCGGTAGTACAGAAAAGTAAAGGTTACGCACTAACTGTAGAACAGAACCGTGCCTAACACCATAAACCACACGGTACAATAAATTATTACACTTACAGTAGTGAAAGATAAAATGTCAATTAAATTACGAAAAATAAAAATATAATATAAATTACAATAAAAACAAAATAAAAATATATACTATAAATAGTAAAATTTTAAACGGTATAAATCAGTATCTTTTAAAAAATTTCATAAAAATTTTAAATTTGCCACGGTTTGTAAAAACAAAAACAAAAAAAAGTATTTAAAAAATAACAAAAAATATAAAAAATATTCATTTACAATAGAAAATCGTATTTTAAAAATTAAAAAAGGTAGAATTTACACATTAAAAATAAAGATATTCAATGAATGCTAACATAAAAATAAATTATGTTCAAATTCAGAAAGATAAAAAAACGTTAAAAAAATATTAAAATTAAATATAAAATAATAAATCTTCAAAAAATAATCAAAAAATAAAAAATACTAAGATTTAAGAAGCAACAGACAAATTTATTAAACTAACATAAAAATTAAGTTATTTTCAAATTTAGAGAGATAATAATTACAAAAATTTAATTATCAAAGTTATATTTGTAAATATATTATATTCTATTAAAAAAGACATTATGAGACTGAATCAAACAAGATATAAAATATTATCACAATATCAAGAAAATAGAAGCCGCTCTCCAAGAAAATGGCAGTAAAAATAAAGATAATTTAAACAGTTAACTGGTCTGATTTTTTTAAGTAAGTCTAAATTAAAGTAAGTTTGAATAAGTCTGATTCAGGATTTATTCTCAAAAGAAATGAAAGAGACAATAGGAAAATGAATTTTAGTCAAAAAACAATATTTTTGGACCTTTGATTTTAATCCAATTTCTAAATTAATTTTAAAAATACAGTAAAAATTGATAGCTTTTAAAAAGAAGAGAAATAATAAAACAAAAATAAAATTTTAGGCAGAAAGGAAATCGGCAAAGGGCCAAAAATCTTTTCGTTTTTAAAGATGTGCGCGCTCGTACCATAACTAAAATAGGAAGAAAGGGGGAGGAACGAGGAAGAATTAATAAGGAAAAGGATTTAAAAGAGAAATTAAAAAAAAGAGAAATTGTAATTAAAATTCAAAGAGCTAAGGAGGAAAAAAATGTTTAAAAAATGGAAGAAAGGAATTTTAAAATTTAAACAAAAAATCAAAATTTATAAACAAAAATTGATTTTCCGATTTAATTAAATCCAAAAAATTAGACAGATTCAGGGATTGACTAGATGCTTGTTTTTGAAAAATATTTTGGAATTTTGGAATACTTAGGGGTATTCTAATAAAAAGAACATATTTTAAATCTGAAAATTTGGAATACAAATCCTTTCCAATGTCCTCATCCGAAAATAACATTATTCTTAATTAAACCATAAATCAGTTTTTGCAAAAATCAAATAGTAATTTAAAATACAGTCGTGGAAAAAAGTATGGAAGCGCTAGAAAATTTTTTCTTAATTCTTAATTTTTCAGTCAAAAATACGATCTATATAGCAATCGAAAGCTCTATTCGTATCTCAGTTGACATGTTTCTGCATTTTTCATGAAAATGAAAATTGGCCGAGATAATCCGGATCTACCGGATATACCAAATCCCACTTTTTCGGAAAAATTTTTCGGAACAAATTTAACAAACCCAAATGATAAAGCATATTTTACTGAGCATTTACCACAAAACCGCTTAGAAATATCTTTTTTCGGACCAGAGATATGATTTTTTGAAAATGGCATTTTTCGTCTATTTTTGCAAAAAATTCAATTTTTAAGCGAAAAATGCCATTTTCAAAAAATCATATCTCTGTTCCGGAAAAAGATATTTCTAAGCGGTTTTGTGGAGAATACTCAAAAAAATATGCTTTATCATTTGGGTTTGTTAAATTTGTTCCGAAAAATTTTTCCGAAAAAGTGGGATTTGGTATATCCGGCAGATCCGGATTATCTCGGCCAATTTTCATTTTCATGAAAAATGCAGAAACATGTCAACTGAGATACGAATAGAGCTTTCGATCGGTATATAGAACGTATTTTTTGAATGAAAAATTAAGAATTAAGAAAAAAATTTCTAGCGCTTCCATACTTTTTTCCACGACTGTATATACTCGAAAAATTATAAAAATATAAACCCACCTCTCGATCCCAGCAATCAAAAATCCACAAGTGACAAACCAAAATTCAAAATAAAGTGCTAAAATTTTAATTATTATAAATAAACAGGCGTTAATTTAAACGACCTTAAATTATCCAATTTTGTAAAAACGTAATCAATTTTTTGTTGTTTTTATTTTAGAAATGTTGTCAATCCAATTTAGTGAAAATGTTGTCAATTAGAAAATGTCAATCTGTGCAGATATTGCTGATTTAATTAAAATAAAATTTGTATAATTTAAAGTTAATATCCTGAAAATAAGAAGATTAGCAGAAAAATGAAGCATAATACGTAGACTAATAAAGGCTAATTCAAAACTTTTATTGAAAACTTTAAAGAGAAAATATTAAAAATTGAGAACTCTAGAAATAGAAACAAAAGATTCTAAATTCAATTAGAAAGACAACAAAGAAATACAAAAAGGGAGAGTACAATATAAAAAAGCTTAAGAAATTGCTCATTGTTAGAAAAAATTAATAAGACGGTAACTATAAAATAATTACTAAAAATGGCAATCTAAGGGACTGTTCGTTATACAGTTTATTAATGAGAATGTCTTTAGTAACTCTTAATTGCCTTTCTATTAGGATGTATTTAGCGGAAATAAGAAAATAAACTAATTTAGATCGGGATTTCTTAAAATAGAAACAAAAATTTATAATTCAAAAATAAAGACAACAAAGAAATACAAAAAGAAATTAAATAATGTAGTAACAAAAGTTAGAGAAATAAATAGAAAAGAACACGAGAGAAAAAAATAAAGAGGAAAAGAATTATAGAAAAGCAAACAGCCTTTTCGTCATTGGACACTTGGTCACGGAACACTTGGTCACGGGACACTTAGTCACTGAACATTTTGCCAATTTTCGCATATTACATAATGCCAAAAATCGAGAGTGCTGACAAAATATCTCGATTTATTTTAATTTCTTCACTCTGAAAAATGGCGACTCTTTTTGTCTAACGTCTCTTCTCTCTCTTCGGTTTTAACACTCTTTATTTTAAGTCGCTTAATTTCGAAGTGGATTTATTGCAATCTTTCTTTATTTGTTACATGTTCTCTTCTTTTTCATGTACTAATTTTAAATCTTTTTATTAATCAATTTAGCGCAGTTTCACAAAGATCTGATTAAATCTGATACATTGCAAATTTTCTGAGTAATTTTGTTAAAAATCTGACCCAAACTTATCAAATGGATCCAGTTGATGGGTAAATTATCAAGTTTTTGTCTTTCCATACAATTAAAAATTTTAAGGGATCGAGTTTATGCTGCTGAGCGTCTCCTTCAAATTCGTACACGTAAAGGACAGCAGGAATATTTGGTCAAGTGGAAGGGATGGTCAGCTAAACACAACACTTGGGAACCAACTGAGAATATTCTTGACGATAGATTGATACAAGAGTTCGAACAACGCCAAGCTACAACAACAACTCGTGGGCCGAAACGTAAAGCTGCGGGCGCTGTTTCAAGTAATTTGTCGGCTTCTGGAAGTTCTACAACAACAACAAATCAGACTTTGAGTCCTCCAGTTAAAAGGGGTAGACGACTTGCCAGTACTCGTCAGAAGACTGATAGTGGTTCAGGTTATTTTTTACAAACAATTAGAATGTCCAGAACATTTTTAGAAAGCGCCGCGGGATCACCTTCCACTTCAATTGGCACACGTCGTTCAAGTCGTCGTACAGCTGCAAAGGGTGAAGAAGAGTCTCGCGATGGCAGTGTTAGTACCGTTGATAAAGTTGAAGTTGGCAAAAAAGAGGCAAAGTTGTCTGTGAAAAAGACTAAGGAAGACAATGATGAGGGAGCTTCAGAGAAGGAGGTTTTCAATAAAATAAGGATGCTTAAATAATTAAAAATTTTAATTTAGGAACATGCAGAAGAGGCCAAAATAGAAACTGCTCCACAAAGTGAGGCTGAACCAGAAATTCCAGCTGCTCCAGTTTTAACCAAGGAAGAGCCAAAACAAGCTGAAGATGCTGATACAACTGCTGCTGATGATCATGAGGTTGAACTAGTTGATAATGATGAGGCTAGAGAAGCACCACCTTTGGAGATTTTTGGTTTATTTTTCTTTTGGGTTGTTTTACCAAAAAAAATTTTCCAGTTGAACGTAAACCTACTAAGCACGAATTGGCTCAAAATGGTGGCAATGACACAACTGCAAAAAACAATGATACGTTTATAATAACGAATGAGACTGATCCAAATTGTACACATAAAATACAAGTTTTTACTAAACAAGGAGGTACTAGTGGTTCAACTGAAAAACCAAAGTCTACTAACAACGGAGAAGGTGACATTGTTTGTGTTGGAAATGATAAAGCAGGAACTACTACGACTCAAAATGATATGGACGAAGATATAATTATTGTCAAGGATAATGGAAGCATCGCTGAGACGGTCAGTCAATGTTCTTCTGTAGACGGGAATGAATCTGAGGCGGTTTTGGTTTCAACCGCCCCCGTCACCTCTTCTTCCGCTATTACTGCTCCTCCCACAAGCTCTGAATGAACAGCGGAATTTTAGAAAGGAAAGAGGTGATAAGGATTTTTAAATTATTATTTCAATAGGTCTGGGGGAGATTGGTTTAGCAGCTAGATAATTTTTTAGTTTTTTTCGCCATGCTTACACTTAATAGTTTTTCTTGGTAGATTTTCCTTGGACTTGAGTTGTTATTTTATTTCCCTTATTTTTGGTTTTAAAGTACATTTTTATTGGGAATTTAAATTTTTTTCTTTCAGAAGACTTGGACTGATCCAATTACAAAAGAGCCAGTTACAATCCAAAATGAACCCTATCAATATAATGGCTCACATATAATTACTGATGTCACTCTAAATGGTATAACTACAACTTTTATTGAAATTTAAAGAAAAACATGACTATTTGTTCTAAGGCCAAACCTTTGTAATTTTGTCAATTTTACCTTAATTTTAAATGGGAAATGGAAGGGTAATTTGTTTAATTTTTAAAGATTTTTTGATTTGTTTTACCTAATTTATTTCTTTGACTGATCCTGATCCTCTTCCATATTTTCCCTGCCACATTTTAAGCGTTCTTTTTCTAAATATTTAGCACTAGGGTTATCGGTTTCAAACCAAACTTAAAACCCGAAGTTTTTGGTTTGTTTGTCAGTTCGGTTAACCACGAGTTTGGCGAAACCGACAACCCTTTTCAACACTTATTTAAGAATTTTGTTCTATTTTGAATTTGCTGGTTGTATTATTTTAGGGGTTTTCATGATTTTAGTTCCTTTTTTAAAATTATTGTAATTTTGATACAACCAGTCATAACTTAAAATTATTATTTTTTTAATTTCTCCTCAGTCGTAAAAATGTAGTTTTGTTTTTAATTTAATTCCCCTGTTTCATCTTTTTACGTTTCTAACGATTTTTGGTAATTTTTTGTGTTGATAAAAATAAACATGGATATTTTTTAAATAAATTTTTTAGTTTGGTTGTATTTTACAATTTTTATTTAAGTGGAGAGAATAGTTTTTAAATTATTAAATGATTGAAATTTTTAAAAGTTAATTTGGCATTTTTTTAGATTTTAGTTTTATGTTAAAGACGACTTATTTTTCATTAAAATTATTAAATTTGCTGAGTAGACAATTCTCGTCGTTGAAAACCAGTTTAAGCATGGTTAAATATTTGAGGTTATTTTTTATCTAAAATTCCAACCCCGACATTTTTTTCCGCGACAATTCTCAGCCTTTCAACGGCTGGCTGTTGGGTAAACTACAAAATGAATTTTTGCTTCGAAAAATTTTTATAAAAAAGTTTTCTAATATTTTTTAGTCAACATGAAGCAATTAATATTGACCAAGAATTGTTTAATTCCTTTTCTGTTGATCAACTGATGGAATTGGCTGGGTTAAGCTGTGCTCAAGCGATTTATAGTGTTTATAATAAAGGTGATTTTTAAATGATTTTTTTATAAATTTTAATTTTAAAGGAAAAGTACTTTTAATAACTGGACCCGGAAATAATGGAGGTGATGGATTTGTTTGTGCCAGACATTTGAAACATTTTGTAATTTTTTTAAATTAAATATTTTTATTGAATATTTTTTAAATTTAAGGGTTTTACTCCAACTATAGTTAATCCTAAACCTTCAAAAAATGAATTGATGCAGCGATTAATTGTATTTTTTAAATTTTATATTTGGTGTTTCCCAGTTTTGTAAATTTTATGTAAGGAAGTGGATATTTAGTAGGCTCTTGCAATCAGTTAAGGGGGCGAGAGGATTGTATTAACGAGTTTTTACTGAATGTTCGAAAAGTTCCCTTTTGAGTAGTTAACGTGTTTCATATTAATTAGTTTACCTTACTGTTGCGGCCAGCTGAAAAGGCCGAGGGATTTGTCTAGTTGGGATATGTGAGGAAGAATGGAGATTTAGCTGGCTGGCACTTAAAGCGCTTACTAACAATAAGAAATATTTAAAATAATTTCTAATTAGATCCAGACTCAACAACTTGGAATTGAACATTTACAATTAATGCCGAAAGATTTGAGCAATTTCAATTTAATTGTTGATGCTATATTTGGATTTAGTTTTAAGCCTCCTATTAGAGAACCTTTTACACAAATTATTAAACAACTGGCCGAGCAAAAGGATTTACCTATTTTTTCTATTGATATTCCATCAGGTTGTTTTAATTTTTTTAATTTAAGGTTGTTTTAATTTTTTTTAATTTAATTCTCGTTCGTTGAGAGGGATTATGCGGGGGTTTCGGTGTTTTTGTTAATATGGAACTAAAAAGTCAGCATCTCTTTCTGTTGGACTCATAAAATTTCCTAGGACTAATTAAACTTCTTTGGATTACTAAACCATACCAGAACAAAAAAGGACCATTCCACGCCTTTTCAGTTACCACAATTCTTTTCATATCAATCCAAAAAATTTAAATTATTTTTTAAAGGTTGGGATGTTGAAAAAGGACCACCTGAAGATGAAACACCTACAATTATGCCTGATTCACTAATGTCTCTCACGGCCCCAAAATTGTGTGCTCAATATTTTAAAGGAAGGCATCATTTTATTGGTGGACGTTTTTTACCTCTAAAGTAATTTTTTAATACAATAAAATTATTTTAAATATTCCCTAAATTTTTAAGAATCTCAGAAAATCTAAATTTGCCTGAATATGAAGGATCAAGTCAATTTATAAAAATTTAAGGAAAAAATGATTTTTTGATAAAATAAATTTTTTTATCATGTATTCTTTTAATATAAAATTAAAAATAAATATTTTTTGAAAAAAAATTAAAAATAATTTTTTAGCCCTTTTTACACTTTCTTCTGTCCTTCATTTATTCTATTGATTATCACATCTTTCCCTCTAACGGTTTTACTTTTATGACTTCATCTTTTTGGGAGGTTTTTTACACTAACCGTAAATCCAAAATATCATTTTCCTAAAGCTTCGCTTCCTTTCCTTCTTTTGCTTACATTTTAGTGATCATTTGGGTCAGATATCTTCCCCTTTCTACTAGAAACAAGCATTGTATAGGATTAGAGAAATAAAGAAGATTTTCTTGCTAGAAAAATAAAAGAAGGGGAATTTTTTGGTTGTTTTCCATATTCTTAACAGTGTTGAAAAAATTGTGTCCTCCCCTAAATTTTGTCCTAAAATTAAGAGATTTAATCTCTTCATTAATTTTTAGTTGCCAAAAATTGTACAAAAATAGAAGAAAATGGCTGTAGACTTTCAATATCCTCAATTTGGAAATATGGATGATATTCTTAATCAATTAAATATAATTTCTAATGAATCAATTGATATTACTGATACTGTTAAACGGAGGTTTTTTTAGATAATGTTTTATTTTAATTTTTTTTAAATTTAAAGTAAGAGCCAATTAATGCAGCATCGACTCAAGAATCCACTTTTTGCTGTCCTTTGCGATATTAAAAATAAAACTTGTAAGTTCATTGTTGTTGTTGGCGACCGGTTATTAACCGAAAACTCAGTTATGGCGATATGATTACCCCTCAGTTTTGGTTTCTGACTGACCCCCGGCAAACGGTTCGGTTAACCAGCCGCCAACAACCATTTTTCTGATCATCTCTGAGAAAAAATTATTTTTTAGCACCTTCAATTCGAAGCATACCTGATGATCAATCTGACGATTTTTCTCGAGGTTTGTTCATTTAATTTTTCTTTTTTAATTTTTCTTCAAAGATCCGCAATTAGTTCGCTTAGATAATATGTTATTAGCTGAAGGTATTGCTGGACCTGAACGTGTTAATACTCCGGAAGCTGGAGATACTGCTGATTATAAACAAAAATTGGTACAAATTCGTCAAACATATAATGACGAAATGAGGAAATATCAAGATGTTTGTTCATTTTTTAATTTTTAAAAATTTTTTTGAAGGCCTGCGAAGAATTTACTTCTCACGTACTTCAGTTATTACAAGAACAAGGAACTATCCGTCCAATATCTAATGAAGAAATGAATCGAATGGTTAATATTATTCAAAAGAAATTTTCTGTTATACAAGTTCAATTGAAGCAATCGACTTGTGAAAATGTTATGGTTTTACGATCGAGATTTTTGGATGCAAGGTTTTCTTTCGAAAAAAATCTTTTTTAAATTTTTTCCCGTAATTTTAGGCGCAAACGCCGCAATTTCAGCAAACAAGCAACAGACATTCTAAACGAATATTTTTATGTTTATATACACAATCCATACCCAAGCGAAGAAGTTAAAGAAGATTTGGCTAGAAAATGTGGAATTACTGTTAGTCAAGTTAGTAATTGGTTTGGAAATAAAAGAATTCGATATAAGAAGAATATTGCAAAAACACAAGAAGAGGCTGCTATATATGTAAAGAAAGGTGGTCAGGGAGGAGGTTTTAAATTTTTATAAATTTTTGACATGAGACTACTCAATCCTCCCCACATTCTGTCACTGAAGCTAAAATCCCATGTTTTGTCAACAGAGCTTTACTGGCAAACCGTGGAGTTTTGCCTTATTGGTAAAATGTGGAGTAGCCCATTTTCGAGATGTAGCTAAAACCCCGAACCACAAAACACATCTAAAATTTCCTTTTTTAAGTCCCAACAACCTATGGCGTTTTAAATAACAATGCTAGTGCTGCTGTTGCCGCTGCAGCTAGTTCGATGTTAAATAACCCATATGCTGCAAATATGCTTCAACACGGTCAAGGAGATTTACAACATCAAATGATGGGTGGTGGATTTGATTTGACAGCTGGATATAATCCACAATTGGTTTGAATTTTTAAAAGTTAATTTTGAAGACATGAGGGAGGGTCGGGAGAAGGGCAATGAATTATTTAAAAAAATTTTTGAAGAATTTTCTAAGTTGCTAGGAGTATTCCAATTATTTTTACCAATAATTTTACCAAAAAAATTACTTTTCTAGTTCCAAATGAATTATATGCAACCACAACAACCTTCAAATAATTCTCCACAAAATTAAAGAATGGCCATAATTATTTTTTGTATTTTACCTCAATAAATGAGAGAGGAAAAGAAATTGCCATTTAAAAATAAATTACTTAATAATTAACATAATAAAATTTTTTTTTTCGCAAGCATAATTACTTAATAATTGTCCCCTAATTTCCCCTTTAATTTTTTTTGTAATTTTTTTTCCTTTTTTTAATAAAATTGAATTAATTTTTGTTTGTTGTTTATTCATAAATGTTAAAATTCAATTAAATATTTTTCTCGAAAATAAATTTAAAAAATCCTAATATTATAAATTTATTTTTTTACAGGTTAAATAATAAAAAAATAATTATTTAAAAAATGGGTGCAGCTGAGAGCAGTTTATCTGAAAAAGTGGATGAGAAAGGAATTAAAAAGGAAGTAGGTATATTAAATTTTTAAATTATCTATTTTGAGTAAAAAAATTTCTTTTAAAGATTGGTGAATGTCCGGTAGTTATTTACACAAAATCGGAATGTGGTTATTGTAAAATGGCAAAAGATTTACTTGAGAAGGAAAGGATTAATTATAGAGAACACGAATTGGGACATTTGCAACGCGAAGATCCTGAGACATATCAGGTGGGATGAAATGTTATGGTATTCTATATTTTTTGGAGAGGGATGGGAGGGAGGATTGTTAATCTTAGAACTTCTTAAAGAAGTAAGGGGTTTTGGTTCTGCCCTGAGGAATTCCTGGTAGGATGAAATGTCATGACGTTTATTGTTTCTCTGTTGGAGGGAGGGTGTGTGGTGAAACTTATGGAAGCGGATTGTCATGAGTAATTCCAGATTCTTCAGGATTAGCCAGATATTGGGCGGAATGTTTCCTAGGTCATTTCCGTGTACTTGAGCAGGGCTAGTGTTGGAGTTCCTATTTTTCCAAAGAAAAACTAATTTAAAATTTATTTTCATTTAGAAACGCGTTAATGGATTAGTTTACATTACAAGACATAAAACAATGCCTCAAGTATTTATTTGTCAGTGTTTTATTGGAGGTTTGGAGTAAATTTTATTTTTTAATTAAAAAATTTTTTATTTAAAGGTTTTACAGAACTTAACAAACTTGCTCAAGAAGGAAAACTTAAGGAAGAAATTAGTCGATGTTTGGATTAAAATTATTTTTGTTTTAAGATTTTTAGAGTTAAAAAATTTCTTTTTGAAAATAAAATTTAAAGAAAAAATATTTTTAATATTTATATAAAAACAGAAAAAAAGGATTTTTTGCTTCCTTAAAATTTTTTTTTTAATTTTAAAAATTCGTTTAATTTTTTATTTTTTTTTTCTAGCCAACTCTAGCTCGATACATCATTCCACGTTTTCCAATTCTTGCTAAAAAGAGACGTTTGCCTACACTTGGTTGATTACTTCTTTTATTTTTTGTTGTTGGTGGTTGTTGCCTGGAAATTTTGGAAAAATTTTTTTTTGGTTGCTTCACTTACCACCGAATCATGTTCAGTTCTACTGGGTCTGTTAAACTGGTTAGCATGGATGCTGGATACAAATCATCAACCATTCTTTGTAGGTTTGCATTTGTTGTGTCGTCTTGAAAAATTTTTAATTTTCTTGATTGGGTTTTTTTAAATTTTTATCAGAACCTTAGGGGAGCATTAGACCCTTTTAAAAAATTTTACAATTTTTTATTTTTTTTCAAAAATCGTTAAAATTTTTTTGGGACAAATTGCCATTATTTTTTAAAAGGGACCATAGATCAACGATTTTTGGACTGGCTTCTGACCCGGCTTGAGGGGTCAAACTAAGATTTTGAGATGCCCGGGCCGGAGCCGAGAATTTGAGAAAAAGTAGGAGTTGAGGCAAAAGAACTATCACTCTTGGTTCTGATAAATTAAAAACATCCAACATCTTTTATTACCTCCCCAGTTGTCCTCTAAAATTTCATTTTGGGTTCTAATTGCTGTTGAACAATTCACAAAAAAATTTAAACATAAAATCGAAGAGATGATCAAAATTTTAGAAATTTTGTGAATTTTGTTATTAGAGAATTTCATATTTTAATAATTTTTATCTTAAAAAATTCTCAATGAGTTGTGTAAAATAAAAGAGAAAAGTGAATTTAAAAAGAAATTTAGATTTTTTTACGTTTTTAATAATTTAATTTTAATTTTTTCTTCCCTTTTGCGCGGCACAATTTTTTAATTTAATTTTTATTAAAATTTAATTATCTAAATTTAATTCTAAAAAATATTTTTTAAGAATTCTTAGAAAGTACTTGAGAGAGGAGGGAGAGAATTTATATTTTTTTATTGATATGTGGTGCTAGGGGGGATTGACCGAATTTTTTTAAATTTTTTGGAATCATTTTTTAAATTTTTTTAACTTTTTAAGGAAGTAATAACGAGAATATTTTTTAAAATAATTTTTATTACGAATTATCTTTATTTTTATATAGCCTCTATATTTTTAGTATAGGGAAAATACCAAAAATAAAATAATAAAAAAATATTTTTTGAGGCTTCTTTAATAATAAAATAATTTTTAAGAGATTTTCACATTATTTTTTATTAATCATTTATTTTTCAGATTTGGCATTTTTAATTGTTTGCTTTATTATGGTTACAATAGAACAAAAGATTGAAGAAAATAATTATGTGGAGAATGATGATATTTTTGTTACTTCAAACTTGGAAGAAGGAAATGAAAAAAATAGAGTGTTTGATGGGAAGAATAATGATGACGTTGACAGCAACAACGGTGGTTGGTCAGTCGGTAAATTTGAATATAAATAAATAAAAAATAAAGAGGAACCCAATTTATATGATTAAAATTTGAATGAACCCAATTTTTTGGTTCATTCATTTAGATGATTAAAAAATTTTTTAACATTTTTTGATAAAAAAAATTTTTGAGCAATTTTTAAAACCGAGGGGTTTTTAAAAAATTCGTATTAATCAAAAACCGAGGGTGCTGGTAAATAGCTAGGTCGACAAAAACCTTAGTATTTGAAAATGAGGAGAAGAGAGGGAAGGGGTGTCTTAATAATAAAAAAATTTTTTCGAAATATAATTGTACTTTTGGAAAATTTGGAGAGATATGGGGATGGATGTTCGTTTGCTAAAATAATTTTCTGTTCTTATGCAAAAAAAATTTTTGAAATTAATTATTAATCTCTCATTTCCTCAATTTAGGAACGATAATGATGATGAATTATTTTATTTACTAAAACAAAATAATTGTACTATTGAAAGAGTTGATGGAACAAAGTTTGGACAAGACGATTTTCTCACAAAGTTTTTTTTTTGAAAATTTTTAAAAAATTATTTATTTTTTTAAAGTTATGCATATTCAAAGCCTTTAATTATTACAAATATTTTTGATAATTCTAAAAAGTCATATTTTCAAAAATCTAATTTATTGGCTAATTGGAGCAATTTTCCTGTTGTTTTGGCTTCAGCCAATACCTACAGGTTTTCTTTTAAAAAATTTTTGTAAGAAAATTATTTTTTTTATTTTTTAAGTTATTCAAAAGGCGAGTGAATTTTTGTTGATCTTTTAAATTCTCAAAAAAATTTTTTCAGTAGAAACTACATTTGGTGTATATTTACAAAAATATTTGAAGCCTTTAGACATCAATATTCCTGCAAATGGTTTTGTTTAAATTTTTCGAAAATTTTTTTTTGTATTTTTCAGAAACATTTTATCTTTTTGGTGATATTGACAGAGAGATGTGGAAACCTTTATTAGACCAATATAAATTACCTAGTTGGAATTTACCTGGACACGAATCTGCTTTAAGCTTTGGAATTGCTGCTGTTGGAACTGGGTTTTTTTTTGAAAAAAAATATTTAAAAAAAAATTAAATTTTAAGTGTTCCCTTTCATTTTCATGGACCTGGTTTTGCTGAAGTCATATTTGGAGCAAAAGTAAGTTTTGAAAAAATTTTTTTGTTTGAAAATTTCTTATAAATTTTTAAAAAAAATTTTGAAATTTTTTGGAAATTGAAATTTACTTGGACACGAAAAAAAATTCTCAAAAATTTTTTGAAAATTAATTTTTCGGACAGTTTGAATATTTTTCGGACCTTTTAACATTAATATCTTAAATAGCCAATAATTATTTTTATTTTGTTTTTAAAAGTATTGGTTTCTTTCTCCTTTTGAAAAACGTCCAGAATGGGATCCAAATGTTTCTACCTTACAATGGATGAAAGAAATATTTTCAAATTTGCCTTTAGAAGAAAAACCGTTAAATTGCCTTTTACTCCCCGGAGAATTGATTTATTTTCCTGACAAGGTATTTTTTGAAAACAAAAATTTAAAAAAAATTTTCTCTTAAAAAAGTGGTGGCATGCTACACTAAATGTCAAAACTTCTGTATTTTTTAGTACATTTTTAAGTCCAACTAATAATAAAATTAATGAGATTAAGGGAAGTAAGAAAGATGAATTTTAAGAGAATATTTAAGTGAGAGAGGAGGAGGAGGGTTATTTTTTATTTTACATAATTGGGTGATTTTTTTTCTAATTTTTTGAGACCCTTTATTTTTAATTTTTAATTAATTAATTTAATTTCTCAGTTTTTGGGTCATTAATAGTCCCATGATATATTTTTTAAATTAGGGTTGTTGGCGACAAATTTTAAACTCGAAAATTTTTTTCCGATTTTTTTGAAATTAAAAAATTATCCCAAAAATAACCTTCGATATTTTTAAGTGAAATTTAAAACCGAAAACCTAGTTTTTAAAATTTTGAATTAACAGAAAATCTGAGAGTACCGGTTTTAATAGCCGGTCGTCAACAACCCTACATATTTTTTTCAAACAGCATTTTTTTAATTTAATTGAATTTCGGTTCCAAAATTTTTATTTTTTCTAAATTATTTATATATTTAATTTACGAATTAAAAAAAATTTTTCTTTTAAGAATTCGTCTTTTAATTAATTAAACAGTCCAATCTCTGGGTATTGGGTGCATTCCATAAATAAATGGACGAATAACCCAAAATCCTTGTTGATTATTTGATTTTAATAATCTTGTTGATGTAAATGGAGGGAGAAGAAAATTATTTGTTTGTTGTCCTGCTGAACGTTTTCCAAAGCCCATAGGTAAACGTCCACTTCCTTTTATGAATTCTTCTGAAAAAATTAAGGAGAATTGATTTTTAAATTTTTTGAGATTTTCTCAAATTTTTCTTAATTTTAAGGGTTATTTTTTAATTTTTTAAAATGATTTTTTGAAAATTTTTTAGAATTTTCCTTGAATTTTGAAAAATTTCCCCCTTTTTCCTTCTCCCCTTACCGTATTCTTCACTAGATCTTTTGTCTATTGACCTGTGTGCATCTTCTATAGGTTCTTCCTTTAAAAAAAGATTTTTTTCCAAAAATAGAAAATTTAAATTAAAATCCAATTAAATTATACCTCACTTAACAATTCAAATCCAGCGGAAATAAAAATTTGTTGAGGGCACAGATGTAAAAATAAAAAAAGGTGAAATAATGGGAAAAGAAAAGTAATACTTTTAAAATTTAGTTGAAAATTCATTTTTCTTTTTAAAAATTCTTTTTTTGGCAATTTTTAGAAAAATGTGAATGAATATAGGCTTTGAAATGAGTTTAAAAACATTGTTTTATATAGTAGCCATTTTTTAAAAATTTTTCTTTTTGTGGGGGTGAGAGAGGGAGGAGGTGGAGCAAGTCTAATTAGAAAGGGAATGGTTAATAAATGGAATAGATATGTTGGAGGAAGGAAATGACTCTTTAAAGGAAGGGAAAGAGGGGGAAGGAACTTGAAAATACTTAAAATTGCTGTAAATTTAAAAAATATTTTGAGGGGTTTTGGAAGATTTTTGAGGTTGTAGATTTTCGAAAAAAAGATCATTTGGTTTTGTGTGGATGTGTGTCCTTGTTTGCTTGTTTGAAATAGGTAATCTTGAAGGGCCTCCATCAACCTGTAGAAATCAAGAAAGATATGTTGGGCTATCTGTTCAAGGATTTTTTGTTTTCCTCAATTAGTCTCTCGAGCTAAATTTTTTAAAAATAATTTTCAAAGGCCTCCATCGCCCAGTAGATAAGATTATTATCAAAATCCGCAAAAGATTTTGTGAGCTATATTTATCTCAACTAAAAATTGCTGCAAGTCCACGGGGTTTTTTAATAAATATATTTTTTATTTACTTCAATTATTTTTTAAGCCCAAAAGATTTTTAAGCCCAAAAGATTTTTTAATAATAAGTTTTTAATAATATAATTATTAAAAATTAAAATTTTTAATAATAATTTTAATTTTTAAGCCCAAAAGATTTTTTAATAATAGGAGGGAGAATATTTTTAAAGGAAATTTCATTTTTGATTAAATTTGGCATTTTTTTGTTGGCAATTTTTGGCATTTATAAATACACATTAAATAAGCACAAATGTGTTATCTACTCATTTATTCTCCCCTCTCAATGCCAGTTTTGATGTGGTTAAAAAATGAAAGGGAGAATATATCCATTTTTGATTGCTTTAACAAAGCAAAATTAAAAAATCTGTCAAGTTCTTTTTTTGGTAGTCATATAAAAAATTTAAAAAAATTTACTAAAATGGCTCTAAAAAAGATTGATGTTTGTATTCTTAAAAAATAAGGCAAAAATTATAATAAATATATATTTTTTGGGAACAAATGAAAATTGCCTTTTATTATTAAATTTAAAAAATTTAAATGGGGATTTTGTTTGCTTTGATGACGTTTTGGTCATTTTTCCATTGTTGAAGTTTTTTGTAAATTTTAGTCAAATTACAGTATTTCAATTTTTAAATTATTGACCCTTTTGAAAATTTTCAATTTTTGACCCTTTTATAATTTTTTTTAATTTTACCATTTTACAACTATTTCACCAATTATAATCTGACCATTTTAAATTGCCCTTTCGGTCCTTTGAAGTTCTCTAATTTTTTTGTGACAATATTTGTGTACAAAATGTACTATTGTCTGCGGTTAGTCAAAAAAAACATCACGTTCCTCCCTCAATTTGTACTTTGTTCCTGTGTTGATTGTTACTTCCTTCATTCAATGGTATGCTTTTATAGGGGAGTTTCTCTTTCATTAAATTGATTTGCAGTCAAAACAAAAGGCAAACAAGGCTATTTTTAAGGTTATTTTTAGGTACAGGGAGAGATGTTTATCTTCTTTTATTGTCTGGTTTAAACAAAATTTTCTAGTCATTTATGTTAAAAACATTTTTTACTAAAAAACTAATTAAAATGCCAGAATTTTTAAAAGATTCACAATTTCAAATTTTATCGTCACCAAGACATATTATTGGAAATAATCATCATCAAGGGCATTTCCCGCCTTTTATTTCAAATTTCACAACGTCCTCTTCAACCAATTCAGAGTCTAGCAGCGCTTCATCAACAACATCTTCAAGTTCAAATTCTTTACCAACTTCTTTTCAACCTCCTTCAGCTGATTCTGAATCTTACGTTAAAGTTAGAATGCCTAATATTAAAGGTTTCTTTTTATTTTTAATTTAATTTTCTTAGGTCTTGTTTGTGTGTGGGGGATATTCATTAATCGACCTCATAACAGGTGCCTAATGTTGTGGTTCTATAGTCTTCCGGATAAAAAATGTCACACACAAACAAGACTATTACCCAATTTTGACCCTCTCAAATTTTTATTTTTTTTTTCAGTTTTTTCTGGTTCGTCAAATTATGAAATGGCCCGTTCAATTTGCGATAGATTACAATTAGATGTAGCCAAAGCTGTTTTGAAGAAGTTTAGCAATAAAGAAACTAATGTAGAAATTATTGAATCTGTTAGAGGAGAGGACGTTTATATTATACAGAGCGGGTTTGGTTTTATTTTAATATTATATTTTCTCTGGGTCTGGGCGAATTTTCGAATCCACTGTTTTGAACATGTCATACAAGTCCACGAAAAATCTTGGATACTTAAATAAATTGGGTCAAGCTGAAAAACCCTAGGCTTTTTAGATTCCGTGTTATATCTTATGCCTGTAAGAGTTCAACTTTAACACATACAAATTATAATATTTTTTAGTTGTGGCGAGATAAACGACCATTTGATGGAACTTTTAATTATGATTTCTGCTTGTAAAATAGCTTCAGCGTCACGTGTTACAGCAGTTATTCCCTGTTTTCCCTATGCTAGACAAGACAAAAAAGACAAATCTCGAGCTCCTATTACTGCTAAACTTGTAGGTTTTTTTAATTTTTTGTTTAAAAATTTCCTTTTTTAAAGGTTGCAAATATGCTTTCAGTTGCTGGGGCTGATCATATAATTACAATGGATTTGCATGCTTCCCAAATTCAAGGATTTTTTGATATTCCTGTGGACAATTTATATGCTGAACCGGCAATATTAAAATCAATTAGAGAAACAATTCCAAATTGGAAGGAAGCTGTTATTGTTTCTCCTGATGCTGGAGGAGCTAAACGGTTGGGTTTTTAAAATTATTTTAGAAAATTTTTTTGAGTAATTACCAAAAAAATTTTTTTCAAGTGTAACCTCAATAGCGGATCGTTTAAATGTCGATTTTGCTTTAATCCATAAAGAAAGAAAGATTGCTAATGAAGTTGAGAAGATGACACTTGTTGGTGATGTAACAAACAAAACAGCTATTTTGGTTGATGATATGTCTGATACTTGTGGAACTTTAATTTTGGCTGCAGAAAAGTTTTTTTATTGCTTTTTTGATTAAAAGAATTTTTTAAAGATTAAATGAAGCTGGGGCAAGCCAAATTTATGCTTTTTGTGTTCACGGAATATTTTCTGGTCCAGCTATTGATCGTTTAAATAATTCTAAATTTGAGTCTGTTTTTGTAACAAATACAATTCCACAAGAAGAAAATATGAAACGTTGCAGTAAAGTTAAGGTTTGGGAATTTGAAAAAAAATTTTTCTGTAATTTTTGAGGGGAAGAGCTTCTATAATGAGCGTTTTTTATATAGGGAAGGTTCATACAAAAACTATTTTTTAAATTTTTTGAGGGTTTTGGCAGGGTTCTAATCGGAGATGGGTTGGATTACACGGCTCCTACCTGGCTTTTTTACCTCTTTATCCCCTAACTGAACTCACCCGAGAGCCGAAACCCTTACTTATTTTCGATTTGGTATCCTCGACTTTTTCTCCCAACATGTTCAGTCCTTGGGTCTTATATGGGAATAAATTTTTTTAATTTTTAAGTGTATTGACATTTCAATGATTCTTGCTGAAGCAATTCGTCGTACACATAATGGTGAATCTGTTAGTTATTTATTCAGTCATGTGCCTTTGTAAAAGAAGTTAAAGAAATAAATAAAAGTTAACTTTTTTGATTGAAATTTTTATTTTGGTTTATTTTCCCGGATCTCCACACAAAAATAAATATTTTAAAAAATAATTCCTTTAAAATTAAATTTCTCTTCAACAACCTCTCTTTCCTTTTAATTATACATATTTTATTTTAAACACATATTTTTTGTGAAATATTTGAAAAAAGGTATGGCTCTACTTGATGTTAGAAAAATTTTTTGGATCATTTTTTGTATTTTTTTAGAATTATTTGGAGACGAGAGTGCCATATCTTTTTTTGAATTTATGATAGTAATAAAATAACACCAAAAATGTTTATTTTTGACCTATTTAATGTTAGAACTTCGCCCTATATTTTATTTGATGCACATACGATTCATGTCAGATTTCTAATGAGTTAAATTTATTTTTTTTGAGGAGGTGATAAAAATACTAAATTATGAATCGTATGTGTTTAAGTATGTTAGATTTAAATAAAAGTTTGAAAGAATTTTTTTTTGAAAATGTTGTTTTTTCATAAATCCATACCCAAATTATTTATGAAGATTTTATAAATAATATTTCTGGACAAAATTTAAAAAAATTGTTTTGTTTTTTTAATTCCATAGCTTTCGATCATGTCCAAATGCCTCCTCATTCTATTCCTCAACCTTTGCATTCTACAAATTGTTAGAACACAAAATTTTGAAACTGGAGATAATTCTACAGTTAGAGGATGCTCGTAAGAAGAAAAATTTTTTTTAATTAATTTTTAAATTTTTTTTATTAAAGAAATCGTTGTTCATACAAAGATTCCTCTTTGCAATGTTGGAACACTTCCCTTTTATTTTTTGAAAAAATATTGCTTGGTCAAATGAGGAATTATGTTGCTGTGCAAATGAATGTATTTTTTGTAATCGGGAGGTTTTTAAATTTAAATTAATTTTTAAAGATTGATCAATGGGCTAGAAGGCACAAGAAGCCATATGTTGAAGATTTTGCTGGTGCAAAGAAACGTTCAATTAAATCAATGGGTTTGTTTTTCATTTTTTTCTCTCAATCGAAAGTGTCTTCCTTGTTGGTGTTAGGGTTGGGTTGGTTGTCAAGGTTGTTTTTATCGTGAAAGGTTTTTTGTCTAGGGTTGGCGATTCCCCATAATTGCTGTTTTTCTGATTATATTTTGGTCATAAATCCCTCGACTCGTTTTGCTTGACTATTTTTCTGTTTAATTTAATTTTTATTTAGAATCCTTTCTTCACGACGGCGATATCCTCAAAAAGGAAACAATTGAAACAATTGTTGATGCTTTGGTGGATTTGGCTGCACAACAATCGAATCATTCTATGGTTTTTTATTTATTTAAAAAATTATTTTTAAAATTTAAAGCTTACTTGGATGACTCATTTCCAATGTCCAATTCCTTGCGAACATAGATACACTGTTTGGCGTAATTTGTAAGTTTTTTATTTTCATTTTTGAGGTGGTTTTCTGGAAAAATATTAAAATGTTGAGGGGTTTCTCTTTAAATTTTTGAATTTTTCAGAAAATTTTTAACCAATTTTAATTATTTTTTTAAAAGGTTCATTCTGTCAACAATTTTGAATGTTTGCCTATTTATTTGTGTTCTTCCATTAGTCAGACGAATGCATGGGGGAGAATCTTCTGAACCTCTTATTCATAACAACTAAAACATTTTCGATGAAAATTGTGAAGATTTCCAATGTGGCATTTTTCAATGGTTTTTCGGTCCTTTTTCCTTCATAAGCTCAATTTTTCTTTAAAAATATTTTTTGCCTTTTTCGTCCTTTTTCCCATTTTTGCAATTTTTTCTGTTTTTTAATTCCTTTTCTTGTATTAACTGTTGATAAATCATTTATCTTCTATCGAAATTCTATTCCTGAAAAATGTTTTTTACATTATCTATTTGTCCGAAAAGAGAGTTGTTTATTAAAAAATTTTTTAGAGAGTAATTAATGTCTGAAATTAGAGCTAAAAAATCTGGTTTGGCTGCGGAAGCGCAACAAAAAGTTCATGGCAAATTCGATTCTCAATTTGCTCAACAAATTTTTGGATGGATTTCTAATGTTACGGGAGAGACGTTGCCAACAACTGGAGATATTAATGAATTTATTTCGACTTTGAAGGATGGAGTGTTGCTTTGCAAGTTTGTTTTAAGGAATTTTTTCGGTTTATTTTTGGGTGTATGGTTTATCTCATAGGCATTTAGTCTCAAAGATGGGTCCGAAATTAACAAAGAGAAGTACTTGGTGACATGCATATGTTATTTTTATCTGGACTTGAATCTGCTCTAAATACTAAATTTTTAACTTTCAGACTTGCAAATACGCTATCACCTAATTCAATTAAAAAGGTCAACACAAGCACTTTGGCATTTAAACAAATGGAAAATATCTCGTTCTTTTTGTCGTTTGTGGGAAATTATGTCGGCAAAAGTATTTTTTGAGTATTTCTTGATAATTCTAATTTTTTTAGATGAACTTTTCCAAACGGTTGATTTATACGAGGGGCAAGACCCAAACTCCGTTCTCGTTTGTTTGGCAGCGTTGGCACGTAAATCTGAAAAAGTTTTTGGGTAAGAACAACGAGATTCAAATTTATTTTTAAATTTAGAAAGCCTGGACTTGGCCCAAAAGAAGCTGAGGGCGAAAAAAGACAATGGACTCCACATCAACTTAAAGCTGGTGAAACAATTATTGGACTTCAAGCTGGATCAAACAAGGGGGCTACTCAAAGTGGAATGGTTTGTTTTTTGATGTTTTTGGGCGGGAGGGGGGGAGGTTGTTGGGACCTTTTGAACAAAATTTTTTTGGACTATAAATTTCTAAAAAAAAAATTTTTTTAAGATTATGGGCAACACTCGACACATGTAATATGTATAATGGAAGAGAAAACACTTTTGACCTTTAGATGAAGAATAAAGTTTTATGAGTTTATCAAAAACGGTGATTCAGTTTTATTAAATTTATTTTTTTCACTTAAAAATTGTTAGCCTTTTTCACTTAAAATTATTCCTCCTTCACTTAATTAAATATTCCCTGTGACAAAAAATTCTTGCCTTATAAAATTGGCATTCCAAATTTAATGATAATTTTTGATAAATAAAATTTTGCTTTAAATTAATTTTCTTAATTTTTTAAAAATATTGTTTTAAAACAATTAATTTTTTTTTTAAATTTCACAACTCATTCTTCACTATTTTTCCTCCTATTCTCTCATTTAATAAGCTCCATTTAAATCCCTCTATTTTTGGACTCTAAAGAACATTCATATATTTTTTACTCTAATTGTGTTTTAGTTATAGTTAAGCGTTTCTAACGTAACCTTGTTTTTTTATTTCTAGTTGAATGAATCATCTCTTTTTTAAAAGATAAGTAGTGTGTTTATTAAGAAATAGACCCATTTTTAGCTTAATTTTTAGTTAAATATCTGTTTCATTTTCTGAACACATTTCTATTTCGTTAAAAAAAATTTTTTTTAATTTTTAGATGGTCAATTTTCTTTCTGTTCCACTTAAATCTACAAATGAAGTTGATTTATACAAACCTTTAAAAACGTATATAGATTCTCTTTCTGAATTGTCTGAAGATGTTAAAAGTGAAGCAAATGAAGGATTACTTGAATTGAATAAATTGAGAAATAAAGCTTGTTGTCAACCTTTGGATAAACATCAAAGCTCTCTTGATGTTATTTCAAGGTTTCTGAATTTTATATTTAATTTTGAAATGATCAGATAGAGCCGGTGATGGGACGGTTTCTCGAAGCCCGGAACCCGGACTTTTTTGAGAGATAAGTACCCGATCGTATGGGTTTTGAGTGCCTTTTTTTGTTTAAATGCCCCAACAACATCTTGTATTATAATATTTCTGAAGTTGAAAATTATTTCTAAATTAATTTCATATCATTTACAGATACTATGACCAACTTTGTGCAATTGAAGCAAAATTGCCAATTACACCAACTCTGAATCCAATTAGTTTTAAATGGAAAGATGCCTTTGGGAAGAGTTCATTATTCTTTTCTAAAGCTTCTCTAAGTTTGTTTATTTTTAAAATTTATTTTTGATAAAAAAAATTTTAGCGTTAAATGACAGTTCTTTTGAAAGAGCCTGTGTTCTCTTTAATTGTGGTGCTCTAATGTCAAATATTGCAGCTTCACAGCAAATGCATTCTGATGAGGAATTAAAAAGTGTTGCTAAAATGTTTCAACTATCAGCTGGGATTTTTTCAAAATTGAAGGATTCTGTTTTTGGATTGGTAAATGTTTTGTTAAATTATTTGTTTTATACTTTAAATTTCTTAGGTTCAACAAGAGCCAACGCCTGATCTTAGTCCAGATGCTTTATCCTCACTTTCTTTGTTGATGGTTGCACAGGCACAAGAGTCTGTTTATATTAAAGCTTCGAGAGGTTTTTAGTTTTCATTTTTCGATAACTGAAATAAATTTTTAGATAAGATGAAGCCAAGTTCTTTGCTTAAAATTGCAGCACAATGTAGTGAGATGTATAGTGAGGCTCTTAAATTTATGTGCAAAGATAGTGTCAAAGGAATGTGGGATAAAGTTTGTTTTTTGATTTTCTACGATTAATAAATTATACGGTTATGACCGTCGGGAAATTTGTTTTTGACTGTTTTGGACCTCTCCGCTAACGAATTTTTGATTTAATTCTCTAAATTTTCTAGGAATGGATTCCTATAGTAACTGCAAAAGGAATGGCTTTTGGTGCTTTGGCTCAATTTTATGCAGCAGAATATGCTAAGGATAACCAAACTTTTGGAGAACAAATATCGCGACTTAAAGAAGCTTCGAAATTAATGGACCAAGCAATTTCTTATTCTAATGGATTTTCTGAAGAACATGCTTTAATTAAAAAGTCGTTAGAGACTGCTGTTAAAGACAACGACTTTATTTATCATGAAAGGGTTGCTGATTTTAAATCACTTCCTCCTTTACAAAAAATTTGTTTGGCAAAACCTTCAACGATTTCTGGACCTATTTCTGCTCGTTTTAAAGATATGTTTGAATCACTTGTACCTGTTGCTGTTCAAAACGCTTTGGCTACTTTTGAGACTAGAAAGAATGATGTTGTTAATATCGATGTTTCTAGAATGAGGGAATATAACCAATTAATGAATGCGTAAATATTTGATTTTTATAAACAATTAGGGAAGGGATTTAGGGGGTTTTTCAAGGTTTTTCGAATTTTTTGACTTTGTAGAGGTCCACAAGACGTCAAAAATTTTATTTTAAAGTTGTTTGGCTTCATTAAACTTGCCTGCTGCTTTGGACGATGTAACTAAACAAGAACAATGTCCTCAATCTATTCGTGAAAAGTCGGCACAAGTTAAAAATAATGGAGGGATTACTGATTTGACGAATAAATTGAATGAATTGCCTGGTTTATATAAAAGAAATGAAGAAATTTTGAATGAGGTTTTTTTTTAAATTTATGTTTGTTTAATTTTTTTTAATTTAAGTGTTCAAGACTGTTAAAAGATGAAAAAGAAACAGATGAAAATCTTCGTAAACAGTTTACTACAAAATGGACTCGAATGCCTTCTGAAAATTTGACACCGCCTTTTTTGCAAGAATTGGGAAAATTTAGAGGAATATTACAAACAGCAGCTAATGCTGATGTTAGCGTTAGAAGTAAATTTGAGCAAAACAAAAGAGGAATGGAATTGCTTAGTTTAACTGAGGTTTTTTTTGTTTTTTATTTTTGATGGGAAGACTAATCACAACAAGGGAATGGTCGGGTTTTCAAAGTTATCTTTGGATCGGGTTTTGGGTTAAAAGAAAGTTTCCCTGATCCTAATCTCTAATAAAATTAAAAAAAATTATTTCCTAGAATGACTTAAAATTATCAATTCCTGGTATTGGAACTTATCAAGGTGGAGCATCTAATTCTGAAACAGTTCAAAAATTGCGAAGTCTAATGAATCAAGTTCAAGAAATTAAAGTTGAAAGAGAGGAGATTGAGAAAGAATTAAAAAAGGTCTAAATATTTATTCTAACATTAAATATAAAAATCAAAAATTTTTTGAAGATTCATTGTGATATGAGCAACGATTTTTCTAGAGCTTTGGCAGAGTCTGGTGTTGTAGATGAACAGAAATTAAGTTCTGACAAAATTTCGAATTTATTCAAGCCTTTACGTGACAAAGTAGAATCTTCAATTAAACGGCAAGATTCTGTTATGGAAGAAGTTCAATTATGGCATAAAAAGTTTCACGAAGAACGTCAAACGACTGGAGGTGCTGAACGTGAAAATTTTTTGAAAGGATTGGCAACTGCTTATGATGCTTTCTTTAGACTTCAAGGGGATTTGAATGAAGGAACAAAGGTTTTCCTTGTTATTTTTTGGTCTAAATTTTTTTTCCAGTTTTATAATGATCTTACACCTATTTTAGTTCGACTTCAGCAGAAAATCTCTGGTTTATTTTTAAATTCTATTTTTATAATACTTTTTTCATTAGATTTTTGTTTTGCTCGACAAACTGAAAAGGAAGATTTGATGAAACAAGTTCAACAAAATATTGTCTCTGGTAATGAAACTACGGGAAAAAGTGCTCCACCTCCTCGTCCACCACCACCTGTACCGCCTCCTGTTACTCAACCATATCAAAATCAAAGTTTCTTTTTATTTTTTCATTAAACATTAGTTATTTAGCTCCAATGCCTCAAATGCATCCGCAACCACAATTGGGTATGCAACAGCAACAGCCACCACAGTATTCATATCAGCAACAACCTCCGAATCCTTATATGCCATATGGTTTCCTTTTAATCTAATTTTTAGCTAAGAATTACTTTTTAGCTCCATATCCTTATGGTGTTCAGCCGCAACAACAGCAGGCTCAAATGGGAGGTTATAATACTCCTTATCCTGTTCAATATCCGGTTATTTTTTTAATTTTTTGTATTGTAAAATTTTTAAAAATTTAGGGGACATATCCAGGCGCTTTTCCACAACAGCAGTTTGGTGCCTTTCCTCCACCACCAGCTTTTAATCAACAGCAGCAACAGCCTCCTAATAACCCAACTAATCCGTTTCAATAAATATAAAGAGGGATGTTAAGGGAACATTTAAAAATATGATTAAATGTGTGTATTTGATCTTAATTTTTTTTATATACTACGCAGACTTTAAGAAAAAGTTTTTTTTATTGGATTTAGCTTTCTACTTATGTATAAATAAATTAATTTTGATTATGTTTATTCAATATAAATTTTGAATTTTTATATCTTTTTTTCATTTTTAGTATTTACGCGAATGTCGTTAGACTGTCCGAAACCCGGACTGTTTTTACCCGATGCACGACCCGTTAAATTTTCGAAACCGGATAACCGATTTTTTTCTCAATCCGTGGCATACCTGTTTCAAATATAATAAAATACCTTTTTTCAAATTTAGATATCTTTTGACGATTCCAATATGTTAGCAGCAACTGCTGTAAATACTGCTGTATTTTCAACTTTACTCTTCAATCGCAATTTTCTTCAAAGGTCAGCTAAATTATTGGTCAATCAAAACAACTTGAAGATTGCAAGTGTTAGAAATTTAGTTGCTGAGAGTGCTACAAAGAATTTGGAACATGATAAACTTTTTAAGCGAATTGATTTAGAATTGAGAGGGCATGATCCTGAAGTTCTTTCTTCGTATACTACGTTTGTTAGCGTTAGTTTTATTATTTTTTTGATGATTTTAGTTTTACTGTTAGGAGAGGTCCTGTTTCCGAGGTAAAAAATTTTAAGACGAGGAGGAAAATGATTCAAATTTCTCCAACCCTTCTTGGGATAACATGGTGAGCCCTTTACGAACTCTGTTTATAAGACATTCCTTCTATGGTTAACATCTTGGAAAAATCATAAGTCCAAATCCTGTGCACGAATTTTTATTTGGTTATAAATCAAGTCAATTTATTAAAATAAATAAATATTCTAGAATGTCTGCGATCATTTGGAAATAGAAAAATCTCAAGTAACAGAAACTCCACATCTTAAATGGCTTTTAACAACATTAAGAGATAAATTTGCAAAAAAGAAATATAAAGTTCAATATGAAGTACGGACATATATTCGATTTATGCATGTCAAATATTTAACTGGAAGTACTGCAAGTACATTTCTTGAATATATTGAAAGAAATATTCCTGAAGGAGTGGCCATGAAAGTTACATATACAGAAATTTGTAATTTACCAAAGACGATTACTTCAAATTCAACAAATTCTTCTCCTCAATCTTTACAATAATAAATATAGAAAATTATTTCTTGTTGTTAGTTTCGTTGAGGTTTTCTTTTTTTGTTTGTCTTTATTTTTTTCTTTTTGAATAAACCTTGACAAAATAATTTATAAAAATTTTAGTTAAACTGATTTTTATATCGTCCAAATACTTTTTACTTTTCTTTTATTTTTTACTAGAGGTCAGCAACAGGTGTTTGCCGTAAAAGATTTTAATAGATGACACGTGAACATAGGAGTAACTCCTCCAAAATCCCGTGGCGGGTTCCTGCCCAGCGCCGACCTCTAATTGCACAGTTATCTTTTTACTTTTTTTATTTTTAAGACATGTGAAATTTTCTTTTAAACAAAATTTCCAAATTATGATTATTCTGTTCTACTTCAACTTTGCATTAATATTTGTTTATTGTTATGCTGAAGTTTCTCATTCAAATAAAGATTCTTTTGATAAATCAACTCAAGATACTTTTAGCAATAAAAAGGAGGAACTAAATGTGGATTCTTTTTATAAAGAATGTAGGTTTGTTGATTTTTTTTAATTTTTTTGGGTAATAAATGTGCTGGTCGCTGGAAAGGATCTGGACGGATTTATCGTGGTACGCGTCCCAAATTCATAGTTTTTACGGTCTCCGGATTACTTCGAGTCCAAATCCGACCAAAAAATTCTACCGGATCTTTTCCTGCTCTAGTTACCAATCCGAGTCCGACTTCGGAAATATCAATTCTGCCGCGCCTTATAATAAATCCTTTCTATTTAATAGATCCTTTATTATTAAAAATCAAAAAACGTGAACAAGAAGCAGCTTTAAGAACTATTTTGACCAAAAACAAGGATGAAAAACAATTGATGCTTCGACAACTTTTTGTCCGTATTTTTGAAACAATTAAGGAATCTAAACAATTATTGTTTAAATATCACGAAAATGAGGGGGATTTTACTAAATTGGCAACAGATAAAGAATCTCGGGAACATTTTGCTAGAATTATTGAAAATACAATTTTTCTTGCTGGATTAACTTTGTATTTTCCCAAATATGCTTTATATTATGTTAACAAAGATGTGAATTTTCATCAAATTTATTCATGGTCAAACAACTTTTGTGCGAATTTAACATTTTTGGATCAAGAGTATTTTTTTCTAAATATAAAAAATTCTTTTTTTAGAACAAAAGAATTGCTCAATTTGGCTGCTCAAGAAATCGAAATAATTCCAAAATCTGAAAATTTTTTCAATCCTTACAAAGATATTTCAAGTCTAACAGAGAAGGAAGAAATGCAACGTGAAGCTCTTAAAGAAATGAAAGAAAGAGAAATGGCAAAGAAAATGGAAAAATCAAATAAACCAAAAAAGAAGAAAAATAAAAGTGATTCAATGAAGGGTGAATTGTGAAAATATCGGTTTTATATTTTTAAGTTGGAATTTTTTAAAGTTAAATTTTGGGGTTGTTTCTAAGGTTGTTTTCTATTCAAAAAAATTTTTTTTGAAAAATTTTTTAATTTCATTCCACGATTTAATTTGGTAATTTCCTCAACAATCAAGAATAATTCCGGGATTTTAAATATTGCCCGGGTTTTCCAAAGTTCCTGAAACCATTTTCAGGATTAGGACATTCACCTGTTTAATTCACTTAATTTTTTTCGTTTTTTGTAATTAAATTTTTTATATAGATTAAAAGCTATAAATAAATTATTTTTCCTTATTTTTTAAAATTTAATATTGTTTTCAATACAATTATTACTTTAATTTTTCAAAAAATTTTCTAAAATATTTAATTATAAATGTTTACTGCGCCTTCTTTAACATTAAAAATGCTTCAAAAACGTCTAAAAAATGGCGAACTTGATTTAAGTTCTCTACGTTTAGAAACTGTTCCAATTGAATTAATTTGTCGTTGTGTTAATTTTGGAGGAGAAAAACACAAAAAAATTAAAGAAATTAATTTAAGCAATAATTTATTGACAGAATTGCCTCAACAATTTTGTGCTTTCTTTTCGGAACTTGAAGTTTTGAATTTGGGCAATAACAAAATTAAAGCGTTACCTGAAGATTTTGGAAGTTTATCGTCTTTATATCATTTGGATTTGTCAAATAACAGGATTAAGGTTTGGAAAAAATTTTTTTGAAAAATTTTTTTTAAAATTTTTGTAAAATGTTTCTGATAAGGCAGGGTAACAGGAAATTTGGTTAAAGGGTTAAAATTTCAAAAAAAATTTAAAGAAACTCCCAGCAAGTTTTGGTGATTTGGATATTCTAAAATGGCTAAATTTGGCGAACAATCCTTTGGATGGAGATTTGGCAGAAATTATTGGAGAATGTTTGGATGATTATCAATGCGCAACTGCTGCTGTTAATGGTTTTTCTTTTTGAAAAATTTTTTTTTCAAAAATATTTCTAATTTTAGCTGTTCAATATGTTGGCTTTTCTTATGCCCATTCAGCAGAATCTACAGCAATAATTGACGATTCTAGTGATATTGCTCCAACAAATGAATCTTCTTCGAATAATTCTAGTCCTGACTTTAAAGGTTTTTTTTGTAAAATTTTTAAAAGAATTTTTTTCATTTTTAAGAAGAAATTGAGCATGTACACAAGCGTAAAAAATTTAGAAAAATGACAACTTTGTCAAAATCAGAAAGCAAGTCAATTGAAAAACATCGAAGGACGGAAGAGGACGAAGACGGATTTGACTCTTATTTTTATGGGAAATTTGTGATGTGTAAGAAATTTTTTGGTTTATTTTCAGGGGGATTATATGTCACGAGTAAAGAAAAGACATGTATGATTTTGGATTGGATTTTTGAAAAAATTTCTCGAACCCGGTATCGGGATATCTAATTTCGGATTGTAACTTGTTTTGGATTTATGGTCTAAAAATTGCTTGGGTTTTCGATTTCGGGGTTTGAATAAACTTTGATATTTCTGTCTAGTTTTCCGACTACAAGTCATGGATTCGAGTCCTGTTTCTAGTCATTAATTATTTTAAACTTTCTAATCCGTCTATTATCTTTCTAATCTTTCAGTTTTCTTTTTTGCCTTTTTAATTGCTTTGGGAACTTCACTTTGGCTTACATTTGATGCAATGCGGGAAAATTATTTAAATGAAGATTTGTCCAAAAATGTAGAAAATATTCAAAATTTGGAAGAATTACAACAATTTCGTTTTTGTTTAGAAATTAATAAAATGTTGAAAAAAGGAGAACCTCCAAATTCTTGGAAACAATTTTTACAAGATTTTTATTTTACATTTAAAAATGCTTGGGGAAGAAATGTTGCTGATAAAATTGAGGAGAAAATTAAATCGCTAAATATTTGCTGGTATGAATCTTTTTTTTTAATTTTTGAAAATTTTTCGAGGGTTTTTGGAAAAAAATTTCTAAATTATTTTCTGATCCTTTTTGAAAATTTTTGAAATTTTTTTTTAAATAAAAAAATCTTTGAAATTTTTTTAGTTGGACAAATAGTTTAATTAAATGGATTAAAATTGTTTGGCAATTACTATTCCAACCAATATTTGTTTTCTTTACTGATTATTCTATTTATGTTTGGAACTTTTATTTGCTTCCAATAATAAAAAGTTTTGGTTTTTAAAGAAGAGAATATTTGAGAGAGAAAGAAGAATTTATTTAATAAAAAAAATAATATTAATTTTTAGTTTTGCCTACTAGACTTGAGATTTTTGATTTTTAATTGAGAGAGAGCTTATTATGTAATTAAATTGACACAAAAAATGAGAGAGAGAGTATTTTAAATTTTGAATAATTTTTGAAATTTTTTTAAAAATTTTAAGAATTTATTTTAAATTGTTTTTTGGAAATTTTATTTTTAAATAATTAATTAAAAATTCAAAAAAAATTATTTTTTTAGAGAAAAGGAAAAAATTTCTTTCCTGAATAAATTTCTTTCTTGAAATTTATTAACTACTGCTCTCATTTTTGTTAATTTTTTTAAACATTTACTGAGACTGACCGACTGACAAAAAATCTTTCTTTTTTTTATGAATAAAAATTCTTTTATTTAAATTTAATTTTTTAACATTTTAGGATTTTAAAAAATCCATTTTTTTATTTTTAAAAATATTTCTTGGATTTTTAATATTTATTTTTAATATTTATTAACTTTAATCACGCAATCCTTAAAAAAACTATCTCTTTACTATTCCATATTTGCATGTCTTTTTTCAATTCATTTATTTCTTTCTTCTATTTATCTTCATCATCATTTTTTCTTCTCATTTATTATTTCTTTAATATATCCATTACGGAAATTACACAACAAACAAACAAGCAAACATTCTTTTTGGACATTAAATATTTATTTAGATTTTTTTTGAGAGGAGGGAGAAGGGATTGAGTTGGTTGGTGGTTGGTAGTTGGTGGTTAGTTCTTTTAGAAGCTTTACATCTGTTTTAAATGTTAACAAGAAGCAGTTTTTTAAGGATATAAAAAATGGGGTTAGGAGGATGTGAACTACATATATAAGCTTTTCTTTTTTTAACAAGGCAAAGATACGAGAAAGAAAAAAGGTTTTTTGAATTTTTAATTTTAGGAGGAATTTAAGGCAGAAATTTTTTTAAGTTTCGCTAGAAAAAATTTTTGCGGAGGGGAAAAGATTGAGAGGTTGTGGTAGTATTACATAATATAGTACGGCAAAATCGCATTCCTGGGATCCCGGAACGTGAATTTTCCTGCGGGATTTATATCGTAAATCCCAGTAATCCCGTTCACCGCATAAAACCCGGGATTCCGAAATTTTTTTCAAATTATCAAACTCTCCTTTGTAGTTTACAAATGATTTTTTCCTAATTTTCTCTAAAATAAAATATGTATGTAGGCTAAAAAATATTTTTAATTATTTGCCTTGTTATTATGAAACCCTTTTTTATTGAAAAATTATCACACTTTTTTTACACATTATTTTTCATTTTCTAATTTTTTAAGGATTCTTTTTTCTTCCCTTTATTTATTTATTAAAAAATCTTTAAAAAAATTTTTATTTAAAAAAAGGAATGTTTAAAAAATAATTTTATTTATTCAAGAATAGTCTAAAAATATTTGAAAATGAAGCAAAAAATTTGTAATGCTTCCAAGAATTTGATTGACCTCTTTTTTTCTTTTTTATTTCTGGCTGGTTTTTGTTCTTTTTTTTACATTCCTTTTTAAAAATTTTTTTTATTTCCTTAAAACCCCCCCCCCCCCTCCCTCTCATTTTCTCGTCATTCAATAATGACATGTCTCTCTACTAAAAAAGCACATTTCGGCTCTCTTTTTTATTGACAATTTTAATTTGAATGTTAAAATTACTCTTTTTATCAGTTGAAAAATAGAAGGAGGAAACAATTATCTTTAACTCTACTTGAGAGAGAATTGGATTTCATAAATTATGACTTGAACTCATTTTTTCTTGGTAATTTATTTTTTAAGTTTTCGGTATTTAGTAGACAATCACTACTTTTTTTCTTCCTTGTTGTCTGCAAAAAAATTTTTTTTTGAAATTTTGTTTTATAATTTTAGCTTTGCTTCTTCCAAATACGTTTTAGAAAACCTTTGGGAAAGTTCATCGACAATTTTTTGAAAATTAAATTTTCCAGACCTTATCTTCCTTCATAAATAAGCCGATCCTCCATTTTCATTTTTTAGGTGAACCATCACTACCTTTTTTGTTTATTTTTACTTTTTTTATAATTTCTATTTATTGAAGCTTTGTGTTTTTTCCAAATATTTTTCTAAATTCCCACTCCTTTGGGAAGTTCTTCAACAATTTCTTGAAATAAATTTTTTCCAAACATTTCCCCCTTATAAATTACCCGGATAACTTTATTTTTCCATCAAAACTCTTATTTTAGAAAATTCGATTGTGTACCCTTTTTTCGATTTATTATCTCATTTCAGCGGTTTTTCTACTTCCCAAAGGACCACCAACCAACCACTACCATTTCTTTTCTTTTTTTCCATTCATTTCTAAAAGCTCCCATTTAGTTTTCTCGTTTCCTTTTTTTGTTTTAACCTTTTCTTTTTTTATTATTTTTAGGAATGTTGTTGTTTTGTGTTGTTCTTTCCCGCGTTTTCATTGATATAATCCCTCCCTCCCCTCCATCTTCCTTTATTACCAATATTCTTCCTCATTTGTTTAAACAATACCCTTACAATAATATTTTTTCATTTCCTTATTGTTGGGACACAAAATGTCCTCCAAACTGTTACTTTTCACTGTATTTTTTCTTTCTTTTTTCCTTTCCCTTTTTACTGTAAACAATGCGCGAGATTATTAAGTTATTTCACTTATTGTGAGACAAAATGTCCCATAACTGCTTTGGTACCATTTTTGTTTTGGACCTTTTGTCTTTTTCCACTTCGAAGTCTCGAATTCTGATTCTTGAAAATTTTTTTTCTTAAATTTTCTACTTTTTTGTCCTTCGCGTTTTATTTGTTTTGCAACTGTGTTGCTTTTTTAAACGCTACTTTTGATAAAAGGACACAATCATTTTTAATGTTTCTTTTTTTAATTAGCTTCCTGAGACATTAAAAAATAATCTATTAATTCGTCTGTCAATTATTTTTTAATTGCTTCCTATTTTCCTCACTCTGAGACAAAACGTCCTTTTACTGCTTCTGTACATTTTTGATTATGGGCATTTTGTCTTTTTCCATTTCGACAGTCCTGTCGTTATTGTGAGACAAACTGTCCTTTTATTGCTTTGGTACCATTTTTGTTTTGGGCCTTTTGTATTTTTTCCAATTTGAAATACCGTATTACAGTTTGAAGTACCGTATTTTAATTTCTTAACTTTTTTTCGAAATTTTTTCACTCTTTTGTCCTTTCGCAATTTTAGTTTTGGCACTTATTGTTTCCTTCAAATTAAAATTTTTCTAATTGCTTTTCGTTACACTTTTAAAAAAGACAAAAGATTACCTCCACAATAAACATTTATTTTTTTTGTTTATTTTATAGGTAAATTAGGTGGGAAATTTTTTTTATTTTTTATATAACAGACATAGTCCCCCAATACAATTACAAATTGGTTGACAAGTAGAAAGGCGTCAAGTTTCAAATGACAAACCAAAAAAAAAATCCGGCAGCCCTTCAATAACGTTTTTTCCCTTCCAATTTAGTGCTTATTTTTATGCTTATTTTTATGTTTCAAAGAAAAAATGTTCGGGAAAAGTTTTGGGGAAGACTTCAAAAGCGAAAATTTTTTAACAGAAAAAAGTTGTCAAAAAATATTTTAGAAAAAGCACAAATTGGAAGAACGGAAAAAGAGATGTCTTTTATTTGTATTTTCTTTTGTTTTTTTTTCTTCAAGATTCAATCGGGCGTTGAAATTACACTTTTTCTTTTGCTTTCTTGAATATTTAATTTTTGTCAAAATTTAAGTTCTTTCTTCGCGATCCATGTTTTCATAAATATCAAGTGTAAAACGCGTCTTTAAATTTGCTAATCATTTTTAATTTTCAGACTTTTTCAATTTTAAATTTAAAAACTAATCTCTACAAAATGAGTATTGGAAGTAATGATTCATCAGCAGCATTATTAACAACACCAACTTTGTACAAAAAACGACATCCACAATTGTTAAAATTAGTACCTGCTAGAGCTCAATCCTGTGCTGATTTTAGTAGCCGATTACAATTGTTGCCTTCATCAATGGCTGCTGCAGCTTGTTAGTTTTAAATTTTTTGAGAATTTTTTTTGAAAATTTTTTTGGATTTTTTGAAAAACTTGACCTTAGGTTTGAAAGTTTAAAAGATTTTACGAGATTTTTTTCTTCCAAGAATTCCTTGTCAATTTCTTTTTCTTTCTTAATTTTAATACTTATTTAATACTCACATTTTTCTTCTTAAAATAAAAAATTTGAATTTATCTCACATTAATACATTAAAAACTTAATTCTACTGAAATAACTTTATTTTGTATTTAAAGGTAATTTAACTATTTATAACCGCTTTTTCTCATTTCTTAAAAATTATTTTTACTCAAAAATAAATTAATGAAAAATAATAATGATTATTTATCTGGATTAAAATTTTTTCTAATTTTCTCCTTTTTTGAGTAAAAATCTTTTATTCTCATATTACTCTTATTTTTTAAATTACGCGCAAAGTTAAAGGACATTTATCCAACAAAAAAACAATTATTTTAACTAATCTCCATTTTCTAAAAAATATATTAAAAAAATTTTTTTCTTTATATTTTTTTTTTAATTTTTTTTCTCCATAAAACTTTAATTTCCCAATGGGATATATTTTTATGTCTTGAAATTAGGTAATTTTTAATATATTCATTTTTGATATTCTTTTAAGAAAAAATTATGTTTCAGTTTCATTTTTTAATTAAAAAAATTTTTTCTTATATTTAAAGACTTGGTATTTCTTCATTTTTTCATTTTATATTCATTTACTAACATTTTTCTTTTATTTTCCACTGTTGGGGTTCGAACCTTCGTTACTAAACTGAGAATTATCCCGCTACACCAAAAAGTACAATTGTTGTTTTAGTCGTAAACTTAAAAGCGCGCAAACTTAAGTGTGTGAAATAAAAATTTTTTAGTAAAAATGTTTTTCAAAGCCCTCCCACTTTGTAAAATTTATTTCATTTTTAATTAGCATTAAAACCCCTTAATTTTTATTTTTTAAAGTGTCAGCAAAACAAATAAGAGATTCTGGTTCTTCCCCACAATTTATTCCTTTTTCTCCTAACAACAACAATTCAACAACAAAAATAATAAATATTCGTCCAATGTCCAATTCAACTCCATCAGCTACAACAACTACTGGTTATAATTCTTCTCCTTCATTATCTCCACAAAGAAAAGTTTCGCGATCTGCTCGTTTGTGCCATTCATTTAGACGAACATTGAGACGTAATAGTCCTGGAGGGAAAAAGGCGTTGGCACAAACAGGTTTTTTAAATTAATTTGGATTTTTTGATGACATAGGGATTAGAGACCGGAATCGAGTGTCGAAAAATTTATCGATATCGGTAACCAAGATTTTCGTTCGAAATCTCGTCTCGGCCCTGTCTCCATTTGCGATCATTTATCTCCTATTTAATTAGAAATGTCGACAATTTTTGAAAAAAATATTAGAAATTTTTTAAAGATTAGAATGGGGGACCCCCTCAAATATTGTTATTTACAGCTTTTATAATTTTTAAGATTCAAATGCATCAGCACCGACCGCTCTTTTATCTTCATTGGGAGAACAACAACAACTACTAAATTCAGATTTGAACAAAGGCTCTCAAAACTCAGTTCTAAATGCAGTAATGAATGCAAGAACGTCAAGTTTTTCTCAACTACAACAAAAGGTTTTTTGAATTATTTGGAAAATATTTTATTTTTTAAAGGAATCCCGCCTTGCCTCTTCTGAAACAACAAAAAAAGATGAGTCTGTTGAACAAACGCCGGAGAAGAAGCAACAACAAAAACAACAAGCTGATGATAATCGTCGCAACAGTTCCTCGTCTCCGTTGTCTCGTTTGTTTTTTTAATTTTTAAATATTTTTTTTTAATTTGGGGAGTATGGGAGGAATTTTAAGTTTTGAACATCCATTTTTAAATTTTCTTTATTGGTTTTTACTCTTTTTTCTTCGTTTTTTATTCGCGCATCTATTTTTAGCGCATTTATTTCTTATCTCCTTCGCTCATCTCTTCCACTTTTCTTCTACAAAATTTCTTTTTTAATTTTTTCTAAACATTCTTTCATTCTTTCCTCTTAATTTTTATTCATATTTTTGTTTTCATATTATTTAAATCAGCTTTTAAAATTCACAATCCTTCCCTCGATATTTTGGGTTTATTTTACTTTCTATAAGGCCAATAAATTGCCAAATTTGCCGTGAATGAGGAATAAAAGGAAGGAAGAAATTTATTTTTTTAAAGAAAAAAAGGACTGTCTTGAATACACAATTTACTTTTTTTGTGAAGGACCTCCCCTTCCTCAATAGTAAAATATTTTTTGAATGGGAAAAGAGCAAAAAGAAAAGCATAGCGCATCAAGTGTCTAGAAAATTGCTTTGGCATTTATCTTCTTTTTTTATATTTTTCTAAAATATTTTTTATTCTTTTATTTTTTACCTCATATTTTATTCATTCTTTCTTGAAACCTATAATTTTATTTTTTTAAATAATTCTTAACTAGAATTCTTAAATAAACTCTTTTTTAGATTCCCATTTTGTGGATGAAAGATCACCTTGTTAGAAGCGTTATCTTATTATGAGAATATCGTTATTAGGTAACTGTCCAGCTTTCAGTGTACTAAATTTCAAAGATAACGTAAACTTATTGTTAGGAATTCTAATTCTGAAGGTATCTTATTGTTAGATAATGGTGTTTGACTGCTAGGGCTATTCTTGTCATTAACTCTTCAATATTAAGTTTCACCTAGAATAAGTCGAATTCTCGTTTAATTGGTAACCTCTTTTCTTGGTTATTAGCTTTCTTTCTCTTTTTAGGGCTATAAATATTTTATCAATTTCTTTATTTGCTTCCACATTTAAATCGTGAGAAATTTTAGAGGAAAATTAAAGCCAGTATAATACAATACTTTTTTCCTTTTATAAATTAATTAATGAAAAAGGACATTTTTAGACTTAAATAGAATCTAGTTTTTTTAGCTTAAAATTTGGAAATTAACTTTTTGGGGTAGATTTTATATTTTCTAGCTGAATATTGTTATGCTTCTGACGTTTGTTTAAAAAAAACTCTTATCCTTTTTCTTAATTAATCCCTGAAACTGACAAATATTCTTCTAATTTTTATTTATTTATATCTTTATTTTTCTTTTTTCTTAAACTTTTTAGCGTTTCCTATTTTTACTTTAAACATTTTTCTTTATTTTTTTAAACTATTTTATAGATTTTTTAAAAAATTATTAAAATATGCCTAATAGTTCATCAGAATTTTCCTTTGCCGATAATCTTCCCCGTCATTCCCTAACTCCTTCAAATGCTGCTTCTTCCTTTTCTTCTGCAACAAAACTTTTTGGCAATAATAATACCGAAAATGGTTTGGCTACAGCTACAAGCCTTTTAACAACATTAACTGAATCCTCTGCTATTTTAGTTCGTCGTTTATCTAAAGCTTTTTTTCAAGCTCAGAATCGACAACGTATTGGTGGGAGTTTATTTCTTTTCTGTTTTAAATTTTTTTGAACATTGTTGATTGTGGTTTTTATTTTCTTTTTTGACATTTTTTAAAATCCAATCATTTTTCTATTTTTTGTGAGGTTATTTTTGGGGGTTATTTGCTTTACTGTAGCTGCTTATTTAGCAATTGCGCGCCCATTTTTATTATTTTTTCTCTTTACTGTTATTGGCGCTATAGATCTTTTTTTAACCTAAAATCTAGAAAATCTTTTTTTCTAATTTTTCTTTAAATTATTTTATTTATTTTTTTCTTATTTTTGCTCTTTTAGATCCCTAATATATTTTTATAAAAATATTTCTTACACAAATAGGCTATAAATAAGGAAAAAATGCTTTCATGCGGAAGTATTTCCATAAAGAAATAACAGAAAAAAATGCTAAATGAAAATATATCCAAGTTAAGAGAGAAAACTCCCACAGAATTATTATTTTTATTTTTTTTACTTTTTGCGTCATTTGTGTTGCTACAATAAATAATAATTATTATTTTTCTTTTGGAAAGAAGGCTTATATTTGGGTTTTATTTAGCTTAAAATGGGAGTTAGGAAAGATTTTCATCTTCTACTATATATTTTCTATTTTTATTTTATCGAATTTTAAAATTAAAATTCATCATTCTTTTTTTTTATTTTTCCTTATTTTTTAAAAGATTACATATTTGAGATTTAATTTTTATATGTTATCAGACATTTTTTTGAATTTTTATTTTGAATTTTTCACCTACATATCACTCTTGTCCATCTTAACTCTTTTATTTAATTATCTATAATATATGTATCTTCTAATTATAACTCTATCTTGATCAAAAGAATGTCTAGAAGTAGATTATCTCGCTTTATTTACTTCCTCTTTTGTAAGAATATTTAATTTTTTTAAACCAAATATTATGAATTTGCACCCTTGTGGGCTGTATTTGGTTCTTTATTTCACCTTTTTTTTATTATTAAAGCTATATCTTAAAATTCATTTTACTATATTTGTCCATGTTTTAGTACACAAACATTAAAAAAAATTTTTTTTCTATTTTTTACTTTAATACTTTCACTTTTTCCGTTTCCTTCTCCCAGTTTCTATGTTCATTTCCGCACTTTCCCCCTATTTTTTTCAATTTTTTACGTTGCCATTTGAATATATCCATACAAGCTTTTCGCTCTCATCAAATTGATTATTTTTTATAAAGCTGGTACCAAAAAATTGTTAGATAGAGAGAAAATACCTCTTTTTTAAAATTAAATGCATTTTCTCATCCATGCGCATTGGTGCGGCACCCTATACTTTATAATAAAATAGTAGTAGCTATAGGTAATATTTAACTAGTAGCTGGTTGTTGTTTGCCTGTGTTTTTTTAGAGGCAAATGGAAGAAGCAAAAAAAATTGTTAGAATTGTCTATGTGTGTATTATTTTCCCTTTCACTTTTTGGCATTTTTTGTGCCTTTCTCGTATATGTATATTTTTTTATTTTCTTGTGCCAGCTTTTCCTCTCATTTTTATCTTTTATTACTAGAAAATCTTAATCGATTTTTACTTTCTTTTCATTTTCTATAATATATCTTTGGGTAGCTATAGGTAATATAATTTAAATAAGAAAGAGGCTTTCCAAGCTAAGTTAATTTCTTAATATCCCGTTTTCAATATTAAAAATATCATTTTGATCTTATTTTATATGTTTATGTAATTTGTTAATAATTTTTTAAGGTTGAAAAAATTTTTTCCTTAAATAATCTCTTAATTCCTTTTTCCTTTTTTAAGGTTGTTTAATAAGGAAGGGATATAAATATTTATTTTTTCTTCATATCTGTTGGCACTAATTATTCACATTTTTCTTATTTTTTGTTTATTTTTTTAAAAGAAAAACCGTTAAAGTACATATCTGATATTTTAAAAAAAATTTACACTTAATATTGCCTTCCTTTTCTCATTTTTTTACATTTTGTATTTTTTAATTCCTTAGCGCATTTTCATATTTTTTTAGCGTATTTTATTTTTTTTTATTTTTAAATTAGGGTTAATAAATCTCTCCATCTTTCTTAATAACATTTGGCAAAAATTTTAATTTATGCTTAACAAAAACAAATAAATAAATTTTATATTGCGTGTCTAGCGAATATTTTTTTGTTTGTAAATAATGCCAAAAAGGCTATCATCAATCTCTTTATTTTTCTAATTTTATTTTTGTTTGAATAAACATCTTTTTTTATTTTTTAATGCTTAATCTTTTTTTATTTTATTCCGGATGCGTTTTTTAAATATTCCGGCTGAAATAATTTTTTTAAGTTTTTAAAGACACGAAATAATTTATATCTCTTTTAAATATTTTCTAAAAAAATTATTTTTATTTGCATATTCTTCGGATTATTCTTATTATTCCTCCTTATATAAAATTCAATTTAACTATATATCTTTTTTAATTCACAAAAAAATTTTTTTATTAAAAAGCATATAAAAAATTCCTTCTTTGGAATAATAAATTTATATTCTTTATTTAATAAAATTTTATTTTTCTTGTCACCCATAAAAATTTTTTTAATAAAAAATGGCTACCACAAAACGAGAACATCGTGAGCCGAATAAATTAAACATCAGAAAAGATTTTTTAGGTTTGTTTTTTTTTTGAAAAATAATTTTTTATTAATATTTAAAAAGGAAAAAGTTTTTTCTATTTATTCATTATTTTGTTGCTACTCCCTTTTTTCTAATTTATTTTTTTATTTTTTTTCTATTTGTACATATATTAACTACTATATTTATTCTTTTGTTAATTAAATTTTGCAATACTAATTTTAGTTTTTATATTTTTAGTTATTTTCTGCCACCCCCAACTTTTTTTTTAAGATTGTGGTTATGGCATTTTCTTTTTTTTATTTTATAAATAAATAATTCTATTTTTGTTGTTTCCATTCTTTTTTTCTTTTGTCACGAATACTAGGCCAATAAATAAAAAAAGAAAGGGGGAACATGAAACAAAAAAATTTTTTAATTCATTTCTAAAAAAATTCATTCTCAACTCATCTTTACATTAAAATTAAAATATATTCTTTCTTTATTATTCTTTTTTTTGTTTCAAACATTTTTTATTTTTTTAAAAAATCCTCTTGGATTAATAAAACAAAAAATTATTTTTTTGGCAAATCCCTAAAAAATGGATAAATTTGGGTGTTCAGGTTTTTGAACGTTTTATATTCAAAGCTTAAAAAATCAGAAATTTTTTTTTTACTAAATATAAAAATAATATTTTTTAAGATTTGATGAATGATTGGGAGATTGGTGGCACTCAAAACCCTTGGGTCTGTCCAAGTGATAGACATTTACAATTACGTGCTCAGTTAGTTTTTTAGATTTTTA